GAAAGTGTTCTTGGCATTAAGTTTTTCTTTGGAACCAGACTTGATATCTAATTATACGCTATTATGACATTTTTTAATGAAGTCACACATGCACAATGAGTGCATCATTTTGCGCCAGTTATTTACATTTTTTTGTGTGTAAAAAAAAATATTTTATCTTATTGTATGTTTAATTTATTTATTTTATATTAATTTGACATCCATGATATAACGTATTTAACTGCCTTTTTGTACATGTTACCTTTTTCAATTGCGAACTGAATTAAAGGAAAATATTTTCACTTTCATGGTTTTATTTTCATCTTGTTACTACCTACTAAAGAGAAAGTATGAAATTTGAAATATTTTTGTGAAAAATATGAAATGATTGTGCATAATTTGGCCCGTATGATTGGAAATTGGAAAATGGAAAAAAATTAAATATGTATTATTAAAAGTTCGTAAAGATCATCATCATCAAGATTGCGCATCATATGTGATGCTCAATCACACTGAACAGACTTGAATGCAATTTATTACACGTGTCGACCACGGTAATTACTTTTACTTAACAAAGAATTGCAACGTCACAATTATCTGCGAACATTAAAAAATAATGTAAGATTTTTCCTAAACATTTTTCAATGTTTCTGACTGATTGTTTAAAAAGTGTTCCGCTAGAGAACTAAGACGTTAATCATATTATATATTGCATATAAATGTACCACTAAGAACTTTACATTTGTTAACTGTGAACACTATTCATAATCTGTGACTTGTAACATAGACTAAGTATGTATTAGTTTATGGTAGATTGTATTTTTTAAAACCCTCTCTGGTTCCTGCTTTGCAACATGGTCAGCGGAATAAAGCTTGCTCTGCGTAATTACGTTCAACATTTACTTTATATTTTGCTTTAGAATTTTTAGTCACATATTTTTCAGTGACACCTTAATAAAAATATTATTATATTATTAATGTTTTGTAAGCTAGCAAAGCACTTTTTCTTTTAAATAATCCATTATAAACATTGAAAAATGTTCAATTGTTTTTTAAAATAGCCACACTTCATTATGAATGCTCTTAACATACGAGACACTTTAATTCAGCTCTCGATTTGAAGGGTATAACAGTATGTACTATGTTGACTGAGCTATAGAGACCATATGTACAGCGTGTTTATAAATAACTGTTACTATTTTTCTTCACAAAAAATTGTAATTCTCTCGCTCTTTATTTATTTATTTATTGCAAAATAGAACTTTGTATGAGTGGCGAGCCTAATGCCATTCGGCATTCTCTATCAGCTAACCATTAGGTAAAGACATAAAGCATATAAAGGGCAGTGGTGAAAAAAATTTGATATAAATATTATAACATATTAAGGTATATATATACACCTTAGATTATATAAATAGAGCATCGAGCCTCAAAAACGGGTCCACTTTTTGTCAACTAATTGTCAAATTAACTCACTCGTTTTTTATCAATGTTCTATAGGTATACTTACACATAAAATGTATTTAAACGTATTATTTAATTAATTAAATGAGTGTTTACACATTAAAAAGATGCGGGAATTATAAGACAATATAAATATAGGAGTTATAAAGGAATCACTCAAAACTATTTATCACGTAAAATTGTATGAAAATGTTGACACGTTTTTTCGAAGCATTTCTATACAGATACTCTATCTATATAATCTAAGACTTACACATAATACATAATCATTACTTTTAACATATATTAATATATGATATACATATATATATTAAAACTATAAAAATATATGCATTATGAGATGTAGAAACAGTTGGGTAATTTATAACTAGAGCTGGTTTTGTTGACCCAACAAGTAATTCAAGTCTTCTTTTAAAAATAGATTTACTTTACTGTTCCAAGTTGTATGAAAAATAAGACAAAATAATAAAGTATGTTCCACATATTTTTAATTAATGCTTACATAGTATAATTAGTAAATGAAATGTGTTCGTATTAAGTATTAGAGTGAAACGACCTCATAACCAAACTATGGCGCATTCTATTGTTACGGACATAATCATTAGAAATAACGGTTAACGTCTAATTTAGAATTATATAGCACTATAGTCTGTTTCAATGGAACTTAATAAAAATGTAAACAAATTTATAATTGACCCAACTAAAGAGTGTGCTGATGTAATAGTAAGTAGTACGAATAAAATATTGGTTGTCTATTTAAATGTTTCAATAAGTTACTAATTTCTTTTAGATTGGGGGGAAAGGGATTGTTAGTTATGAGGTCTAATGAACCCATTGCTAGCAATATTGGGTATATTCCAGTCGTACCAGTACCAGGTCGACCTTCTCGTGGTTCCACCTGGAAACTATCAGTTAATTCCTGATGAATTCATCATGATGGGCTAACTGGCCTGTTTTCAGATCAGATCGACCTCCACGCGGTTCCACCTGGAAACCATCGTGGTAGATTCTAGTGAAATTCGTCACGATGGGCTAACTGACCTGCTTCCATCGTCACCTATCATCCCCCACTGGTGCCCTGCCAGCGTATACCGATAGCGCAAGCGGGGTTACAATTCCATTGTCACCTATTAAAAAAAAATTCTTTTAAAGCGATCTAGATCTAGATATCTCTACGAGTACGAGTATATAACAAACCAAATTATAGTCAGTTTTAATAGAATTTAATGAAAATGTAAACAAACGAATAATTGTTCCGACCACAGATTTTTATTATTGAGAGGCAGAAATACCTGTGACACTGCGACCTTTCTATATAAACTTTTGTGCTCGCCCTTTTTTAAAGTTCACAGTTAATTCCTATCAGTGATATGAATTTTAAGATGTTCTTTGTAGCGATGTTTATTTTTATCTCATCAGTTTAAACAGAAATTGTTGATATTGGCTGGAAATATTTCGATATATAGACTTGGACATAATTATAAAATTAAAAATTAATTAATTAAAAATACAAAATTCTCTCTGAATAAATTATTCCTTTCTAATAATCTATTGAATATTTTATATATAGCAATCATCTATTGAATTTAAAAAACTGTACCTATATCAAATACCTCAAGAGATTGTTATACCATATTATTGTTTATTTGTTAATTAGCATGCTGTGTTTCCTTTAAAATGATTGTACACTAAGTATAATCTTTATCCTTACCACTCAGTTAAAATTATATCAAATTATACTCTGAACTATTTACATTATTTTTATTATACACACACTGCACAGACAATCAGACAACAGGTGGGCCGTCAGCTTGTTTGCCATTCTAAGTTGTATAAAAAAAGGACTTTCTGAGTAACAAACATAAAAAATACAAGTGAATTGAGAACCTTCTCCTTTTTTTGAAGTCGGTTATAAAATGTATTTAAAAATACTAGTTAATACCGACATTATGCTACTTCATTGTGATATTTATATCTGTTGTCTGTCTCTTTTTATTTTATATTTATTTTAATTATTATTTTCACGTACCCTCAAATGGGTTAAAGCTGAAAATCAGTGTTTTGTTCCTTGAACAATGTTACACGCTGAGCTTCGACCTTTTTGTATTGCTGCAGATCACACATAATAACACAATTTTATAAATCTTATGTTGTTTTATGTATTATCTATTCTTATGTACATGTTGTGTGTGATTAGTAACAAACAAATAAACAATATATCTATCTATCTATCTATCTATCTATAAATAGACAGTAATTTTAATATTAAATCTTATCAGTGTAACAATTGTTAGGAGACCAAATAAAGATAAGATAAAATAAAAATAAAAAAATAAATAATAATCACTTTATATAATTGACGATTTACAACAGAAACATAGCCATGCAAGCACATCTGCTTCCTGGCAGTTACACGAATAGGACAGAGATACCCAAGCAAACAACCTTTAGAAGTTTAATTTAAATTTCCGGCTAACTCTCCAACGATGAAAATACCGATAACCTAAACCGGTAAATTATGCCTTATTATGTAAGGCAAGGTAAGCGTGAATCTCAATAAGGTGTATCTAACGACTCCTAACAACTGTTATCTACGATTTGCCCATTGTTTTGCCATAAACAGATCCATTATAATGAAGTTTTTGTAAACATTACAACACGTGCAGCGAAAGTGCGGAAACCATTGAGCGGAAATTTGTTTGATATTGTATAACTGTCATGACTACTCCGGATGAGAAACGGAGTCGGTTCACGTCAATTATTTCACTGATTATTTCTAACCGAAGAAGGTTATTGCATAAAATTAATATTCCAGTTTCGCATAATTAAAGATTGTGCCCCACAAAAAAGAACTGATTTCCATTGTGACAAAACCAATTATATTGTTTTAAAAGCTTAACTACTGGACCGATTTGGATAAAATTTCTACGAGACCGTAAGTAAGTGTAAGTATATCCTTTCAGATCAAAAAGGAATTTTCCAGATCGATGTATAACTGATAGAGTTATGAGATGACAAACATAAAAAATACCTTCTTTCTTTTTGAAGTCTGTTCAATTTTTTTTACTTTTATAGTCAAAATATAAAAAAATTTGGACATGCCATATATAAAACTATATATTACTAATTTCCTTTTGGAAATATTTTTTAGCACTGACAAATTTATTTATGTGAATTAAGATCGTGTTCTATAAAACCTTAAAAATTAAAAATTGAAGTTGAGTTAACTTCATTTATGGCAAAACCATTTTGTTTTGATTTCATAACCACTGTACCGATTTTGATTAAATTTCTATGAGTCCAGTAAAGTCCCAGAAAGGATACTTTTTATCATTGTTTGTTTTCTTTATCGATCTATCGAATCGATTTACAATTGACACAGGTAATAAGGTAGCAAACATAAAAAATACCATCGAATTCAGAACCTCCTTCTATTTTGATGTAATTAATAAAATTGTAAAATGCAAATTTCTAATACGAGGTATTATGTAATTCCGTATTACAGTAATTAAAACAATTAAAACTGTTGTGTTAATTGCGCCCTCTATTTGTTACAGATTAATTACGCGTGGCCTAATCGCGGTGATTAGCGGCGCTGGCGGTGATCGAATGATGAACGGGGTCGGCGACGGCTCCAGCGCCCGGCACCGCCGATATGGCAGCGCTCTCTTGTTACCAGCCGTGCCGTTCGCACCTCGCGCAGCCCGCTAGGTACTAATGTAATTTATTTTATAAAACACTAACGGCCCGTCCCGGCTTCGTACGGATGGACACTTCTACAACATTTTTAAAAGTGATTATTGTGACATAATGATAATAGTTGGACATATAATATTGAGAAGTTTTTTGTATGATATTTTCTTCAATATTGTAGAACATACTTTTGTTCTATCACCACACCAAAAGTTTCCACAGCGCACGCGACGAAAGATATTTTATAGCATTTTTTTACACCTCGAGTTACGTTACTAAAGTTTTAGTAATGATCCCTAATTTTTTCTAGCAATAAATATAGCCTATTTTACTCAGGGTGAATGTAGCTTTCTAATGGTGAAAGAATGTTTTTTAATTGGAAAATTAGTTTTTGAGTTTATTCATTACAAACATACATACACACAAAAATACAAATCTTTTCTCTTTATAATATTTATAAAACATGTAATGGCAAAAAATCTTATGAAAACTATTGCCTGTAGATAAGACAAGAGTAATTTTCCCGTGGGTGTCGTAAGAGGCGACTAAGGGATACTTAATGGTCGAAAGATTGGCAGCAGCGTCTCTTTTAAAGCGTTACCAAAGACTATCTAAGCGTGGCGCTACTGGCAAAGCCTTATTTATTTTATTTATTTATTTATGCTTTATTGACCACATTACAAAAAAAAAATGTCTGGTACAAAAGGCGGACTTAATACTATATAGCATTCCCTCCCAGTCAACCTTTGGAAAAACAGAAATTTTATTATGCGGCGAAAAAAAGCCTTCTTCATAGAGGAGACCTATGTTTAGCAGTGGACAGTTAACGGCTGTTATGAGCGAATTAAAAAAAAGAGTATTACATATTTATGCCTAAGGTTTTATCGCTAAAACGTAGAGATTTCTTTTGTTTTATATTTTCTTTACCTATTCCAATAATGAAGTACCGCGTTTGTTGATTCACTGTTCATCTCAAAGGTTGACAGGTAGATAATGCTAGTGGCATTAAGTCCGTCTTTTGTACCATATTCTCTATTGGTCAAAAGTTATTTAAAAGATAAAGAAAAAAAAATTATAATAAAGAAACAGAGTTGTTGTGCTTTTAATGTAGTCAAAATACATTTTACTCGCAGCTCGTTCGCTTTTTAGTCATTGGCCGTTATAAGCAATATTGTTATTGTAGAATATTTTATTATAGATAATTAATAACCTTAAAACCAGATAAAAATTAATGCTATGTATTAATAAATGGACGAAAATGAACTGACGTAGGAGTGAACCAAATCAGTTGTGAAAATAATTATCGAAATCTGTTCGAAATTGGCGTCGTAATTGCTTATAACATGGAAAATATAAAGGCATAAAACCTACCCTTACCAAGTCACTTGAATATTTTAAATCATCTACAGCAGTTTTAGCTGAACGTTGTAATGTTGCAATAGTTCAGCTTCCGTTTTCTTTTAATATACTTAGACTAATAAACAAGATTACGATCCACCTGACGTAAAGTGGTTTTTGTTTTTTATAAATAATAATGGTATGGTAACCCCACCTGCGTTATTGTTATATGCTAGCGAGGCACCTGTCAATGATGATAGGTGAAGATGAAAGCAGGCCAATTATCCCATCACGACAAATTTCACAAGAATTAACCGCAATGGTTTCCAGGGTGAATCCCATTGAAATCGACCTGATAGAGTATATTGTTAGCAATGAGGCTATTAGATCTCCATTACTAGTAATTCCTTTCGCCCCTAAAGATAAAAAATGACGGGTACCTAATCGTTGCCCATAAACATGAACTGCGACATGGATATCACAGAACGCATTGTGACAATATGAAGCTTCTGGGGGGAAAGGGATTGTTAGCAATGGAGTTTGACAGCCCCATTGCTAGCAATATGCCCTACTAGGTCGACCTCCACGTGGTTCCCCTTGGAATCCATCGTGAACAATTCTTGTTGAATTCGTCACGATGGGCTAACTGACCTGCTTCATCCTCACCTAACATCCTTCACTGGTGCCCCGCCGATGTATACTGTTAGCACGGATGGGGTTACCATTCCATTATCACCCATTAAAAACAAAAAAAATATGAAGCTTCTGTTGTGCACAGTATCTTGTTACTATGGTCGCTGAGGTGGATATGAAAAATAAACAAGGAGATATATATTTACTGCTATCAACATCTGTTGTGAGAAAGAGAGTACAAAAATGTTGCTATTATAAAAATATAATCTAAGTGTTGCTAGCTAACAGATGCCCATATCGCCTTACATGCGTTGCTATTCCTGAGAACTGCAGTTTTATACCTCTGTTCACAATAATTTCACCACGCCATATCTCACCTGCTTTATGACAGAAACATTAATATGACAGAGACACCCAGACAGATGGCTTTTGTACCAAATCTTTTTCTGGTAAATATATTTATAAATATATAAATAGATAAAATAGATGACTGCTTTTAAATTTCAGATGTCTGGACGAGGAAGACTGTCGGCAGACATCAGCGACGTTATCACTTCGCCGCCAACAGTTCATCGAACGATGCCACGAGGCTCGCGGAGTGCGTCACCGCGACATCATCCCTGAAGTGTCTGTAAAGAAGACGAGGGAGGAGCTTGCCAAGCATGCGTCACAAACCCTACCGCTGAACCGCCGGCTCAACGTTGAGTCTGGCTGGTCGAAAGTCGAAGAGGTCCGCAAGAAGTTCGAGGGAGTGGCCACGGCGACTTCATTTTCTAGATCCTTCGAGTCACCTCCAAGGTGAGTAATTTTTGATCGATTTCAATTTTAACAAAATAAATACGGTACCAATACCATGACAAATTGAGTGCAGTTACTAAATGTCTTCTTCTTGCAATTCCCGCGCTTGAAGCATCTAAGATTAATATCTTAGGTGATAGTAATCGACTACCGTAGTTAGTGACCCCTTACCATAAAATGGATTTTGTACTCTCATATGTGTTCAAATATTTCTCCAACACATAAACCAAACAATAGTTTGTACTTCTACATACTCTGATTTATGAAATTGATTTATATATATCCGTCAGAATTTTAGCAATTTGACTATTTTTATAGTTCTCTATGTATTTCTAGTTATATGTGTCTACTGCTTTCATAGAATTCTGCATTCTGACTTTGATTGCTTTTATAATTACTACGATGGAGCAGTAAAAAATATAATCCATTTGATTGTAAAACTAACTTTTTTAACTAAACTTTATAACATGACAAGAGGTAACCAATAATTTTAGTATCTATATCTCACTCATATTTCTCCCTATTTAATGATGGAATCAGTAAGTGATACAGCAGTCGAATTTCTGCAAATTTCCGTTGGGAATGATGATTGTCTTTGGTGGTGATTAACATAACATTAATATCTTATACCGCAGACGTCGATTGGCTGACTCCCTGTTCGCAAGCTTCAAGCTACCTCGCAAGAAGGACGGCATGTCTGCACCGCGCTCGCTCGCGCCGCAACCGCAGCAAAAACGCAAGTCCGCCGTCGAGCTGCTAGCAGAGACCAAAGCATTTTACGTTAAGTCCGAAACCGTGCTGGATCGGAAACAAGAGTTACCGTTGAGGGTAAGTTTGGAATTTACAAATTTGTTAGCGGAATAAGATGTACGAGCAGAGACCTTTCTGTGTAACATACCAACTCCAAAGGGCTTCAATTAACATATGGGATACTTATCTCAAATAAACAGGCAACGCAATAGTTTAAGACTAGTGGTTATTATTTATTGCTCTAACCAATATGTAAAATAGAAGATAGACATGGATAGCATTCTAGATATATCAAGAATGCCCAGTAACTTAAAATAAAGTCATGTGTTGCGCATATGATCCTTAAACAGAATAGATTTAGATAAATGCTCCTTGGTTGTTTTTATATCGCAAAGGTGGCAAACAAGTCACCCTATGGACGCCTGCAATACTAGGAGTGCCTTACTTCTACTTCTAATATCCCTATTCTTAAACATTTCTGTACGTAATTAAAATGTTTTTCTTTCCAGATGAGTAGCGGACTAGGTCAGGCAATAGCCGCGGGCGGCTGCCACCTAGTCAGCTCTGGAACCCTCAACAACGACGCTTGCTGTAACCCCTGTGAGTTGGCTCATAATGGTCATATTTTTAAATCAACTGTCAACTTTCTTGGCAGATAAGGATCATAAAACGGCAGCATTAGAGGGAGACTTTGTACAAAAGTCGTTTGCTTGGACCCCTCTATCCAATTCATGTTTCTACCGTGAAGCAGTTGTGCTTGCATGGTTGTGTTTCAGTTTGAAGGATGGAATATGGCAGTGAATTGACAGGGTACAGAGAAATAACACCTAAGTCCTCAAGAATGACAACGCATAGTACATAACAGAGTACACTGTTTCGCCCGTGATACCCCATCATAGGGTAATAGTATACTCTGTTATGTCCATGGTACTACTAATGTTTATAGGCGACGGTTACCATGACGGTTCTACCAGGTAGGCCATTAGCTTGTTTGCAATTCTAAGTTGCATAAAAAATTTATTTGTTATTTCTAATTTTTACAACTTCCAGATGCAACGACAAGAAGTATAAGTAGTACACGACGGGCTGTGAGCGCGGGCGAAGGACTCCAGAACACGTTAAGACGGCTCTTGGAGCACGCGGACAGTAGGGAGAACGTCTACTCGCCTGCTTACGTTTGTGAGTACTCACATCATTTTTGTAATACTAGTTTTTACCCGCAACCTCGTCCGTGTAGTTAAGATTGATTGATTTGATTACCCTGGATAAAAAGTAGCTTATGTCCTTCCCTATGCCAAATACTACATACATATAGGTATGCCAAAATTCACAATAATCGGTTGAACCGTTAAGGCACCAATAGATAGCAAACACAGTTTCAAGGATTTGTAAAAAGTATTACTCGTGTAGGGTTAGCACCGTCTGAAATAAAAGATTTTGAAGTCGCCTTCGAAACTTAAAAAACCTGTGATGTAGCATATCGGATAACGACTTTACCTGCCCTGTTTTACTATTTATTACTTACTTATTTACATATATTTAAGTATACATGTTGTTGCTCAGGTATATAAATGACGGTCACTACCTTCTAACACATGGGTTCTGATTTTTTATCATTTTCGACAGTACAAAAAACCGACTTAGTCAATTTATGATTTCAGCCCACAAAATCTATGCTGACACGAGACGCCTTAAAGATTCCTATCCCGAACGGGAGCATGTTCGGTCACAACACAACTCGGGGACATACTCGGGAACGTTTTCCGGCACGTCATCCTCGGGGACGTCCGGTTCTAAAGCGCACAAATCGGACCCAGATCATAGAGAAAAGATTAACAGACCGTTGAGTTTTGGAGATGCTCGGGTCTTTTTCCCTGAGTCGTTCATCATACCCCGTCAGAGGCCTAGCGAAGTTGTTATTAAGAGTGCGTATTCTATACGTAAGTATTGCATATACGTATATGTGTACTTAGATTCTTTACATAATATATAAGTAACGCTATCGTATCATGTCTGTCGTGTAAATAATTTTCAGAAAAATGCGTTTGAAGTTTAATATTACCAAATTATAATTTGATTATATATGTAAAAAACATATAATCAAATTATATGTGTTTTACATATTAACCTCGTTATTGATAAAAACTAAATCCTCCTACAAACTAAATTAACTATTACACTGTTTTGTCACTTTCGTTCAAATTGAGGATTTAGTACAAAAGAAAGAGACAAAGATAGTTTAAGATGTAGCTGGTCGCATTAAATGACCGAAATGAACAACGCACGATTACCTATCGCTGTTAAACAGCTAACTTAAAGCGAGTAGTCCCCGACGTCGGGGTCACCAATAATGTGGAACAGATGATCTTAAATTATCAGAGTATTTACAATTACACGTGGGTAGGTCTGACGTGCAATTTCTTGTACTCGGTGACGGGACTACTCGCTTTAAGTTAGCTGTTTAACAGCGGTAGGTAATCGTGCGTTGTTCACATCGGTCATTTAATGTGACCAGCTACAAAGAAATGTAACAGCTTTATAAGAGGTTTAACGTTTTTATGAATAAAGGTATAAATATCTAATGTAATAATAAAAAATATCAAACAATGACATCATATACATATATACATTGGAGCTTAAAAATTGAAACTTACGCCGACTTGATGCGTAATTCATGTAACTTACGCGTAAAATAAGAGAGATTCGAGTAACGCGGCAGAATAGAGTTTGATATGACGCCTTGATTTGAGGCACGAGTCTCCTCATAACAAATTAAATATCGTCATAATCATAGAATACTGACGGATCTGACAAATATTACATATATAGATCCGTCAGTATTCTACGACTATGGCGATATAAGTCTACTACTACTATTCTGGATAAATGACTTCACATACTATTTTATCTGAATTTTTTTTTCTCTGGTAAGGCTCTGTTTTACTTTTTTCTCCTGGTTTCTACAAGATAGATATTACGAAATAGTTACTGCAAGTGGTATTCTTATTCTATCACCAATTTACCACTTAGAAAACTCAAGATATAGTGTATAATAATATTTTTTTTATACTACTTTAGTGGCAAACAAGGATCCGGCCCGTCTGATGGTAAACGGGCTTACTGTAGCCTATGGACGTCTTTAACACCAGAGACGTCACGTTAAATCCTCAGGAATGGCGCCGCATGGGGGGTATCATAGGCGAAACAGTACACTCTGTTATGTTCATGGTACTGCTCATGTCTATAGGCGACGATTACCACTTTCCATCAGGTGGGCCGTCAGCTTGTTTGCCATTCTAAGTTGAATAAAAAAATTAATAGATTGGTATTGTGGTGACTTTATGATCGTTTCACAGCGAGCTCCCACTCGAGTCCACAAAACATAGAGTTGCCAGAGCCGGTAATGAGTGGCGAGGGCTCGCCGGCTGAGCAGCTGGGTGCCATCAGCCCGCCCGCGCAGTACGCACACTCCGCACCCAGATACGTCAGGTAACATACATAAGCATTTTTTTTTCATGCCCACCCCTGAATGACTTGTGCCCACCCTAACAATATACCCTATATTGCTAGCAATGGGACTGTTTTGACTCCTTTATCAACAATCTCCAGGGGAAAGGGATTATTAGGGCAACAGCCCTAGCAATGGCTAGCAGTATATCGCATCAGAGCGACCTCCACGCGGTGGGAAGAGAGGGATTGTTCGTAATAGGGACGTTAATCCCTATTGCTGGGGAAGAAGAGATTGTTAGTAATGGAGACTAAGAGCTCTATTGCTAGCAATATACCCAACCAGGTCGACCTTCCCGTGGTCCCCCCTGGAAACCATCATGCTGAATTCTAAGTGATTATTATTTATTTGAGTTTTTATTATTATCATTATGATGGGCTAGCTGACCTGCCTTTTTTTCATCCTCACCTATCATCCCTCACTGGTGCTCCGCCAGCGTATACCGTTAGCCCAGGCGGGGTTACCATTTCCTATCATCCATTAAAAAAAATCCCTATTGCTGCAATATACCCTGTCAGGTCGAACTTCAAGCAGTTCCCCTTGGAAACCATCGTGATTAATTCTTAATGAATCCGTCACAATGGATTAACTGACCTGATTTCATACTCACCTATCACCACTCACTGGTACCCTGCCAGCGTATACCGATAGCGCAGGCGGGATTACCATTCCATTAACATCCACCAAGACTTCCACTTGTTCCCCCCTGGAAACCGACGTGGTTAATTCTAGTTGATCCGTTACAATGGGCTAACTGACCTAGTCTCACCCTAACCTATCATCTCTTACTGATGCCCCGCCTTACATATATGTACTTTATAAAACCTCCATTACTAATAATCTCCTCCCTCACGACGGTTGTTATTTGTAATGATTCATTATTGTTTCAGGTCAAACTCCCACTCGCAGCCGAGCGTGCGAGAAGAGGACAGCTGTAATATCAACAGCCATAAATCTTTGCCTGATCTACACACGCAGACGCGCTGTTACCCTGAACAGTTAGTGTAATATTATATACAATTCAAAGAACTTTAAAAAGAAAAACATTCGACAAAAATGTTCCACAAAAAAAGCCACCTCCAGATTCACCAAATTCACCAATCATTGTGATTTGAAGACCAAACTGCTGAACCAATTTTGATAAAATTTGTATGGAATGGGAACAATCTGAAAGTATATCCATTCAGATAAAAAGAATTCCGAGTCGGTTTACAATTGACGGAGTTAGGAGGTAACAAACAAAAAAATTACAACCGAATTGAGAATCTGCTTCTTTGATAAATTAGGTGCTTGTCTTGATATTACAATAGTACATTAGTGCAGCGGCCAGCAACTGAGGCATTGATGGAAAGGTGCAAATGTGGGCCGAGGCGTAGCCGAGGCACACATACGTGAGTCCATCAATATATATATATATATATATATGAATATGATAATTCCATGAATCTTGTTCGCTTTCAGCATGAATACGAGTGAAATCCACACGATGGGGTCGATGGGCCGGTCGCCGCGGCGGCGCCGCCACTCGGGCCACCAGCGCACCGCGTCCTGCTCCTCCAAGGGGACCAGATCCAACCATTCCTCGCTGCTGTCCTCGTGCGAGGCCTTCTCCGAGCACCCCTCGCCTGGTGACGACAATTATCACTCGTATAACAGGTAACACTGTTTAACCACTAAAACCTAGATATGTTTTTTTTTTCGGTGTTACTTTCTTTAGGCATCCTGTCCTCGATATTGGATAATAGTGACTCCATGTCACAGTGGATACCTTTTATGATAAGCACACTATGTTATTAGAGCGTTATAAAATTATAAAAAGACCATTATTTAAAAATGAACAATCGAGGGCTGCTAGCAAGATGTACATGTCATCGTCCTCGAAGCGGACAACCCCTGTTCCCTGCCGGTTCTTCACTGGAAATCTATTTGATCTTCAGCTTCATACTTTAGCTTATCTGAGAATTGCAAAACAATTGAACATATTTTAATATTACTAAAACGTTAATAATCATAGAATACGTTGCTCACTAAAAACTATGCAACTGTCTTCAAATTTTAAATCAAAAATTGAAGTCCGTTACTTCATATTTTGATTCAAAATTTTTTAATACATTTTTGCTATCAAAATCCAAATTTCTACCGACAGCTTAATAAAAATATTATATATTGTATTTTTAACGTTTCAGTTCGCTAGTAAATAACTTTTTAAATAATCAGTCAATAACATCAACGATTGTTAAATAGTTTTTAATAATTGTCAAATAATTGCGACGTTTCTTCACTTCGGTAAGCGAAAGTCATGAACGCTGTTAAATATGCCAATGAGGTAAAGGGTCGTGGTAGGTCATATAGGCCATGTAAATCAGCATAGAATAGGCTACCCCCTTCTTTCCTGTGGATGTCGTAAGAGGTAACTGAGGGATCTTAAATCCAACTTAAAACATCACCAAAAGTCAAACTGCGGTTGTCAATCAGCTTGCCAGGCATGGCAACTACTAGCAAAACTGTCCTTATGGGGGAGGCTATGTTCAGCAGTGGACAGTTAACTGCTGATACATACATACAAAGTAATGAGTGCGACGTGTTTGGGCAGCCGGTGCGGGTCGTCGTTCGCGCGCGACTCGGGCGGCTCGAGCGGCCACTACACGCAGCGCAGCGCGCCGCCGCACGCGCACGCGCACGCGCACGCGCACGCACGCGCCATGCGCACCGACTCCGGCTCCTCCACGCAGCACGACCAGGCCAGGTACGCACTCACTTTTCTATTCGATAACAGTGCTAACTTCTTGCCCGGTACCTCGTACGCGTGGATTTCAGATGTACATAGATAGATACTCTTTATTGTTTCCTCCAAAAGATTATAGTACGTTATATTATTCTCAATTTCGTGTATAATATGGTATATGTTATATATGTGTACGTATATTTGTTATTTATATATATTTATTCGTTTATATATGTAATTTTAGTATATATGTATATCAATAATTACTAGTACCGCATTCGAGTATTCTGACACTTCCCTATGGTTGACTGGGAGAGAATGCTTTTAGCATTAAGTCCGCCATGTACACATGTATGTACTAATGAATATATAAATAAATTATATTAGTAAACTTATTATAAATATAAATGATTACTAGAAAAGATGACATATTAGAAAACAATGGGCGGCCTTATTAAAAGCAATCTCTTTCAGACAACTTTTGGATGAGGAAGAATAATTATAAACAGTTCGACCGGAGGCATATAATCTATATTTTTACTACAAATATTTCTACTATTCAAATAAACCAGAGGTAAGGTAAATAAAAAATGTAATATAAATTTTCCAGTCGATACAACTCGTACTACCCTGAGTACGGGCGCGGCGGCGGCGCCGAGGGCGAGCTGGAGTGCTACGTGTCGGCGCCGCCGCAGTTCCAGGACGGCGCGCCCTCGCCGCCGCCCCCGCCGCCCCCGCCGCACCCGCCGCACCCCCTGCCGCCGGCCCCGCACGCCCACCACCCGCCAGTGTACTCCGCGCAGCCCACCGTCGGGATACACTTCCAAGTAACATCATAGTCATGTTTTATTGATGGATTTGTGTACGTCATGTCCTTAGATTATATAGAGTGTCTCCATACAAATGCTTCGAGAAAAGCGGGTCAACTTTTTCATACAATTTTGCGTGATAAATAGTTATGAGTGTTCCCTTTATAACTTCTATATTTATTTTGTCTTGTAAATTGTGCACTTTTTTATAATAATTGAATATAGATACATTGTGTGCCTATGTAAATAGAACATTAATAAAAAACTAGACAGCTAATTTCATAATTAGCTGACAAAAAGTTGACCCGTTTTCAATGCTCTATCTATATAATCTGCAGTCTTATGGTTTATTTATTTACTTTTAATTGCACCACTTAAAGGATAATACAAATATACATACATACATACAATTATATATATATATATATATATATATATATATATATATATATATATATATATATATATATATATATATATATATATATATATATATATATATATATATATATATATATATATATATATATATATATATGTATATGTATATATATATATATAATTGTCACTCACACAATATAAGCTCATAGCTGATTTGGAAGAAATATGAAAAAAATAAGTTCGTTTTACTTTTTTAAGAGGAATTAGTTTTAACTAAATGTAGTTAGCTAAAATTAAGTGTTCTGTACTTGGATATAATATAAAAAAACCCACACACACACATATATATATATATATATATATATATATATATATATATATATATATATATATATATATATATATATATATATATATATATATATATATATATATATATCTTCCAGACAACTATCTAATGGAGAAGAAAAGAAAAAAAACGGTAGCTATTTGGCGCAAGAAGTAACTAATAAAAAAAAAGAAAAATGCTCATATTAATAACACATGTGCAAATAATCTTATGCGCACCTTACATCTAAGTACTATAATGTAGTAGTTTTCTAAAATGGAAAAAAGATGGTAATGGGAACGGTAATAAATAGTAATTTAACGTACTTGTGGTATACAGGCGAGCGCCCCTCCCCCTCAGTTCCAAGACGAGCCGCCTATGTACGACTATAGAGACTACGAGTGCACCTATAAGGCGCCACTCAAGTGCCTCACCGTCGGCAGGAAGGAATACAGTTCTAGAGATTACAACAGGTTAGTTCGTATACCTGATTAGTTTTTTTTTTTCTTTTTTTTTGTATATACACAAATGTATATATGTACACTAACCGCAAATGTAAAATTCTTTTGTCCCCTGTGTTATACACTAGAGGAAAAAACTATGGGATCCAAAAAAATGCCAAATTTTTTGAGGCTTTTCAAGTAGCTGTATTTTCCTTAAAAAGGTCGTACTGGAATTTAAAAAAAGGATTTTAAAGCTCAAAGTTTTTACTTTTGAGATCTTATGATAAAAACATTTTTTAAGCAACGTGTTCCGCTCAATCCTAATGAATACCGAAAAAATATTTTTTTTTTAAATTGGTTCTTTTTTTGGTCTACGAAATTGGAAAAAAATTTTCTAACTTAACCACTATATGGATCGGATAGCTTGATCATTTAGCTTTAAAGCTGAATGAACAAGCTATCCGATCAAAAAAATTTTGCATATTTTTTATCCCTTAATTTTTTCCTCTAGTGTATAACGCAGGGGACAAATGAATTTTACATTTGCGGTTAGTGTACACTTTATTCAGTGTTTTTTTTTCTTATGATAATGGAATGGTAACCCCGCCTGAGCTAACGGTATACGCTGGCGAGGCATCAGGGATGATAGGTGAGAATGAAAAAGCAGGTCAGTTAGCCCATCGTAACGAATACACCTGGAATTCAGCACGATGGTTTCCAGGGCGGACCACGTAAAAATCGACCTGATAAGGTATATTGACTAGTCCATATTACTAACAACCCCCCCCCCCCCTCCTTTATTCAATGGTTTTATCACGATAAAAAACTATATTTTTCTTTCTAAAAAAAAAAATCTTAAATAACGCAATGTATTTTAAATTTTCAAATAGGGTTTAAATAGATTCAGGTCACACTAAAAAACAATAGGCGGTCTTGTCTCATACAGCGATCTCTCGCAAGCAACCTTTGAATGGAAAGGAGTAATTTATTGTTTGAAAATTGTGTCCCTTTTATAAATACTTTTTTTTATATTAATAAATCACCCATTAACTGTCCATTGCTACACATATGCCTCCCCATAAGAGGGGAGTTTTGCCAGTAGTTGCCACTCTTAGCAGGCAGATTAGCAACCGCAATTAAGCTTTGATGATGCTTTAAGAGAGACGCTACTGCCCATCCCTAGACCATTTATTTCCCTTAGTCACCTCTTACGACACCCATGGGAAATGAAGGGGTGACCCATTGTATACCGGGACTATATAGCGATAAATGCATATGTATGGGTTTGTGTATGTTTTTATTATGTTTTTACTGTCCTCATATTATTTGTTTTATTATTATTTTTGCATACAGGTACCACGAGCCTAGCACGGAACTGATAAGCAAGCAGCCACAGTACCAGGAGGTGCGCATGCGGCCGCGCGCGGACGATACCCAGGAGTACGTTAACACTACACAGGTATGTACACTATACAGGCCCATAGAATCCCATAAAATCGTTTTTCTGGAGTCATTTTATCTGGATGATGATATTTTTTCTGTTACGTGCGGTAATAACAATAATATCAGTTACTTTGTCACTCAAGAAGACCTAAATCCCGGTTCGCACTGATCTATTATTTGAAGACATTAAAATGGAAGTCTCCAGAATCTTTGTTGAATAAATGATTGAATGAAAATTTATTTCAATAATCCACAACACTTACATATAGTTAGATTGCAAGTAATAACAACTTAAAAAATATATATCGCACCTATGTTATCGGTATACGCTGGCAGAGCCCTAGTAATAGGCCAAGATGAAAGCAGGCCAATTGGCCTATCGCAATGTATTCTTTATAAGTTAACTACGATAATAATATATAATAGTATATAAGTGTATATAATGAGTAGGGATATATATTTTACATTATTACATGTATCATATCTGTATATTAAGAAATATTTTTTTTTTTTTTTTTTTTTTTTTATTTTTATTGACACATAAAACAGATTACAACCATAAGAAACTTAAGTAATAATTACATTTGTGATTCGGCTAGGTTATAATCCGATTATATTATGTGCACAGCTTGAGTAATACATTAAAAGCAAACACATAATATAAAAAGAAATAATTAAAATGTTATATAAATATATAAAAGATAAAACTATATATAAAAAAAAAACATATTTTCAATCGTGTTCTACATAATAGAAATCAAGTTCTTCCTAAATATCAAATATTTTGTACCGAATATGTCGATGGATTTGTGGTCGAGCAGTAAGTCATTATAATGACGACACATTCTTACCACAGGATTGTAATAAGAAGTGTTATTTTTGTACACTTGCAATGTAAACAATTTATGAGTGGGATTACGTGCTTTGTACCTCGTATTAAAATTTAAATTAAGCAGTAGAGATGGAGAATCTATGACGTTATGGATGATTTTGTACAGATATAGTATGTCACTACGCTGACGACGCCTCTCTAAAGATGTAATATGAAAGTGTTCAAGCTTGTTTTCATAAGAGCTCAGTTTGCGAAGCAAGCCCGTTCGAAACGCGAGTATATTAAGGCATTTTCGCTGAACACTCTCAATACGATCACAATGTACTTTATAAAATGGAGACCAGATACCGAGCCATACTCCAGAATACTTCTCACCAGTGATTGATATAGAGAAAGAAAACTGCTAGGATTTTTAAAATTTTTAGTTAATCTAGTAATAAATCCCAGCAGTTGGTTGCTTCTGTTTATAATACATTCATAGTGTGGTTTAAAAGAAAGTTGGTCGTCAAAAATAATACCCAGATCATTAGCGACATTTCTGCGTTCTAGTATTTGTCCATTAATAGTGTAATTATAAATTAATTTTTGTGATCTGCGAGTGAAAGACAACACAAATCATTTACGTACATTTAGACCCATTAAATTATTAATGCACCACTCGGATATTGTATCTAAATCGTATTGAAGCAATTGTGAATCATTGAAATCTCTTATGGTACAAAAAACCTTTAAATCATCGGCATATAATAGCGATGGACACCTTAGTTTTTCTACGAGGTCATTAATGAAGATAATAAATAAGAGAGGACCAATATGAGAACCTTGAGGAATTCCTGAGGTTACAGGAACAGGTGAGGATAAGTGTCCATTGAGCGTAACTAATTGGCTTCTGTTAGCGAGGTATGACTCGAACCATCGAAGAAGACTACCATGAATACCGAAGTGTCTAAGTTTATTACAAAGAGTCAAATGGTGAACCCTGTCAAATGCCTTGGAGAAGTCCGTGTAGATAGAGTCAACTTGAGTTCGGGTAGCAAATGCTCTACAAAGGAAATCTTTATATTCAAGGAGATTGCTTATTGTAGACTTTTTTGGTATAAAACCGTGCTGGTTAGGTGTTATAAATTGTGAGACGTGATAGTAGAGTTCATCGTAAATTAGACTTTCAAATAGTTTGGCAAAGCTACACAATTTACTAATCGGTCTATAATTCTCACACATAGTAATATCACCAGACTTGTGAATCGGTACAATGTGTGCAATTTTCCAACAAGTAGGAAAAGTACCAGATTCTAATGATTTATTAAAAATAATACAAAGGGGTACAGCAAGTTCTTTAAAGCAGGAGATAATAAAGAAAGGTGGTATGCGGTCTGGTCCAGCTCCCTTGTTGGGATCTAGTTTTTTTATTGTACTCCTTATATCAGATTCAGTGAAAGAAATTATGTGAATTGGGTAGTTCGGTACAGTAGCTTTATAAGAGTTCGAGTTCGTTACGCTATAAGGATTGACAAATACAGAGCTGAAATAACTGGAAAATAATTCACTAGCTTCATTATAATTAGTAGATGTAGAACCGTTAAATTTAAGTGTAGGCGGTACGGCATAATAAGATTTTCTATTATGAACATATCTCCAAAAGTGCTTGACATCAGACATAAGAGATTCCTCTACTGATGATAAATAGTTCTTATGACACTCATTAATAAGTCTTTTGCATCGAGTTCTAAGAAGAGCGAAAGTATCATAGTCCCGGGGATTGCCAAATTTTTTATATCGTTTATGGTACTTATGCTTTTCAGACAGACACTTCCTTAACGAGCGACTAAACCAACAAGGGTACGAATGTGAACCAACTACTGTTAACGGTATATGTTTACTTATTAAATTTTCAAGTATTTTATAAAATGTCTCAGTTGCACTATTAACGTCTGCATATGACAGTACATTTGACCATTCGATGCACCCAAGCTCAGCTCTAATTTTTTCATAGTTACCTTTACGGAAATTCGGACGCTGGCATATTTTAGATTTGGGAGGATTGAAACTATTTGAAGTGTGTATATCTATACAAAGACAGGGATGGTGTTCATCGATTCGAATAAGAGGACTCGCTGCATAAACCTGTAGGGTTGGCAAATTAGAAAGTACAAGATCCAAGTAACGGTTGTTTTTATTTGGTATATTATTGAATTGGTTTAGGCCACACAAAGATATAACATCAATAAGAAGGCAAGCTTTACGATCTTGGGGATCACTCGGTGTCATTGCCGCGTAATTAGGTGATCCAGACCATAAGATACCAGGCGTATTAAAATCACCAATACACAAAAAATCACTCAATTCGTTAGAGCGTAACATTATATTCTGAATGTTATTATAAAATTCTTGCAACATTGTTGTTATTAAGTCAGGAGGTAAATAGCACAGACATAAATTTATCACCTTATTTTTTGAATTATTAGGAAAAATACTTAACCACAAATCCTCGACTCCACTTTCCCAACAAACCTGACGGACACATCTGAGATTCTTTTTTACTGCAATTGCGATTCCACCCCCTTCAGTTTTATTGATAAGAGTTGTGGAACGATCTCTGCGAAAGACATTGTACCGAGTATCGAGAAATTCAGCATCAAATACAGAGCTATTCAGATTAGTCTCCGTCAAGCAGATAACATCATAATTAGAATTTAAAATATTAATATACAATTCGTCCAGCTTAGATCTAATCCTATTGACATTTTGGTAGTACACAAACATAGATAATTAAAATAAGAAATAAAACAGAGTTACAATATGCTAATATGACAAAAAAAAAATACAAAAGTTTATAAAAAATAACGATATAATAATTATAGAATAAACGTGGAGGAGTGACCGAATTACAACCTGGCCAATGAATCCTCGTTTTTAATCGAAATACAGTTTGAGTTGTCGTCTTTACGCACATAAATGCGACCGTATTTCACCCAGACATACTTATATTTCTTTTCCTTTGCGACGATTCTAGTTTTAGTATGCAGAGACTTGCATTCAGGCGACAGGTGTTCAGCGATATATATTCTACGTGTCTCACCAGAAACTCCTAAGTGAGTAGAGCTAAGCGGCTCATTTGCGTTGGTCTTATTAAATCGTGATACCGAGGATAGTATGATGTCTCGCAGGCGGGGTGTGGAGAGGGTTAATAATATATTTCTCGGGCGATTCGATGATGAGCTAATCTTAAATTGAATTTCATCGTGCCTCCGATCAAACTGTTTATAATTACTCCTCTCCATTCAAAGGTTGCCTGGAAGAGATCGCTTTTAGCGATAAGGCCGCCCATTGTTTTCTCATTGGGATTATTTCTTGCAATTGTTTATATTTATAATAAGTTTACTATTGTAATCTTTTGGAGGAAATAATAAAGAGTATCTATCTATCTATCTAAAGAAGTTCTTCAACTTTCCTTCCTTCAAGAGAAGGAGGTACAAAATTCGCTTGTATTTTTTTTTTATTTGTTACCTCTTAACTCCGTCAGTTTTTAACTGATTTCGAAAACTCTTTTATAAGGGGGACATCCATTTTTCTTAAGTTCCTTTTGTCGTTTCTTACGATACTCACAGGAAAGGAAGGGTGGCCCGTTCTATGCCAGGGCCACACAGCGAGATACCCACTCCGCTAGGGTAAATTAATGCACGTAATTTTTTTATTTTTTTTTTTATTAAATAAAATATGTGGCTTGAGGGGGAAAGCGATTGTTAGTAATGGAGACTGAGAATCCCATTGCTAGCAATATACCCAACCAGGTCGACCTCCTCGCGGTTCTCCCTGGAAACTATTATATTTAATTCCTGATGAATTCATCATGATGGGCTAACTGACCTGTTTTTATTCTCATCTATCACCCTTCAGTGTATCCCGTTAGCGCAGGCGGGGTTATCATACCATTTACAGCCACCAAAAAAAAAATACATGGCCTTTCCTTGTTCCTTGTCCTTCTGTCTACCGACACTTCCAAAATTTAATCTTCAAACCAATTTATATGTACCGATTCCAGGCAACTATATTTTTTTATTGTTATTTAATATTAAACGTTACTATGATATTTTTATACCTACAGATATGTCCACCGGAGGAGGTGACGTCACCGCTTGGTACGTTTAAACGACAACGGTGCCTGCGGTACAAGCAACGTCGACCAAGGCCAATACTACGTTCCAAATCCGATATCTCTGATAGGTGAGTTCAAAAATAATAAATAAGTTCTCAATTTTGCTATTTTTGTGGGCGTTGTACTAATACTTCACTAATTATAAACCAATTCTAAGCAATTTTGCCCATTATAATCACGTGTAAACAATGATATCTGTCGTGTCTAAGTACATGCCCAAGATACTGTAAATATGAAAACAAAATAATGTGAATGTGTCCGTTAATGTCACGTTCACAGTGCGAACGTCTATTAAACGAAACAAATTCTGTTATAATTTGTGTAAGGTGGACTTTTTAAAACATATTGACAGTTTTGCTTGTTGTGAAGTATAGAAAACTACCTTAAATCTATGTTGTGAAGCGAAATCTATGATTATGTGTTTTAAAATCAAATATTACAAATTATTGCGTGCTATTTTTTTGCGAAGAAAAAGGTAGATAGATAGATACTCTTTATTGTTTCCTCCAAAAGATTACAATAGTAAAATTATTATAAATATAAATAATTACAAGAAATAATCACAATGAGAAAACAATGGTAGTGCGAGTTTATGAGTGCAAGTATTTTTGAACAGTGATATTTTATGTTTCTATCACAAAATCATAAATGTTACAGATATAGGCGCACGGACGGCCGCAGCCCCGCGTCAGCTCCCTGCGAAGGCGAAGACTCCCCCGACAGCCCGTCAGAAGAGTCAACGCGACTACAGCACTTCTTCGAGCGGCTTGGACTCGACGCGAGACAGTACGAGGCTCTTGTCAGGGACTCGGCCTCTGAGAGTCCTGTTTTCTTTTCATCAGCGTCCACGGTGGACTCTAATCAGTTGGCCGCCGCCGCGGATTATACGGTAATATTGTTATTTTTTTTTTATGGTTACAAATTTAAAATGTAAACAGCAAAATATTGTTGTTCATTTGAGTCTGTACCTATTTTATTATAAGGTACGGTAAAAGTAGGTTGCATATTTATTTATTTATGTTTTTGTATATTCATTTTTAATATAGATATTAAGTTATAACAAAAATGCACACAGGCGGAGTTATTATCCCTTAATGGGATTTTTTCCAGTCAACCTTGAGAATCCATTTTTTTTTGTTATTAATTTTATTAAAATTAAATTTTCTTATCTTAGGCAATGTTACACAATTACTAGCTATGAAGCTATGGGATATAGCTTCATTTATGAAAACCAATAGATAAAGTATCCCAATTGCTTAGTTATAACCGACCCATGCACCAAATTTCATTAATTTCAATTCAAATCCGTTCTGTAGTTTTCGTCGAAAGAGTATCCATCCATCTGTCATTATAAACTTTCATTTATATAATTTTAATAAGATTTAATTTCTGTAAGTGGTCCTATATTAGGTCTACTACCCTAAACCTAAACCTAAACTTAAACCTTTTCATGAAACAATGTTGTTAATTTTATAATTTAAATTATTAGGCTATGGAATGAGCTCCCTGTCGAAGTTTTCCCTAGAGTCTACTACAACAGTATGGAATTCTTTAAAAAGGATATATTAAGGTTTCTTCAGAGTCGACAATGCGCACGTTAAACCCCTGTTGCAGGCGACCATAGGCTACAGTAATCGTTTAACATCAATCGGGTTGTATGCTTGTTTTGGCACCTTTGTAGTATAAAAAAAAGGTCTGGCCAAGTAGTAAGTATATGATTTTTTTTACAGGTACAAGGACCAACTGTACAGAAACAAATTTACAGAAATACAGAGCCCCCTAGTGTGGTGGAGAGGAACGCACGTATTATTAAATGGCTCTGCCAATGCCGAAAGACACAGATGCAGCAACCGCAATGAAACTAAATCAAGACAGTAGTTTAAAATAACCCCACTTAACATTTATATGGCATAGACTTTTTCATTTATTAAGCTTTGGCCAGAGACCATCATCCAATGACATAGACTAAAAAAAATTTAAAGTTGATCCATGTTAAATTTTAGAATAATGTAATTTTTTCGGTACCAAAATAAGACGTTCTATTTTTGAACTATTTTTTATCAATGACAACTATACTCTACGCTTTAGTCAACGATTTTTTTTTAAGAGAAATTAAGAGAAACTTCGTATCGAACATGCTACGATTTTCGGTCTACTACGAAAATATCGACTAAAATTCTTTTCTGTGCGCGACTATAAAAAAAAAACACATAAATAAATGAAGGAACTAATTAATACTAATTAAAAGTAAACATTTAAACAAAATTATCTTTCGCCTATTTAGTCAACTCGAACTGGTTAGTATTCTAAATATAGTGAAATATAGAAACAAATATATTGATATAGTAGATTACTTCTGTTGAACAGAAAATGTGTTCAGATGGCTGGCAGAGACATTGGAGTATCCTTTTTCTCAAAATAATAACTCGATTAAGTATCATACTAAATCGAGTACGATAAACAATTAAAGGCAAAGCAAAAAATATTAAAGGCAAAGCTATCGACTGCTGGTAATGCGATACTAGTTCATTAGGTAGTTTAAATATAATTATTAAATAATTAATATAAGCTAATGAACTGTACATGTAGAAACAGACGAATCTATTAAAAGACGCAATATGATATTATAATTTTTTATTAAATTTTTTTCTTACGAAGTATTGATGTATCAATATTAGCTATACTTACATAATAAATAACACCCAATAATAAAAGGACCACAACATAATTATGTACCTATATACTTATATGTAACACCTATCTATACCGCTCTTCCATAATATGACTTTAGATCGTATGATCTAAGCATGCAGCGACAAATGTACGTAACGCGCGTTCTTACAGCCATTTTCTTTTTGACGTGACGTCACATAACCTAAAAATCTATGAAAGAAATTCTAAATAGGTAATAACTAGTGCAGGACTAACAATAATAGATACAAAAATTATTGAATGATAGACACCTCACGTCAAATTAGTTGATACAACCGTCTACCGAAGTTAACATACGTCTGTAGATGTACACATATAAAACAATACCCAATTTTTGCGCAGTTGTGTAATAATAGTGTCTCGTTTTTTTTCAAACATCTGAATTCAGTACCTACTTGATATTAATATATATTTTTCATAATAACTATGTACAACTCGTGAGCTTAGTCGTAAGATATAAAAACACGTTATTTTGAATTATAAAAATTCCCTTATTGGTTTCTACTGTATCAAATTAGGTGCTAAATACTCAGAACGAAGAGTTTTTTATTTTATTATTCATTGACATTATACATTTTTAAGTCTTCTTGTTTTTCCTACCCTTATCCCAATTATTACATTGGGTTGGAGTAATACGTTTTATATCCATATTAAAAAAAGATTTGGCTTAGGTTTGCGACCGGCCACCTGTATGACGTCAACCCTCGTTGGGAACATTTTTAAAAGTATCGATCAATATTACCCATAGATAAATTTCTTTATCTTTTTTTTAAATAAATATAATAAATACAGTAATAAAAATAGTTTATAATAATATCATTTAAAAAAGTTATAGAAAATAGCTTTTCTTTGGAATAAACAAAAAAATCTGTTTATGATATCTTTACTTTTTTATAGGACAGTATACTAATCATTATCCAATCTACAATTTGTGTCTTGAATTTGCATAAAGAAAATTAAAAAAATTACAATATTCTGTATTTATATTGAAAATCATATATATGTATATACAGGAATAAAAAACCGAGTATTTAGGTTTTTTATTCCTGTATATGCATATATATGACAATATAAATACAACCTGATTAATACTAGTAAAAGTTGTTTATTAAATGATATTATTATAAACTATTTTTATTACTGTATTTATTATATTTATTTAAAAAAAAGATAAAGAAATTTATCTATGGGTTTCTTGAAAGTTATAAAAAAGTTATAGAAAATAGCTTTTCTTTGGAATGTAATTCTTTTAGAATCTATAAAAAATCTGTTTATGATATCTATTCAAGCTAATGATAATATGATTTTTTATAGGACAAAGAGTATATAAAACATTGTCATATACTAGGACACTTACTTATTATCCAATCTACAATTTGTGTCTTGAATTTGCATAAAGAAAATAATAAAAAAATTACAATATTCTGGTCATATCGTTTTCATCCAATCAATTGAAAATTATATGTGAAAAACAAGACACCGGATATCGTCATTTCTTTCTGTCTTATGTATTTAATCATCTTGCTGGCGAAAACAAGTTTTCGTAGATGCAGTAAAAACCAATAAGGTGAAGGGAAATATTTGTAAGTAATAATGTTCCTGTTAATGGATTTGTCATTGTTAATAACACATATTTAGTATATTTCCAAATCTGTACCTACCTATATAAAAAGGTTCAAAATAATGTAAGAAATTTTAAATACGAGGTAATTGATGGTTTTAAATGGCGCCATGTTGCGTCAGTGTGACCATAGAGCATGATCTATCTGTATTAAGACCGTATTACACTATCAAATATGTAGATGTATATTTAAATTTTAAATACAGGCTGAAAAGAATAAAGTGATCTCACGATTTCAAAAATATATTTAGATATTTTACTGATATTAAATAATGAAGTAATTTAGATGTATATAAAATTTTATCCCAGTCGGTTGAGAATATATCCATACCTATATTTACATTTCTTGTAATAATACATCTAATTTTAAGTAATAAGTTAAATATTATTTCAAATCTGCTCCCTTAATATGCACTTTTTTACTGCTTTTCCTACCTAACACGTTACCAGGAAGTCACGTTACCAGAGTCAGTATTCATCGTCGCCTCATATTCAGGACGAATCCCCAGTCATAATGTATATTTTTAAAATCCATAAACAAAGAGATAATTAAAAATACTAGATGGCGCTGTTTTTGTTTGAAGAAAGTCACACCTTACTGATGCTAGTGTCAGCTCATTGCAGTAGCTACGTATTCATGTGATGTTGGGAGCACAAAATGGATCAAATTTAGCTTATATACTTATTTAAGTTGTGCCAAATTGTACCATTGTAATTAATAGTTTTAGCCCATTTATAATGAGTTTAATTTAAAAGATTCACAGCCTGAATTTTTACTCTAATTTTATTTAATTTACTGTAACGTCCGATATTTTAACCGAATTATAAAAAAGAGGTTCTCATTATTGAAACTTCTTTGTGGTCATGATGTAAATTTAAGTCTTGCCACATATATATGTTGATATTATTTTTTTATATGTTTTTTGTTTGTATTCAAATGGTTATCTTGTCTTGTATCTACACGTATTATATATACTGTTGCTCATAAGAATATTATTTTTCACTTTGACCTTTTACACTCATTTTCAATGTAGGTGATTTATGCTTATCTTAATTCCTAATTGTGAACCGATTGTATAATTTTTTTTTTATTTTAATACGTTTATATATATTTAAATCTTTACTTTATCAGAGCTTTATTTATGGAAAATAGTAATTAATGTACTTATTTATAAAATAATTAGATAAAATATAATAAGTACATAATACTAATATAATTAATACTTCTTAAAAATAAATGTTGGGTGTGCATCTTTTAAATTTTACTGTGTACAGTCATGAATAATAATATATAAACATATGACTAAAAGCCTCCTACTATGATGAATTGGTTATCGCACCACCAAGGGTTCCATGTTAAAATTATATGTAAATGATAATTTTTCAAGTTTGTTTATTATGTTTCCTATGAAATAAACATCTGAAATTCAATAATTTATAACTAATAATAATTTAAAGTTTCGAGATCTCGTTTTAGACACTTTTAGAAAACATTTTTATTTTCTTTTTAAATAATGAATTTTTATTGGTTTGAAAATAAAATGATAAGTCAATCGGTGGTGGACTGGAACTATTCCATTTTTTAAATGGACACTTGTTCTTGAAATATTGCATTGTGACAGTCGAACGGGCGAAATTGCAAAATAAGAGATTATACATATTTTGTATAGAACCTTAAAAGTCAGTAAATACATATATAATATTACACATGACTGTACATTGAATTTCTAAATATAGGGGAGCAACAGAACAAACAATTGTTTTAATTCACAATTGCAGAAACTGCAACGTCTACAACTATCATTAACGAAAAAGGACGTCATTATATACCGTAAAATGACTAAAAAAATACGTCCTTTTAGAGTCTTAGTCGTCAACATTGCTACCCGCAATTTTGCTGTCTCTGTTTAGATTCTGATGTTCCTCTACAATTAGAATACATTTGTGCATGTATTTACTTGAAAATATGTATTTAATATTATTTATTTCCTATTTTTACTCCACTATAAATCTACTTGATATGTAAAGATTTTGTACGTACTTATATTAATTCAGAGATACCAAACGGAGACGTTGTACAAAAGTCGTTTGCTTTGGCACCTCTGTACTATTCGTGTTTCAACCGTGAAGCAGTTGTGTTTGCATGGCTGTGTTTCGGTTTGAAGGGTGGGATATGGCAGTGAATTTACAGGGTACAGAGGAACACATATATAATAACACCTGAATTCTCAGGAATGACAACGCATGGGAGGTATCATGGGCGAAACAGGCTGTTATGTCCATGGTATTGCTCATGTCCATAGGCGACGGTCACCACTTTACATCAGGTGGATCGTCAGATTGTTTGCCATTCTAAGTTGCATAAAAAAATACCTGTTTCCCAAATATCACGAAACGTTATTCTTTGATCGTTTTCCATCCCAAAATGACCGTATAATGACGTCTTTTTGCAGTCATAGACGTCACCATTATTATGTGGACTTAATAATATCTTCTTCTGGATAAAGTGTAACTACTTTTCTGCATATCTAGCTAATCCATTATCATTATCATCATCATCATCATATAAGCTGTTAAATATTTACTGCTGAATATAGGCCTCCCGTATAAAAGGTGGTTCTGCCAGTAGTTGCCACGCTTGGCAGGCGGGTTAGCAACCAATTAAGCTTTGGTGATGATTTAAGAGAGTGTTGCTACTCATCCCTCGACCACTAAGTTCGCTTAGTCGGCTCTTCTGGTGGGCCATTCCATTCTAATCAGATTTCCTTAATTATAGTAGGTACTGTACATAAATAAAATAATAAGATATATTTATTAAAATTATTTATTATCAATTTTTAAGTAACTACATGCCAAACTAAATATAGGTACAAAAATAAATATACATGTTACATTAATATAATACAGACAATATTACAAAAACGAAAAATATTTATGTCATAAAGCATAATAATATTTTAATTATACTTACTTAAAATACAAATAATAAAATAGTTCCGAATGTAACGCAACAATCAATAAAGTACATATATTTAATCATTGTGTAAATAAATGTTAGACTGCTCTAATCTCAAACTTATTGTATTAAGTACTTCAATGTAATAACCTCTTGATGATTACATCATTTAAACTTATATTTTACGAATTACAATATTAATGTAACTGTTGGTTAATATTAAAAAAAAAAAATATTAGTCTATTGTAATAATTTGTTTCGTTATAATCAAATAAAGGTCTCTACATTTCTCGTTCTAAAAGACTGTCATTGGTTTTTATATTCTGTGATAATGAATGATAGAATCAAAATATATTACGTGAGTGGTACGTATGTCGTTCTCTCGGTGTTATAGACTTTTCTATATAATTTATAATCTCTTCCCCTTATTCATAAAGACTAAAACCTAGAGAGTTCCTTTAACTATTACACTGTTTTGTCGCTTTCTTTCAAATTAGGATTTTAGCACCGAAGATAGAGACAAAAAGTTCAATATCTAAAATGGATTTATAAGAGGTTTGATGTATTTATGAATACGGGGGTGTTTTATATTATCTTATTATATATACTTGGTAAAATTAATTAATAATCTTGGTTAATTTTTATCAGAATAACAATTCATAAAGTAAACAAACAGCTCGATATAAAGGTCTTTGTATTTATTATTTAATAGCTTTTTTTACGCGTGAATTTGCCTGCGTGACCGAGATATGTTAATTGGGATAAAAGTAGCCTATATCCTTCTCCATTCTAGATAGTGTGTGTATACTGAATTTCGTAGTGATTGGTTAAGTTATAAGGTGATAAATAAACTCACTTTCAAATATTAGTTAGGATACAGTGTGAAATGAACATCGTTTGATCCCTTCTAATGGAATGTTCTAGTAATGAAACTAAACATTTTACCCAAAGGAATATGGGTCGAAAAATGTCAAATTTTAAACTTCTATACTGACATAGCAAATCTACTTCAAAAAGAAGAAAGTTCTCAATTCGGTTGTACTTTTTTTTTGTTACGTCATAACTCGGTCAGTTACCGATTTGATAATTTCTTTTTTTACCTGAAAGTATACATACAGATTGGTCCTATAGAAATTTTATCAAAAACGATTTAACGATTTAGTTTTGAAATATAAATAACAGGTTTTGTCCCAATTGAACTCGGTTATATTTAATAGAACACAATTTAAATTTTTTAAATGTTTAAATACGTTAAAATCATACTATGATTATTTATTAATTATGCCAAATAATGAAAAACTTACTTATAAATTATTATGATGAATAATTTATTTCATCATTTAAGAATTTTTTGATATTGAAGTTATCGTTTGTAATTTTATATGTTATCTTCTAAAATAACTTGAAAAATATATACCTATGTACATTGTTTTGTGTGAATATGTGTGAATGCAGCTAAAATTAAGTATAAACTTTGCATTTAAAAATGAAGCATCATACAATATGTATTTTGTTGTATTATTGATATTTAATAGGTACCTAAATAGAACACAAGATAAAAAAAAGTGTGCAGTAAAGTGCGTTTCATATTATGCGAGTACCATGATTTAGCTGATTTTTTTCAACTAGGATACCTAGCAAATCAGCTAATTCATATATATACTAACATGGGCATATACAATTCATTTCGTGTATTAACTCGCCGAATTTAATAGTCATCTTGGGCTATAGACGCAATATCAACAAACTGACATAGCCTCATTGTCGGGTTATAGAAAATTAATCGTATTTTGACTTGATATTACTTTTAACCTCTAACCCTCTTATTCATAAAAACCTAATTTAGCTATTGATTTGTTTTCTCTTTCTCTTTTGTGCTAATTTCTCAGTTTGAAAGACAGTGACGAAACATTTTAATAATTAAAATAGATTTGCAAGACGTTTTGATTTTTATGAATAAGAAGGTAACTTTGTAATTTTGATTTTGACAAATTGAAAAAAAATAACTTCTGGTACTGACTGATACAACCTACTGCACACCAAAGTCTGGTACCTTAATTGTAATATATAAACCTATAGGTACAGATTAAAATAACCTACCTACATTTGTATTGCTAATACTCGTCATATTCTTACTGTATCTTTGACATGTTTTAATCTACCTATGTTATTGTGTTTATTAAAAGATAACGGTCATCTAAAGTTTAGTATAACAATATAGGTCATTTAGTATTGGATGCTTCCATTATTTGTGTAAATAAAATTTACGTATATTGTTAGATTTTATCGCGAAAAAAGAATTTTATTGTGGTCTGATGAAATTCGTTGTTTTATTTATATTTCCTGCTATTTTTTAAAAAAAATACTACTTACTTTATGGTAGAAAGGTTAATATTTAGAAAAATAAGAGCTTGTTTTATAAGATTACTAGCTCTTACCTACGACTTCATCCGTGTAACCGAAATATATTTACTAACCGAGATAAAAAGTAACCTATAACTATTCTACTTCGCCCCACACAGTACGTGTATATCAAATTTCATATTAATTAGTTAAGCTTATAAGGCACCAAAAGGTAACAAACTAACTCACTTTCACGTTTATAATATATAATAAATCATAAATCAAACAATGAAAATATTTAAAAATCGGTTTTTCTTTTCTTTTTTTAAATGAAAATCTCCTAAAACGCAATAATATTGAGATGTGTACTCGTACTCAAACACTTGGGAAAAATAGAAGATATTACATATTTTTTTACTAAAAATCTTATTAAAATTTCCATTTCTGACTTTAGGTATCTCTGAGATTTTATTTAATTTTATTCTACTACTATTATAAATGCGACAGTTTGTCAGGATGTATGATTGATAGACGTTAATTTTTCGCACAAATACGACTGAACGAATTGAATAGAGTTTAGTATACGAATAGTTATATTCTAAAATATAGAATACTTTTTATTCTGAATCACGAGGGCGAGTCTACGAAATTCAGCTATTAAATATTAATAGGTGTTAAATTAAACAGCCAATATTCATACATTTATATTTCCGTTCATTCTAACAAGAGGAGATTGGAACGTTAAACATTCCTGCTATGTATTTACATATATTTGTGTTTTGCTGTATAACTTTTAATATGATTCAATAAAATAAATACGAATAAGAATAAATAAAGAGAAAATATAATATGTAAGAAAATATAATTGATTTGAAATTTACTTATTGTTTCCGTGTCTCAGGAACCGGAAGTCTAAAAATGGTGATTAATGATAAACATGTAACATGAGTACATACAACATAGACTGAAAATTGTAAAGAGTAATTAGGTTATTTTTTTAGATTGTCTTTTCCTCTATCTTTGTTTTTGAAGTGGAAAATTGATACATAATTAGACACAAATTTATTGACGTCTACGCAAACTATTGTTTGAGTAACTAGAAGATAAGTTAGGTTCGACAGATTATATTGTAGATTCCTTTAGCGCGCGCCTTCATGTGAAAGAACAAAACATTAAATGTTGCTACCTCATCAAAGTATTCGATGCGTTGGCTAGCATCTATGTGCCTATGTCTATTGGCTTATTATTGGCTATGGGCTCTTCGCGTAGAAAGAAAATGTCATAGATTAAGTACTTGCGCTGTAAGATACTATTTAATTGTGTATGTCCACATATTGTGTAGATCTGTATCTCTTTTAATAAAAAACATTTGTATAATATCCATGCAACCACTTAAATTCCAGACAAATTATCTTTTTGAAGACTAGGCAGCATGGTCTCCGACCTTAGCCTGTTCCAAACGGAACAAACGTACTAAAAAAAAAAAAAAAAGCAACCACTTAATTGTATTTATTGTAAAGTACTATAAAGTAGCTGAATCTTTTGTTTGTGAGATATATCAATATCAATATATTTTAAACAAAAGTATATTATAAACAGTAGTACAATATATTGAACATTCACTTATTTTATTGTTCTCATACATGATAAATGGTTGCATAAATTTTTCATTTTTATCAATATTAAGTGGTGTTGAGTCTAAATAATCTAATCTAAGCTGTAGTGGTTTGTTTTTGTGTGGCGTAAATATCAAAATATTTATTTTTAATATTGCGCATATATATATTTTTCTAAAATTAATTAATTTATTAGTAAACAGAATAAATTTAGATAATAATACCAATATTCACTTTTACAAATAATTCATACGAAAACTGTGTTTTATATTCACTAGGTCATACTGATTAATTTTATATAAATGTTGCGTCATTGTTTCCAGTTAAAAAACTAGTGTAATTTATTTGCAATTGTTGTGAAATATTGCTTTATGTGTCGTAGACTGTCGCACTACTGTTGAAAAGTAACCACACGTGTGGTTAATAGTGGATTAAAAGCATTTTAATGATATTAAAAGAATATATTGATATGGCACCTAAGCGCGGGAAACGAGTGAGTGATGGCAGTGATGAAGACGAGGACTACAGGAAGCGAAGGGATAGAAACAACGAGGTATTTTTTTAATCTAAAAAACTATTATTGTCTTACTGCTGTATAGAATCTATTCTTGCGAGATGAAATATACCCTAATATTGCTGATTAGATGGCACGGCATTGTTTTTTAATTGCAGTTTCCCCTATCTGACACGTGTGTACTTGTTCACAGAATATGTTTAAATAGAAATAGCTACTAGTAAAATTTAAAATTAATTCTACTTTGTAAAACAGCAATTGCTATTTTACAGCCAATAGTTAAAACAGTGGTGACCAGTATAGCTAATTTAATTTTGTAAACAATAATTTATGTAAATTGAAATATTGAAAAAGCTGATCTCCTACTTGATTGACTAACTATGGACTAACTGGCAGCACAAATTATTCTTCAGACTAAAATACAGTCATACAAGCACCACAGCTGGGGGAAAGGGATTGCTAGTAATGTTCAGTACCAGTCCCATTGCTAGCAATATGCCCTGTCAGGTCAACCTCCACATGGTCCCCCCTGGAAATTGTGCTGAATTCCTGGTGTACAATTGGCTAACTAATCTGCCTTTTCAACTCCCCTGTCATCCCTCATTGGTGCCCCGCCGCAATCACCATCAGCGTAAGTGGGGTAACCATTCCATTATCATTTATTAAAAAAAGCATAGCAGCTTGGTGACTAATTGATTGAAACAAAAGTATTTAAGCATATGAATTCTATACAAAATTACTAAAAAATGTTTATTAAATATTTTTCAGGCAGTAAAAAAGAGCAGATTTAAGTCAAAGCAGCGTACACAAGAAACATTCACAAGGGTGAGCAAACTGAAAGAAGAAAATAAAGTGTTAGAGGAGAAAGTGAAGACCCTAACAAAAGAATTGCAATTTCTAAAAGAACTCTTCTTGGCACATGCATCAAATACACAGAATTCTAAATTTGAAGGTATTGACCTGGAGAAGCTTCTAGAAGATGTCCCAGATAAGGAACAAGAAAATAGTAGTAAAAAATGATTGGATAACTAGATTTATGCAAATGACTGGGTAAATATAGTTCTTTAAGTTAGTAATGGGTACTCTAGTGTTCAACAGCCATATATGTTTCTTAAAGAAAGAGACAGATGTTATTATTGATCTACACACAATCTTGTGTGAATAATTTGCTATTCCATATACAGGCTGTAATCAAAATCTCCAGCCATATGTAAAACTAAAAATCTACCCAAGCTATAGAATATATTAAGAGAAAAATTCAGTAAATCAAAACTTTTCCAATTGAATGAAACCAATCCTCTATGGGGTCTAAGTGTGGTGGCTTAAGCCGAGGTTCAAGCCGCTCTGTCACCTTTGAATGTATGCCACATCTATCGGTAAGAGTCAACACTTCATCACTCCCCCCTTGTGGTCTTGGAGTGCCATCTACATTTGTCCCTGCATATGCCCAGTGAAGCTATAAATGCCCTTTGCAGCTAACAGCATTTAGAGATCGAAAAGTAATCAAATTTTTGAGCATTCCATACTGGCTGTACCATTAGTTTGTTAGCTCATCTTTTGTGGGGGAAAATTTTCATTTTCCATTATAGTACTCTACAGTTTAGATTTCACCTGTATAAAAATGGTACATATTTCGCAAGCTAAACTCAACTTTTGCAACTCTCCATAAATACTATTCTGTATCCATAGTTTATATCCTATGTTAAGTGTTAGAATACTGACATATTTTGACCATGGACAAGCACCTACCTGGCGCTCATATATCATAATCAAAAACCAAGTTCTATTTGTGTTCAGCAGCTGTATTGGATATTGAAATGTAGTGTGAGATACCTAGACAATATATGTATATAAATGTAATTTAGAATTAAGTAAATTTAAACAGATTTTACTGCAAATTCTCATTTACTTGCATTTTGGTAAAATGTATTGTTTTTCTGTGATGATTTTTTTAATGACTAGACATTTATGTAATTTATTGCATAAATTTAGTGACAGATATCTGAAATGAATTCTTCAATACGTAAAAGATCAGCATTGCTAATTGAAATGTTCTAAGATACTGTAAGTCATAGGCATATTATTGTTACACTAACTCTCCCTAATACTATGTTCATTATGATATAGGTACTTACTTTTCTCTCATAATAGAAGTGTGCCATATCTCACAAATGTCTGGCATTTGCAGTACATTTTATAAAGGAGAAAATTGAAACAAAGTGTTAGAACATTGTAATATTTATTGTTAAAAAATAGATTCTTATATATCTACTATGTAATTTATAAGTATAAAGCTAAAATGAGCTAAAATATTGAAAATAAAGTATTTTATTTACAGGAACTTCAGTCATTTTATTTTCAAACCTATATTTTCAATCAATACTCGATTTTTTTTATATATACACATAAGAAATTGAACACATGCTACACACAGAGTTACAGATTTCAAACAATAATAAATCAACATTGTATTGCAAAAAACATATTGTAGGCAGTCGATTCAGAAATCCCATTCCTTAAATCTGTAAGACTCAAATTGACAGTTATAAAATAGTTCTGATTCAATTAAGATTTTACCTGCGGGGAAAAATTCTTTAAAAATTGCGTTAGCTAATGCTTGAACGCCCCTTTTACCCAATAAAAAAAATCTCTAATATCAAACAACAGAGTTTCAGAGATAGAGAATGACATATCAGAATCGATCCCAAAGACAGCTTTAATAAAAAGATTACATGCAACAAAGAAGCTTTTATTTTTCTTAATTGCACATTAAGTTTTATCACAAATGAATAAGGAACATACGGGTTTGAATTATATAAACATGTCTTTTAAATTTAGAATGATAAATTAAATTACGACCTGTCTGATGGAGCGCGACCATAGACAAGAACAATACATTAAACATTGTATAATAAACATATACAGAGTTTCCACTAAGGATAAATCATATGCTGTCAATACTAAAATTAATCAAATTCAACCTTCATATTTAACCACTTTTATTATGGCAAAATATCAAATCTTTTTACATAACAATGTACACGGCATAATAAATTTGATAGTTTCATAAAAAAATTAAACTACCTACAGATATTACTAACATACGATTATTAACAATATATCAATAACGTGCAAACGAATCTGTCGATAGAGACGTTTTCACTACTACATGTATAAGATAGAACGAGACATTGATGTGTAGCGTCTTATTATTCTATACCTACCTAAAGATTTGCTTGCTATTTGTTAAAAGTAGCTAGCTAATTAAAATCACAGCATACAATAATCAAAGTTTTTAAAACTAGATGAATGTTATGTCATATTTATGATTTCCAACGAGGAAGCTTTTCTGCAAATTATTTGCAATGTCTTTATGATTATTATCATATCAATTTTAATAAGTTAACCACTAAATAGCGGTACATATTGTTGGCATATTTTTTGTCGAAATTGGCAATTAAAAAATAAGACAGACAAAGAAATAATGTTAGGTTATTTTTCGTATTGTAGTTTCAATAAATAACACAATTTACACGCCAAGATTGTTTACTAAAAGTGACAAGTTAAAAAAAACTACCTAATTAGAGACTATAGTTATGAGCTTATTTATTTTTATATAAAAAAAAGACATTTTGAAAGTAAATAACAACCCACATCAGTCATACTCATGAACGGTTTCAGTTTGTAAGGACTAATTTTTTCTGATCACTAAAACTGACTTGTTACTTGGTTATTATGTTAATAAATTACTTTTTATGATTTGATATTTGACCTTGTAGACTGTATTTATAAAAATTCATAACCAGTAAATTTTAATTTTTGAAAAAAAAAGAAAGCAGAGTTCCTCTCGGCTGAAATTGCATTCCAAATGAGCGTTAGAATCATAAAAAAATAATTATTTTAAAATGCTTAAAGTGTACTTGGTAAAAAATTAATTTAATTCTTTCATACGCTACATGGCCAACAATATAATGGGTCATTGAAAAAGATGATAAGGTATATCACACACTAAGTGACCTGTGAGAGATATAAACAATCGAGTATTATTTACTTCTGTTGATTGAGGAATTTTTCTATCTAAAATACATGTTCAATATGAATGAAAGTGATGTGAGCGGGGGAGAATGGGATCGTTAGAAATAGGGTCTAATAACCCCATTGTTAGCAATATACGCTATCAAGTGGACCTCCACGCGGCTCTATCTGAAAACTATAATGGTTAATTCTCCAGTGTATTCTTGATTCCATTATCATTAATTAAAAAAAAAATTTAAATAGGGTCCGGGACTAGGATTTTCGAACTAATTAATAAATACTTGAATGTAACTACCGGTAAACTAACGGTTTAACTTACGTGTAATTAGCTCGCGTCACAGGCGCTAAAGATTAAGGGTCCCAAATTGGTCCCGAAACTAGTCGAACTTTCTCAACCTAATAACATCTAAGTTAAACCGGTAGTTATAGCATGAAATTTTTAATAATAATTTTTTTTAAAAAAATCCCTACCTTCCTAAAAGTTACTGCCTCAAGCCTCGCACAATACGAAATATTTGTAATTCACAAGTATATTTGTTTGTATCGATCTAGACGTTTACTATGTATTATAACAAAATAATGAAAGTATAACTACCTATCAGTCGTCTAGTATGCACAGTTTATTTTGGGACTAGATGAAGCTGTGTATATCCAGGTATGAAATTTTGTTTACTGAATTATTTCCAAACATTAATGACTCCATCCGCGGACGAGCTGACTAGATAATGCTTGCTGCCTTCCACCATAGTGACGTCAGTGATGGGCGCGGTATGGTAGAACGAGCGTGACTCCACACTTCTGTACACGTTGTCCTCTATAAATGACGGCGACGAACTGGCGTTAACTTTGCAGCACTCCTGTATCACCGTTGTACCGTCTATAATACGACTCCTGCAGTATAAAAAAAAATCATATTTCTTTATTTAATGCTATGTTTAGTATTTTTTTATAATTTAATAATAATAATTTGTTTTAACCCCAAACTTAAAAATTGTAACTACAGATGAAGAATGATTCTCGTTTGGTGACTATATAATGATCTCGTTTGGGGGGAAAGGGATTGTTAGTAATGGAGACTGAGAATGCCATTGCTAGCAATATACCCAACCATGTCGACCTACTCGCGGTTCCCCCCGGAAACTATTATATTTAATTCCTGATGAATTCATCATGATGGGCTAACTGGCCTGTTTTCATTCTCATCTATCACCCTTCACTGGTGCTCCGCCAGCGTATCCCGTTAGCGCAGGCAGGGTTACCATACCATTTTCACCCATCAAAAAAAAAGATCTCGTTTGATGACCCTGTATAATGACGAAAAGTGGTTTGACGGAAAGAGTCTGCGTTAGTTATGATTGAATCTGTATTTAGCGTTGACCATCACTTTATTATATTTTAAATACATAATCGGGACTTAACGCGACGAAAAAGCTTTTACTGGTAAAATAATACCTACATACCTGCTTCTTCATTGCCGACGTCTTTTTATTTTATTTTCGATATGTATTTAAAATATGTGTAACAACGCGAAAGTTTAAAATTAACCACATCACTTTATTGTCCTTAGAAGACAGTTACCGCCTTCCAATGCTTGAGTCGCTAACTTATTTGGTATTTTTAGTATAAAAAATTAGACGAATTCATAAAATACACTATTTACATTGTTTTATTAGAGCAAAAATCTCATTTCTTAAAGTGACACTGTTTATATTCTCAAATCCGCCAATACTACAACTCCTACGAGAGTAACAACTGTTGGTGGCTATAATGAAGCTGAAGTTAAGTCTGCCAAATCACATATCGCTAATTTTGTACGCATAATAGCATATTTTAAAGATATACCTGTACTTTAGAGCGTTGGGCGTATGCCGCAGCTGGTCGGAGTGCGCGTACACTAAGACGTAAGAGTCCTCAGGGTGTTCGAGGTCCCAGTGCCGGATGCGCTGGTCGGATCCACCCGTAATCAGGAACTGGTTGCCGTCGCGCGACCCATAGAAAGCTGCGCTTGTGTAGTGCGACACCTAAGGGTTAAGTACCAAATTAAGAGGGTATAAACATAGAGTATATTAGTGTGAAGATCAGAAGAAGATTATATTGGGGATATTAGATAAATTATAGGAATACATAAATACTTTTTTTTTCGTAAAAGTAAACTTAAAACACCCAGACCAATACAAACAGTTACATTTACGAAGTTATGGCGTGAATTTACAGGGTACAGAGGAATAATACCTGAGTCCTCAGGAATGGCAACGCATGGGGGGTATCATTGGCGAAACATTATACTCTGTTATGTCCATGGTACTGCTCATGTCTATAGACGATGGTTACCACTTTCCATCAGGTGGGCCGTCAGCTTGCTTGCCATTCTAAGTTGTATAAAAAAAAAGTTTAATGTTTAAAGTTTCGTAAACACATATATTTTAATGCAATAACTACTGCTTTAACTTCCGTGTAATTAGATCGAGAAAGTTCGACTAGTTCCGGGACCAATTCGTGACCCTTAATCATGAGCGGCTGTGACACGAGGGCGAATCTGACTGTTCGCTTCGGTGCCTTACTTGCAACTGTGTGACGGTGCCACGCACGCCTACATCGTTATCAATTTCATCTACACGTGTAGTTAAATTCTCACGAATTATAAACTAACTTTTGCATTGTGCAGTGGAAATAGTACGGTAACCTCTCATTCGCGAAGCCGTATTTCAGAACTAGCTCTTGATGGAGTATTTTGGCTACCTGGTTGTATCCGTGCAAGTACTCAGTGTTGGCAAGAGCTGAACAACCCGAAAGCACATGTCTGAGTGACTCTCCGGGATGGCGACATCCCCGACAGATGTCCTCAGTGCCGTCCTTCAGAATGTGATTTTCAGTAATTGTCCGTCTTAACCATTATTATTATTATTACCAAGATCATCAAAATAATAATTATTTTAGTCCCCAAAACAAAGGTCTGATCTAGTTTGGGGACTGTTATTACTACAGACATTTCGTAACGTAACTAGATATAAATGATACTTGTGTTCAAAGCCTCTGTTACATCTTTTTGGTAATAAACATATTTTTTACTCGATTCACGCGTGTAGGCGCGTGCGTGTACGTGTGCAGTCATGGGTGTACATGTAGGCGCGTGCGTGTACGCGTGCAATCATGCGTGTACATGTAGGCGCGTGCGTGTACGCGTGCAATCATGCGTGTACATGTAGGCGCGTGTAGTCATGTAAGGTGATGCGTGACGCGTGCACGTGCACATGCTACTGACCGGCTGCGCGTAGTGCAGCGGCTGCGGTGCGTTGGTGCTGGGCCACAGCGCGTGCGTGCGCTGCGTGGACTCGAGGCACCAGGCGCCCGCGTCCCGCGCGCCCGCCGCCCAAATCCGCGACGACCGCCGCCCGCAACCCACTATACGCCGCACGCGCTCCGCTGCAAACATTTTTATACTCTCCTTCAGTATAACTTACGTTAAATCTACATTAAACCTAAATGAACCAGAGGGAGACTTTGTACAAAAGTCGATTGCTTGGGTACCTCTGTCTCATTCGTGTTTCAATCGTGAAGCAGTTGTGTTTGCATGGCTGTGTTTCGGTTTGAAGGGTGGGATATGGCGTGAATTTACTGGGTACAGAGGAATAACACCTGAGTCCTCAGGAAATGGCAACGCATGGGGGGTATCATGGGCGAAACAGTATACTCTGTTATGTCCATGGTACTGCTCATGTCTATAGGCGACGGTTACCACTTTCCATCAGGTGGGCCGTCCATCAGCTTGCTTGCCATTTCAAGTTGTATAAAAAAAAATTAAAAATTGTGCCTCTTTTTATTACTGTCAATATGTGACTAACTTATTAGGACCGGAACTATCCTTAATCTATGGGTTACTCAATCTTTATTTCCCATACAGTATGGATAACAAACAAACTCACTTTCACATCATCAATACATACATATAACAAACAATGATTTTTAGAAATTTTGTCCGTCTGTCTGTACGTTTGTGCACGATAATCTCAGAAACGGGTTAACCGATTTGAATGTGGTTTTCACTATTACCTTGCGGTTTACTTCACTTAACATTTAGTGTTTGTTTTATTTCAATCGGTTCATAAACAAAACAGTATATCATATATCAATCTAAAGAATCACATACAAAATGCTATAAAATATCCGATTATTTGAATTGGCTGTAATTTTATGAAGGTATTAAGTTTATAATTATTATTAACGTATATAATATAGGAACTGATTCATGAAGAGTTCCAATGGGAATGATAGACGGGAACTACATAGAAGCGGGCAACGCCGCAGGAAACAGCTAGTTTATAATATTAATAAAAATCGACATGTATCCCAACTGTTTCATATGGGAATGAAATTAGATTATTATGTCTCCCCTTTAACCCTTAAATACCTGAAGTTTCAAATTTGATACCGAAGTTATAAATCGCATTGGGCGCCTACAATCGATTTTATTTTAATATTTGGCTGTTTACATGTTACCAAATGTTTTTTTTTTCAAAATAAATATATAAAAATATCGTTTTGATTTTTTTTTACTAATTTTCCCCATTAGTAAACATAGTAAATGGTACACTTATATATTTTTTTATTTGATTTAAAAAAATCAGGCTTTTAAGGGTTAAACGTAACTTCTAAGTTAAAAGCATTCATTCTACGAGTACTTACAATTGGGATGTTTGACCGACGTGATGGGCAGTTGAAACCTGAGGTCCCATACGCATATCGCGCCGGTAGAGGTCCCTACTGCGAGGTATCCCGAACTGTTCGCGTACAAGCACGTGTACACTCCTTGCTTCAGGTCACCTTGAAGCTTCCACGCGTTGCCTGGTTAATGCAAAAGAACAGATATGATAGAATAAATTTATTTAAATAGACTTATTTTATTAATTTATTTCAGGCAAGTATATTCTAGTTATTTATTGTCCTTAGGTAGGACAACGCACGGGGAACACCATGGATACCGTTCATGTCTATAGGCAAGAGTTATCACTTCATCTGGTGGACCAATTTCTTGTTCAATAACGACTCCGTTAGTTTTCTATAATTTTTCGCTTTACAAACTTCGGAGATGGAGGGGGGGGGAGTAGTTTTCCTTACATTTTCGATCATAAGTAAAAAACTATGGAGTATAAAAATAAAGCTCTTTCATACTATAACCCACATGAAATAGAATTTTCATTTTTTGAGTATCCTTTTTGGACCTTCTAGCAAAAACAAATAGTTAATTTTAAACTATCGCGTCGTTGATACATATTTTAAATACACTATCGGGATTTACTTAAACTTTGAGTTTTTGAAATGTAGTGCTGGAGAAGGATGGAGAAAATTAGCTGGAGGGATCGAATTAGTAATGAGGAGGTCCTGCTTAGGGTTAAGGAAAAGAGACAAATTAAAAGAACTATAGAGGGCAGGAGGGCAAAAATGTTGGGTCACTTGATACGACACGACGAACTTATGAACATTATAATAGAAAGAAAGATAGAAGGAGGGAGGGGAAGAGAGAGACCGAGACATAGTTACATCAGGAAGATCAAGGAGAAAGTTGGTGTTGTGTCGTATCAAGAGGCGAAGAGACTCGCTGAAAATCGTAGTGAGTGGCAAGAGCTCCACCGACAAGAGTGCAGCTCTTAAATAGAATCGATAGATAGATCGGGACTTAACACAACGAGATTGCAAGTAAGTGAATGAATGAATGAATGAATGAGTATACTTTATTTGCATTATACAATATAGGAAATAAGCAAGACAATTCACAAACACAACAATACAATTGTATAAGTACAGTAAGGCGGTCTTATTGTTGAGAGCAATCTTTTAAGACAACCTTAAGGTAATGGAGTAATTGTTGTACAAGTAGGTATAATAGTAGTAAGTGATACCTTCACACAAATTAATAGGGTTCATGTAATTAGATATGTAGATACTACTTACCTGCAATGGCGTCGCTTAAAGTTCTGATATTATATTTAAAATAAAAATATTTTTAATCATTTCTATTGTAATATATGCAGGCCAATATTATGTAAATCTAGTTCAAATTTCAAATCTATAATAATAGTTGCTAAGAAGTAGCTCTGTGCCAGACGGAAGAATGGACAAAATCGCATAAGGGCACCTTTATATAATTTTGGTATAGAACCCATAAAAGAAGGCTATATGCTTACCCGGCGCGCGTAGGTCCCATCCAACGATGGTGGCGAGTAGCGTGGCGTAGGATATAACGCCTGAGTGGACCCCGCCCGCGCAGGCCACCGCCACGCAGCCGCCTTCCACGCTTGGCTCTAACTGTCGACACTGGGACAGCGTCATCCGCGAGGAGCCGCTCTCTTGTCTGCACGTGTTATTATTAATAATTACCAGTATATATATGATACGCCATTTTTTTTAATGGGTGATAATTTTTTTATACCAATGAGGTGGCAAACAAGCATACGGCCCACCTGATGGTAAGCGGTTACCGTAGCCTATAAACACCTGCAATACCAGAGGTATTACGCACGCGTTGCTAACCCTGAAGAAACCTCTTTACCCCCTTTTGAAGAACCCTATGTTGTAGTCTTTTTGGGAAAACCTCGGCAGGGAGCTCATTCCATAACCGGTGATAATGGTATGGTATCGGTATACACTGGCGGGGCACCAGTGATAGATGACTGATGAGGATGAAAGCAGGTCAGTTAGCCCATCCTGAAAATTCAACTAGAATTAGCCACGAGTTTCCAGGGAGAACTACGTGGAGGTCGACCTGATAGGGTGTATTGATAGTAATGGGGCTATTTGACCCCATTACTAACAATCTCTTTCCCCCCAATACGCCATATAGGCACGGAACATAGCCGTGTACATACATCCAGCCTTAGATTATATAGATACAGTGTCTCTATATAAATGTTTCGAGAAAAGCGGGTCAACATTTTCATACAATTTTGCGTGACAAATAGTTATATAGTATTTCTTTATAACTTCTATATTTATTTTGTCTTATAATTTCTGCATCTTTTTAGTGCATATAAACTCATTTTATATATTAAATATAACGTCAGGATACATTGTATGGATAAGTATATAGGATACTGATAAAAAAAACGAGTCATTGTACAAAAGTCGTTTGCTTGGGTACCGCTGTCCCATTCGTGTTTCAACCGTGAAGCAGTTGTGTTTCCATGGCTGTATTTCAGTTTGAAGGGTGGGATATGGCGTGAATTTACGTGGTACAGAGGAATAACACCTGAGTCCTCAGGAATGGCAACGCATGGGGGGTATCATGTGCGAAACAGTATACACTGTTATGTCTATAGTACTGCTCATGTCTATAGGCGACGGTTACCACTTTCCATCAGGCGGGCCGTCAGCTTGTTTGCCATTCTAAGTTGTATAAAAAAGAAAGATGATAACGTCATAGGTATTTAGGACATCTGTTTAAATCTCTACGCGTTTTCAACATTACTTATACAAGTTATATGTATACATGTGTAGGTATACATGTGTAGATAATGAGTTATTTAAAATGTCAAAAGTTTATCTTACATGACGAGATTCCTAAAATACTTAGACTGCTTATTTCAATCCTATAATATAAAACAGTATACAGTAATAATTATTTTACGGTAACACACAAAAAATTGTTTTTACAATGAATTATTACATTATTTTCATTATTACGTGCTGTGTTCTTATACATATGAGTTGTGCTGTAGAAAATACAGTTTTAAACATTAAAACAAGTGAGAAAACGAAGAATAATACACCTAAACGACATAATGATAAAGTCGTAAATTATATTAACGAAAGCTCAGAAAATGGTGTCACTATATCTAAAAATAAGGTGGCTGTGAAGGGTCGACATGGAAAATCTTCAAGTGGAAGACCATTGATAAAAACAAGTGTCGAAGACTGTCCCAGGGGGTACGAGCGGACTACGGACGGACGGTGTATGATAGCTTTTATATAAATAAAATTATTAAAAAAATTGTGGCTGATATTAGTTTTTTATATAGACCTTAAACTCTTTAAAATAAAGTTAAAAGTTTAGTAAATATATGTATTTATGTATGGATATAATTATGCTTATTTACATATATATACATATATATATATATATATATATATATATATATATATATATATATATATATATATATATATATATATATATATATATATATATATAAAAATTAAATAAAACAATATAATTGTAAACGAATGATCAGTTAAAAAATTTTCACAAAGAAAACAATCTCTTCTCTTTCTGTTGTCATACATCATACGTCTGCGTACTTCTTCTAACGTTTTACTGTTTAGACGTTTTTTTTTAAGATTTGTATTACGAGTATATATACATTTTCTTAACTAAAGTGCACGCGTTCAATGCTGGGCAGCGTTTGTTAGTTTTCTTTTTTATAATAATTAACAATTTTGTTCCACAACAAAGTTCGGACTTCAATAGTGGCAAAACCAGTTATTTTAATTTTAAAACTAAACTACTGAGAGCCTACCATGAAATGTTTTCCGAAATTTCGGAGCCGAACGAAACACAATATTAATGTTAAAATTACATAATACTTAACATTTAAAAACAATAAAAATATGAAAATATTATTCCTTGGGACTTTTATGGTAGGATTTATGACGAAGCTCCATTTACTGGGCCGATTTAGATGTGAACAAAAACACGAAATTGAGTCCGAAACTTCGGAATTTCATTTCATGGTAGGCCCCCTGGACTGACTTCGATAACATTTCCATAGGACTAATATGAAATTATATCCTTTCAAATAGAAAAAAGAATTTTTCAAATCGTTTTACAAATGACGGAGTTATAATGCGACAAACATAAAAAAAAATATAATCGAATCGAGAGAACTTCATTTCAAGTCAAAATAGGTCATTTTCATTTTAAAGCTAAATTACTGAACGGATTTCGATAAAATTTCCACGGGACCAATCTGATATTATGTCCTTTAAAATAAAATATGTGTATTTGTACGATAAAATATAATGTAATTAATTTAATTTTGTCTGTTTAAAAATTGTACACAGCTGTATCCGCTGATGTTGATGCTCCTTTCCACTTTGGGTGTTGCTGGAAGAAAACTCTATCGGAGTTAAGCTCGCCTTTGTACTTTTGTTTACCTCTGTCATATTTTTATAACTAATGTGTACAATAAAGTATTAAATAAATAATATATAAAAAAAGAATTTCTCAAATGAAACATCCATTCGACTATGGAATAGTCTGCCATCCGAAATAAGGGAATCGTCAAGTATAGGCATGTTTAAGCGTCGTCTAAGAGAGCATTACTTATCACTATGCTGACATATTATGTATATATGTATGTATATTTATTTATGTTTATATGTGTATATATATGTATATGTATGTATGTGTAAGTATATATGTATGTTTACAGGGTTTGTGTAGTTTGTATTATTCTTTGTATATACATATCTTATGTGTTTATACAATATATGCAGATCGTATGACTGCCTATTTTTATTTTTAAAATAACACAACCTACATGAAAACGTTTTGCTGGAAGAAATCTCTTATTAGAGATAAGCTCGCCATTGTACATTATGTTTATAATGAATTGTGATTAACAGTATGTTTTGTGTACAATAAAGAATAAAGAATAAAGAAACATAAAAATTACAACCGAATTGAGAGAAGTCTATTTTTGAAGTCGATTGATAGTGAATACAATCAACTAAACCACCGACTCATCATTTCACTACTTAAACGTTACCTGAGCACGAATATAGAGCCCTCCTGAGTGGCGGCGACGAGCGAGTGTCCGCCCTCGCACGCCGCCAGCGCCACCACGGGGCCAGCAGCGCGGTTGTACATCGACTTAGACCTGCAATTGTTATAATCGTTGTTCAAAATTAACCTTTTTATACACTTTGACAATTGTAGTTTTTTATAAAAAACAAAATTGATAAACAATTGAAACAGAACAAAAATACATACAATACAGCATGTCAACAGACGGCATTTTTGCTTACAATTAATATAGAACCAGCATGTTTTACAAACATTTGTTACACATTAGGGATAATAATAATAATAACCTTTATTTTACTACTCACAAGGTATATTGTACAGTGTATAACTATTTAAGTTTTAACTTGAAATTATTTTCCTTGTGAGAGTCTGGAGTCTGAATGGCTGAGATGATGATGATGATGATGAAGTTGTATAAAAAAATAAGGGTTTTTTGTTGTTGTGATTAACGCGAGCAATCCCGCAGGCAATAGCTAGTGTACAGATCTCACTTGTTGACGTACGCGTGGCCCTGCAGCTTGGCCGCGTCCCACAGCCGCACGGAGCCGTCGTCGGAGCACGAGCCGAACAGGTTCTTGTGCGCGGGCAGCGTCACCAGCTGGTTCACGCGGGCCCTGCCGCGGCATACACTTAGTGTAGAGGAAGGCTCACTCGACTACATCAAGCCTCAAGAACGGGTCAACTTTTAGTCAGCTAATTAGCCGACTCGTTTTTTTTTATTAATTTTCAATATATTTACGTACATAATGTATTTTGACGTATCTATGTATATTTAGTTATTTAATAGATAAAATGAGTTTTTACGCATTAATAAGATGCAAAAATTATAAAACATAATAAACATAAAAATAATAAAGGAAACATAACTATTTATCATGCAAAATTGTATGAAAACGTTGACCCGCTTTTCTGGAAGCATTCGGCATGGAGACACTCTATCTATATATTCTAAGATACATACATATCTGTCACACATGTCTCACATTAGGGTATGCAGAAACAATGGAACGCCAAATGCTTCGATTCAAACAAGTATCTGCTTCGTTCACATTCATCAATCTTTTCATACACTCACGCCAGTTACGGTATGGTATACAAGCTGACGGGCCACCTGATGGAAAGTGGTAACCGTCGCCTATAGACATGAGCAGTACCATGGACATAACAGAGTATACTGTTTCGCCCATGACACCCCCTATGCGTTGCCATTCCTGAGGACTCAAGTATTCCTCTATACCCAGTAAATTTACCGCCATATCCATATCATATATAAAATATACAATTTACCTGTGTTCATGCAAATAAGCCAGCAGCTGATTGCCGGATCGCCACATGGCGGGCGGGACGATCTCCTCGCTGTTGTCCGATGGGTCGTCGTGGCTCCTGCATTTATTATAACACTTTGATAATAGTCTTAAATTATAAAGATTGACAATGTAAAAGAGAGACAATAAAATATATGTTAGAGTGAGATAGACTAGTTGGTCACTCACACAATATAAGCACGTAGCTGATTTGGCAGAAATATGAAAAAAACAAGTTCGTTTTACTTTTTTAAGAGGAATTAGTTTTAACTAAATGTAGTTGGCTAAAATTAAGTGTTATGTACTTGGATATAATATAAATAATATATTAATAAGTAAAAAAATAAGTTCGTTTTACTTTTTTAAGAGAAGTTAGTTTTAACTAAATGTAATGTAATTATAACCAACTACATTAAATGCAATATTATAGAACAATCACATATTTTTATACAAGAATTGGTAAAGACTATTTTGATAAGTCATTCTGAATAAATACAAAATAAAAGAAAAAAATTGTAAGAATCATACATACCATACATACATACATAGAACATACAGTTAGAGATAGCGATTCGGTAATTCTGTTGTCAAACCGGACGCAATAAATTATTTACACTGATTTTTAATCACAGGATTTATTGTTTCCAAAATAACAATACAACCAGTTTAGATTTTTTAGGTGAAAGAGCGAGGACATTATAGCCTTTACCATAAATTTTGACATGTATTGGGTTGCCAACATAAATAAATTAGTTTTGATTTGACCACATCAGTCTTTACAAGTAGTATCTGTCCGCGAGTGTTGCTATTGGGTCAACGATCAATATTCGTTGTAGTGAGTACTATTTATTACAAGTATGTAAGACAGAACTCACCTCAAGGATTTTTGGTACTTTTGCTGCATCCGTGCTGTTAGGTTCCTCAGTTCTACACGACACGGAGCCATGCTGTCTGGAAATAACGATGGAATTAGACATATGTGGGACGCATAAAAAGGTGGCGTTCTTATCAATAAGACCGATTTTCAATTTCGTTATTTTTTTTTTTACATTTGACATCTGATAACTTCGTTAGTTGTAAATTGGAAAAAATATTTTTTTTATCTGAAAGGATATCCTTACAGGTTGGTCCCATAGAATTTTAATTAAAACTGATACAGTATTTTTGTTTTTAAATTAAATTGGGTTTCCCACAATTGAAGGCGATTTTTTTTTTATTTAAAAGCACAATTTAATTGTTTCAAAATCTGCCTCAGGTTTCATGTATTACGTATTGACGGAATTTTAGTATATTACAAATTTAAAAGTAACACTTAAGGCATACGCACACGACGGACATTTTATTCAAGGAATAAAAGTCCCTCGTGTTGGCCAAGCATTACTTATAGGTCCTTACATTGCACGTAGCTAGCGCTCTGCCCCAGCTGCGAGTGCGCGGCGGGCGCGGGGCCGGGCGGCGCGGCAGCCAGGCTGCCGCCCACCACCGCCCCACTCGCACTACCCCCCATCAGGGATTGGCCCACCGCTTCTGACGATCCTGGGTTAAGAAACTCGTCTTATTTTTTCTCTCTCAATAGGTAATAATGGAAGGGTAACCCCATCTGTGCTATCGGTATACGCTGGCGGAGTGAGGACCAGGACGAGGTGAGTGACCAGTGAGGAATGATAGGTGAGATTGAATGTAGGTTAGTTGGCCCATCGTAACGAGTTCCACCAAAATTACTCACAGTGGTTTTATTTATTTTTATTTATTTATTTACACTTTATTGCACCAAGTAAAAAGAGAAATAACAAATACAGTAAATATTAGTGAGAAGTGAAACAAAAGGCGGCCTTATCGCTAAGCAATCTCTTCCAGACAACCTTTGGGTAGAGGACATTGAGCAAAAGACAAAGAGTAGGTGGCGCACTATTATATAAATATTATCATATACAAACATATATAGATACATACATACATACATACACATACATATATAATATATACACAATTAAATATATACATAACATACACATACTTAACAGCACACATACAACAGAAAAAAAATTACGAAGGAAAACGAAGAGAAAACACAGGAAAATAGTACTAAAGTGAGAGGTAGTAAGATTTAACAGAGGTTTTGAAGCTAGTAAGAGTTTGAGCGCACCGAATAGAGGTAGGTAGTGAGTTCCATAGACGAACTGCCTGAACAGTAAAGGATTTAGAATAAAAGGAAGAAGAATGAGTGGGAAATTTAAGTCGGAGGTTATTGACACTGCGTAAAGTATGATCATTAGCCTCATGGTTTCCAGGGGAAACTGCGCGGAGATTGACCTGATATTGCTAACAACGGAGCTGTTAGATCCCTATTACTAACAATCTCTTCCCCCAGAATGCTCTGGGTTATGCCCTTCGATATTCGTTGTACGGTGCCTTATCACAGAGAGTATCCCATCTTGAGTATTAGTGCTACTGTATGGCACATATTATTTTTACATGACATTGGATTTCACTTCACCAAGGGTCAGCCTTTCGACCATGACAATGATGCAATGTAAAACCTTTATGTATGCCATATCTTTGTGGTCCCAGAATGGGCCATCCCTTCATTTCCCGTGGGTATCGTAAGAGGTGACTGAGAGAACTTCAAGAGGGATGAGCAACAACATCCCTCTTAAAACATCACTAAAGCCTAACTGCGGTGGTCACTCCGCCTGCCAGGGGGGAAAGGGATTGTTAGCAATGAAGTTTGACAGCTCCATTTCTAGCAATATGCCCTATTAGGTCGACCTCCACGTGGTTCCTCCTGGAAACCATAGTGAACAATTCTTGTTGAATTCGTCACGATGGGCTAACTGACCTACTTCATCCTCACCTATCATCCTTCACTGGTGTATACCGACAGCGCGGGTGGGGTTACCATTCCTTTATCACCCATTAAAAAAAAAACCCCCGCCTGCCAAGCGTGGTAACTATTGCCAAAACCCCCCTACTGCCAAAGCCTATGTTCAGCAGTAGACCATTAATGGGTGATATCATATCATCAAAACCTTTATACCATTTTACCATTTTTTTTATTTGCCATACCTCTCATATTGTGCTGGTCTTGTGACTGTCCAAACATATGCTGCCATTCTGTGTTCATGTGGGTCTCGTGAGGCGCTGCTGACTTCAGCATCCGTCTGTACAATAGTAGCAATAAATATATTACACACACAACGCCATCTAGTTGCAAACTGAACAGAGCAAGTTTACACCGCTAAAGACTTTCAAATTAAGACTTACGTGTAAATATGACGTAATTTAAATTTATTACTTACTATTTACCTACTACTTTCTTATTCATTATATAGTTTTCCAGAGGGAGACTTTGTACAAAAGTCGATTGCTTGGCTACCTCTGTCCTATTCGTGTTTCTACCGTGAAGCAGTTGTGTTTGCACGGCTGTGTTTCGGTTTGAAGGGTGGGATATGGCGTGAATTTACAGGGTACAGAGGAATAACACCCGAGTCTTCAGGAATGGCAACGCATGGGGAGTATCATGGGCGAAACAGGCTGATATGTCCATGGTACTGCTCATGTCTATAGGCGACGGTTACCACTTTCCGTCAGCTTGTTTGCCATTCTAAGTTGTATAAAAAAAAATTACATTTATAATAATAACAATAATAATAATAAAGTTAGTTTTACCTGTTGGTATGCGAGGCGTATAACTTGTCGGCGGCTAGTGCGACCTCTGTAGCGCCCGAATCCAGCTGTACCGCCCTTGATATACTCTTGTCTTTGAGAACCAGTCGACCAGGTGCCTCTGTTATGTGCTGCCAACAAAAAAAAAAAAAAAAAACTGGAAACGGGCGAAGAAGAGAGTTACACTTACATTCTATGTCCGGTTGAAACATATTTGGTGTTATAAAAATATAACATGAAACTAATACAATAATGATGAATTATTGATTATATTAGATATTTATTTTAAATTATATTAATTTTCTTAAACGTCTTGTGTTAAAATGTGTACCTATATTTATTAATAAAAATCAGACTAATTACTTTAAATATAATAAAACGTTAAAAGTGTTATTATACCAAATTTGGTAATAAATTATTCTTGTAATATATATATATATATATATATATATATATATAGAATACTAATTTATATTTTAATTAATTTTATAATTATTTATTGTCATTATACTTGAATAAAAAGTAATGAAATTGTAAGAACACGTGGTCTCACTGACTTGTTCACTCGAACTCGGCCCTGTAGATATAAAAGATTGTAAATTATAATTAAATTTGGATGAGGAGACACTTCTTTTCCAACCGTTGAACAGAGCGGAACTCCCTGCCGTATCAAGAGTGAACAAATATAGTAAACCACGTGGTCATTATATAAAATATATCACAATTATTGTTGATGGAAGACCTAAAGAAGCTATAATTAAATAAGTGTCAATGGACTAACAGAAGTTGGGTATTTATATTATATTATTTGTTATATATCAAATACAAAGTGAGATAAGTAAATATATGATTTAACCCATTACTTCCCAAGCATCGATATAATAGGATGTTTTGGTTCTTATATTTAAATTAAGGTCTTAGTACATTAAAAAAAAGATATAAAAAATAAAATTTAAAAAAAATTATCGCTACTTGCTGTTACCACCTGTCCTATAAATATGACAATGGGAATATATGGTCAGAAATTAAGAAAGATCACAATTATAAGACAATCAACTTTATTTTAAAACTATCCCCATTAAATTTAAAAAAAAATGCAATTACGTAAGATTACTTCGTATGGTAATGTATGAAACAATCACTGCAAAGTGTTTTATCGCATTTTTCACGAAAAGTCAATAGTTTTTTTTTACAACCTTGTCCTTGGCAATGCCGTTGTTTATCGCTCTTCATTATATTGTGGCCCAAATTATTAAATCTGATCAGTTGTAAAAGAATTTCAGAAGACCCCAAAGTAGGTTTACTTGTTATTCCTTTTGATTTTTTGATTCAAGAAAAACAAACCCTTCTTTTTTTTACAAGACAGGGGGCAATCGAGCATGCGGCTCACCTGATAGTAAGTGACTACCGCTGCCTATGATCACCCACAACACCAACGGCATTGCAGGTGTGCTGCCGGCCTTTTAAAAAGGAATATGCTCTTTTTTTGAAAGTTATGATGTCGTATCGGTTTGGAAATACTGCTGCTGGAAGTTGATTCCAAAGAATGGTTGTGCGTGGAAGAAAGTGCCTTGAAAAACGCACACCTTCGCATAAAATCTAGTAGAGAGATGGTCTCATCTTTATTAACTTGGTTGTAAATAATCTATGTATTTACTAAGAACATATCTAGGACTCTGATTACTAGTGGCCAGTATCATTTCTTACCTCTGAATCGGATGGGATATTTAGAAATCAACCAATCATGTTTATCAACACTTCCCATATTTTGGTTGAAATTGTGGATTAGTCTTGGCTGATTTACGATCACTTTAGCCTTTTTTATCTTAGAATATCTATTAGTTTTCACAAAAGGTTCAAAAGTAATGAAATTAGTCAAACGACACACTACACCGTTGTCATGCCATTTCACGCATAATTTCATTATTTTTCTCAAAACGATGGTCAGAGTAAACTCGCGGTTTTTTTTTCATTTCTTGTTTTGTCATGATAGGTCATTTTTTTATTCCTATTGTCCCTCACTGTGCCCGTATCTCTAAACACTTGAGATTTCAAATTATTAATTAATTGTATGCTACTGAAAAAGATATCACATGCGCGCTGGGATCCGTACACACCTCAAGCAACTTTTTACTACTCTTGAACCTAAACCTTCGCCATCGAAGGTTTGAGTATCTTTGCCTGTGTATAGCAAAAAGTTATAAACAATAACCGCTGACTTCATATAAAGCCCAAAGCTTATACCCAAACCTTACTGGTTTGCCTTTTATAAATTGTTTGATCCCATGATGACCAAAGTATTTGACGATCATTTCATCAACAGCTAAATTGGTTTCAAATATCCCAAACTTACGTGATGATTCATTAGTTTTATCGATAAACGGGCAGATTTTAAAAGCTTTGTTCATGTTATCAATTTTCGAATTGTCATTAAAATGCAAATAGGATTTTATTTTATCAAAACGATTTCTTGACATAGCTCAATCAACAAATGGAATATGAACGTCTTCATCTCTATACCAATAAAGTTTGCTTTGAGGTAAGTGGTGATATGAAGAGAAAAATAAAATTTCTATAAAAACTTTCAATTCCTCAACTGTTAGATTGACCATGTTTCCGCGTTGAATAGTAAACACATGTTCCCAGTGTCATATTTATAGTACGGTTCATTTTGAAGTTATATAACATGTTTCTATATTTTTTTTTGTAACTGATTTTAGTTATTACATATTTAGTAAAGATTATAAAGTTGTTTTTATGCACTTTAAACTAAGTATTTTTTTTCGTTATACAATATATAAAATGAAAAGTAATGCCTTTTTTAATTCACCAAAATTGATCAACTTTAAAAATATATATTAAAATGATGTAAATATGTTTTACTACCAAAAAAAATTATTTTAATAGAAAAACTATATTAAAATACAAATTTCATCAGTAGCTGTAGTATAAATGCATAGTTTGTTGAAAAAAAAATATCTAATATAGTGTCCTAAAAATAGGACAGTGGGAAGGAATGGGTTAATAGTATGATATCTAAATTAAATGAACTGTGAGAACTTGTGTTTTATTTCTAGTTATAACGTAATTGAATTACTATATAAATTTATTACCCTACAGTTATTTAATAAATTTAATACGTGCATGAGTACACGTGCGCGTGTGCGTGCGTGCGCGTGTGCGTGCGTGCGCGTGTGCGTGCGTGCGCGTGTTAGTGTATGTATGCGTATGCATGTGTGTATTGTAATAGTATGTATGTATCCTAGGTATTACCTGCGTAGACGATCCCTGAATCTTGATAAGGTGGGCGCTCATTGCCAACAATTGATTTTCAACGTGCTCCGTCATACCTGTGATGCATTGTAATAATCTAAAGTAGGTTTTAAAAACGTGTTTGAGATGCTTTTATTGGCATAATGTTCTTTTGATTCAAAAAGTCTGGCACTTTTTTTTTTATAAAATATATTTAGAACTAATACTGATATATTAGTAAAATAATTTGATAGAAAAATCATCAAAAACGGCTCTAAACTGATGAAGATATAATACGCGTAATTTTACCAAAAATTTAAATGACACTTTTATTTTGATATCAGTTGAAAAAATTGTCACAATATGAAATATATTAATTTTTATAGTCAACTTTCGTGTGTTTATGTATCTACCTAGCATTGTGAAAATAATAAAATATTATTTACCATCAGAAGCAAGCCTTCTGAATAGATTTCTCAACTGCTGCCCCATTTCCGAATACTGCGGCATTGTACCCTGTTTTACCTGAAATAATGAATATAATTATTTACTATCTTTTGCCCGCAACTTCGTACTTATAAGACACAAGATGGATAAATAAAAAAAAAAAGCTTTAATTCCCTATTTATTAACTTTTTATTTAAGTGTAAAGTACAGTGTGTGTGCGAGACGCTAAATGGAGGTGAACTGCCCGGCATGATCTCACAGGTAGATCACCCGTGGTCTTGGGAACAATCATTATTGCCTAGTCAGCATAAAGGGATCACAGCAATGTGCAAACCTGTTCTATGAAATGGTATAATAGTACGCGTGAATTTAGAAACTAGGTTTTTTTTTATAAAACGTAGAATGGCAAACAACCTGACGGCCCACCTTATGGAAAGTGGTAACCGTCGCCTATAGACATGAGCAGTACCATGGACATAACAGAGTATACTGTTTGCTTAGGAATGGCAACGCATGGGGGGTATCCCCATGCGTTGCCATTCCTGAGGACTCAGATGTTATTCCTCTGTACCCAGTAAATTCACGCCATATCCCATCCTTCATACCGAAACATAGCCATGCAAACACAACTGCTTCACGGTAGAAACATGAATGGGACAGAGGTACCCAAGCAATCGACTTTTGTACAAAGTCTCCACTTGTAGACAGCATATCAAGATAAAACATACTCCAGATTTTAGGTCCGTCAGGAAAACAAATCATATTAATTTTCCCTAAATATCTTGCATATACAGACATAATCTACATATTTATATTTTACTAGCGATCCGTCCCGGCGTCGCACGGGTCGACATTTTTAACATTTTCCTTCACTGCTCTGCTCCTATTGATCGTAGCGTGATGATAAGTATACTATAATCTGCCCAAGAGTATGAAGAATAATTGTACTAAGTTTCGTTAAAATCCATCGAGTAGTTTTTGTTTCCATAATGAACATACAGACAGACAGACAAAAAATTTACTGATTGCATTTTTGGCATCAATATCAATCACTAATCAACCCCTGATACTTATTTTGGAAATATATTTCATGTACAGAATTGACCTCCCTACAGATTTATTATAAGTATAGATTATACTAGTAAGATTTACATAAAGATACCAGATTGCATGCATTTCTATTCCTGCCATATTTTCCCTACCATATTCTGCCTTCAAACCAGCACATCTACGCAATCGTAATTGCTTGCAAAGACACGAGCGGGACAAAGATACCCAAGTAGTAGTAGTTACCTTGAGTCTTGCATTCCTCCTGTCTCGCAGTGTATGCACCAGCCGGTCGACGTCTCCGTGCCTCAGCACGGCGTCTAGAACCTTCCGCGGTATCGGCTCCGCGAGACTCTCCAGCACCAGCTCGGCCCTCTCCACCTGAACACAGCTCTGTTGATGACTATTTATCTTTATTACTACTACAGTAACATTACAGGGTACAGAGGAATGACGTCATAGTTCTCAGAAATGGCAACGCATGAGGGGGTTTTCAATGGGTGATATTGGAATGATAACTTCGCCTGCAATAACGGTATACGCTGGCGAAGCATTAGTGAAAAAAGAATTGGTGAGGATTAAAAGGCAGGTCAGATAACCCATCATGATGATTTGGAATTAAGCGCGATGATTTCAAGGGACCGCGTGGAGGTAGATCTGACAGAGTAAATTGCTAAGCAACAGGGCTGGTAGCTTTCATTACTAACAGTCCCTTTCTATTCCCAACGTATGAAGAGTACCTTGGACATTACAGTATCTATGATGTACATGATACTGTTCATGGTTATAGGCGACGGTTGCCACTTTCCATCAGGTGGGCCGTCAGCTTGTGTGCCATTCTAAGAATTATAAACAAGAACTACTATTGACATTTTATTATTTGATTTCAACAGTAAATAGTGAAAAATAAAAAAATACTATGTAAGATGACCACAATGGTATGCAGGAGTCACGTTGCAAGATAGTAATAGCACCACTATTTCCTAATACTAAAAATTACCTTCCCCCCCCCCCCCCTCCTGATTGATTGATTTTGTTTTTTTTTTTATACAACTTAGAATGGTAAACAGAGTATACAGTCTCGCCCATGATACCCCCCATGCATTGCCATTCCTGAGGACTCAGGTGTTATTCCTGTGTACCCAGTTTATATACCATATAAATCACAGATGGTATATATGGTAGACAGAATGGTAAGTTGAAGAAAGGCGGGAAGTCATTATATTCTATACAGTATTGTGGTGGCCGTGTGGTCCCGGCGTAGAATAGGCCACCCCTGGATGTGGATGTTGTAAGAGGCGACTATGGGAGGACGAGGGATGGACAGCGACGTCCCTCTTAAAACATCTTTAAAGTCTAACTGTGGTTACCAATCCGCTTACCGAGCGTGGCAACCACTGGCAAACCCCTAAGAGGGAGGTTTATGTTTAGCAATAGACGGTTAAGGGCTGATATGATGATGTGATGATTGTGGTAGGTATATATTTACTTGTATAAGTTTATGCTTGAGGTGAGGCCACACCAGCGGCAGTATTTTGCAGTTGACGTCGATCGGGTTCAGCAGGCTGGCCACGCACGACACCAGCCCGCACACTTCGTGGCGTATCTGAAATTATTTTTTATATTAATTTATCCACATTAATATAGTAGATGGCGCATACGTCATGCTTAATCTTGTTCAAAAGAGTTTGGAAACTGAGTATTCTTACCAGTGTTTTTAAAATTGTTTGAATAACTGAGAGTGGTAGATAAATGAATGTAAAGAAATAAAATGCATTTTATTATTATTTTATATGTAGCGAAGCTATGAGTTTTCTCTAGAGACTACAGTATGGAGGTTTTCAAAATACCTTAATATACTCTATATTAAGGTTTCTTCAAGGTTCGTAACACGCACGTGGTACCTCTAGTATTGCAAGCGTCAAACAGTAACCGATTACCATCAGACGAGCTGTAAGCTTATTTGCCACCTTCGTGGTATAAAAAAAAACTGTACATTTCTGCGGTAAAAATTATCACTTTTACTGACATAATACACTTTCTTATAAAATGATGTAAATTATTTACATTTCACTGTGTATAGGCCCATACATACCCATAAATTAGGATGTGCAAGGTAGACCGCGCTCTCCGCCACTAGATCACAGAGAGCTTGCTTCGGCAATAGCCCCAACTCCGCCAAGCTGCTGGTAGCTCGTAGCGCCTTCGCTATAATCCACTCCGACTGGTCTGTTAGGCCCTGGTACAATAGGATATTTATTAATTTAACGATTCTATGCCATAAGTATACAGTATATTTATAATGGCAAATAAAATGACGGTCTACCACTTGAAAAGAATAAAACAGAAATAATGTGTAATAAAAATAAAATCGGCTCTTGTTATTACTTCATTAAAAGCTAAATTTCTCAAGTTATAAATTAATGTGAATACAAATTAATATCTTCGACGATTTCAAGGACTTTATAATTGAAAGAGAATAAACTTTTAACAACACGACTATAAACCATGTTGAGTTCTATGTAGGTATGCAGTATTTTAACAAAATTATTTTGTTTTTTTTTTTTTTATAATCAAAACTATTTTAAGAAACCAGTTGTCTAACACTCATAATGATAAACTGGTGTTATTATGTGACACTTGTTATTATTATATTTATTTATTTATTTTACACTTTACCGCACCATTTGTAAAGATAATAAATACAGTAAGTTTTAATGAGAAATTAAACAAAAGGAGGCTTTTATCGCTAAGCAATCTCTTCCAATCAATCTTTAGGTACAGGATATTGAGAAAAAAAAGAATAAGGGTAGGCTACACTATTATATAGATAGCAATATGAACAAACATATATAAACAAATATATATTACAGTAAAATTTCTGCTTAGTTTGTGACTAGATGGCGCTGTTCACACGTTATCACTGATTCAGTGATATTGTTTCAATACACCATACCTGTTGTAGTAAAGGCACGAGTATGGGCGCCGCGTGGAGGCCCACGTACGCCGCCACTCCCACCACTCGTTCGAAGAAACACTCTCGCAACGCCACCTCCTCCTTGTCATTTAGGAACGTCACCATGTGCGACAGTATCACGTCGTTGGCTACAAAAGAGGTTTAGTTAAATAAAGGCAAAAACATACTATCAGACGCATAAACAATATGCATGTTTTTTCGGCTGAATCTGTCTATCTCCTTTGTCATTGTGAAGGAGAATGAATGAATACTATATAAGAGAACTCTATTGTTCCCTTCAAAGTATGATACGGTTAATAAAGATTAAGAATATGTACACAAGCAAAACGAATACTTAATTACATAAAAGCAAGATAAAGAGACAATGTGTTGCCATTCCTGAGTCCTCAGGCACACATGGGGGGGTATCATGGGCGAAACAGTATACTCTGTTATGTCCACGGTACTGCTCATGTCTATAGGCGACGGTTACCACTTTCCATCAGATGGGCCGTCAGCTTGTTTGCCATTCTAAGTTGTATAAAAAAAAAACATAAATTATAAGCAAATTAAATATTTACCTTTTTGTTTCCCAAAGAATATGCATAGTTTAGTTATTCCGTTATCAACCAGAGCTCGTTTCACGACCGCTTGCGAATCGGTGAGTAAAGACAAAACTGTTGAGCGTACCTGTAATAGGTTTTTTTTTTTTTTTATTTATTTATAGCGAAGTAACGGAATACATTAATAAGGTAAATCTTACATAACACAGCATTCATCATTTCATTGTTTTGAAATTTAACATACAGCCATTATTCAGGATAGGCGACTATTTATCCCGGGCATTCAACATATTCCGATCATGCAAACAAAGCCGTAGGTGACAGCTAGTATCTTAGAGGATGTTCAAATATTATGTAACACAATTTTAAAGATTTTTACTTTATTATTATTATTTATTTACATATTTTTTACACTTCTGCCTCTCCCTAAACGATACATAACACACATGAGATCTTTTTACCTAACGAATACTGGCAACGCAAACAAAATACAAATACAATACAGTCGAGGGATTTCCCGTAAAATATAACAAAAAAGTGTTGCCAACTTAGGAAATTATTCCCTAATTTATTATTTAAATTAAAAAAAAATTGTTACGTAAAGTGTTGTTCAATCCCCTCTTCCACCTCTAAAATGCATTGTAACTTTTTACACCTCCCCCCCCTCAATTCATCACGTAATATTTGAACACCCCCCGATTGTGTTTAAATTTTTAATTCATAGATATAGCCAGAGAGAATCCAATCTTTAAGAATTCGATTAATACTCACCATTTCGTGTAACGCGGACAGTTCAGTCTCGTAGTTGATATTGGCGGCCTCTTTGTCGAACATGTTCTGTGTTTGGTCGAGAAATCTTACTGCGGTCTCCGCGAGTTTTGCTATAAAATAGATAAGTATTAATACACTAAACATTTAGAAGCGTTTATATTTTAGCTTATCGAATTAATGGCAACATCGCAGTTATCTGTCAATTTTTAAAAACCACTTAACATTTTTTAAAGTTTTCTTTGGATTTCCGAAGCAAAATATGAAATAGGTACAATATTTTTAGTGGAAGATTTATGTGAAACAGTATTCTATGGTTACCGTTTTAATTAATTAGTAGAATACTTTTAAATAATTAATTTAAACACATAAGAACTAAAACGTTAATCCCTTGTATGTTTAAACGTTGTATGGATATATTTAAGTTTGAAGAGGGGACTGTAGTAGTCAAATTACAGGACACGGAGGCATAACACTTTAGTCCTTGGAAGTAGCAACACACGAAGTGTATTACGGGCGTTACAGTATATGATGCCCAAGGCGCTGTTTATGACTATAGACAACAGATACTAATTTCCATCAAGTGGGTCGTTAGCTAGTATATATATGGTATATATATGGCCAATATTAAGTGGCATTACAATTATAGAGACTGTAGTTACTTTTGAACGAACTGAAAATCAGAGAGAGATTATAGTTGACTGTTCCAATACGAATTCTCAAGTAATTCAGCCATATCATCCGAAATGAAAATCGTATGAAACGTCTAATTGTCCAAGGGTCGATACAAGGCAAACTACCCCGAAAAAGTTTGCCTTGTATCGCATATTTTTGCTGTGTGGCCGTTTTGATGAGATCAGTCCATTGCGTTAGTGATCTACGACTGACCTCATCAAAACAGCCACACAGCAGTTTATTGTGGAATACTCTCGCTCGGATGTGAGCAGAAGATGGAGACACATTGCGAGCATCTCAATCGCGAAGGAAGGCCTCTTCAATGATCCACTATCATCATAAAAAGCACGATCACTCTGTCAAGAGGGTACGACTGTTGAGTCGCTTTTACTATGAAGCCCGTTCCCCGATAGTGCACTGACCTATGTTGTTGGCGTAGGCGATCCGCACCGGCACGGCGGGATCGGCGGCGCGCGGCGCCAGCTCGGGCAGCACGTACTCGGGGAACACGTTGCAGGCCAGCGCGGCCGCGCCGCCGCCGCCGCCCGCCGCCGCCGCCGCCGCCGCCGCCGCCGCCGCGCGCACGCACCGCGCCGCGCCGCACACGCCGGCCGCACGCACGCGCGCCGCCTTGTCGTGCGACAGGTGGATCTGGGCCCCACACGTATCGATGTCAAAGTAACCGGAAATTTCAGTCCGTAGAACATCACATGCTCAATGTTACATATTTAGTTTATATATATAGATTAACTCAAAGAGTGTCGACGTCAGGCAGGCGGCCGGTCATAAAACTATAGGCCAAATCTTTTTGTATTATGGATAAAAACATATTACACCGACCCCAAATAATAATTGGGATAATGGTAGGAAAATGATGATGATAAAATAGAGTAACTCCATACAATTTTTCGCTAAAAATATTTTGATTGCTTTATCCCTATGTGCGTAAATAAATTTCAGTATTAAAAATTAATAAAAGTTGGACATTAAAAAGCGGAAGTTTGACTTTACTCTTTTATTAGCTTTAAAATTTACACGCTTGCTACTTTAGCACCACTCTAATTGAATACCCTTTTAACATTATTATACCAATTATTCTAATTATAATCACAATACTAATGAGAATGTAAAATTTTCTTGTACAAAAAAGTACCTATTAAGTTTCTTGCTGATTATTCTTAGCAGGTAACAACATCTCGAACCCAGCAACAGTACAATAATAAAATATTGACGATTTTAAAAGCTTGAAAATAAGTCTATTTAAATAAAGATTATTTCTATTCTATTAAATCACATAGATAAAGTTTTGTTAAACTCTGTTGTATTAAAAAATAACAGTTCTATCTAAGTTACAAAATTAAGCAATACTTACAATGTAAGGCAGTATTCTATCCAATATTATTTCAGAACTAGAATTTTCACACAGCAACTGTAGTATCTCCAATGCGTACAATTTCGACGTGCAATGGTGCAACCCCCTTATACAGGATGTTACCAACGAGGTTATCAATATCAAACCCTCGCTATCTTGAGCCGTGTCTCCTTCCCTCTTAAAACAAATATTTACTATATAATTATCTGATTGGATACACTGTTATTCGCTAATAATATAGCAATCTATAGGTGTAAGAATTAAAATCGATGAAGTAGTATTTAAACAAAACAACATATAAAATATCAAATCTTTTCTCTATTAGTATAGATATAAATATGACGTATGTACACATAAACATATAGAGCACGCATACATGGACACTCGTAAGCACCCATTCATACACAGAATCGTGTATCGCAAATATAAATTTTACAAAGAAAAACGGCATTTTTTATTACAAAATTTATATGGGATCAATATTGAAGTATCTATACCCTATTAATTACTAAATGGAAATCGGTCCAGGTAGAAGTGGTCTAAAATAGGTGAAATAGGGAACCTTTTACACCTCTTCCTGTTTCAGTAAGAAAACAGAGGGCCTACCATGAAATGTTTTCCGAAATTTCGAAGCCAAACGAAACACACATTTGATGTTAAAATTACATAATACATGCCGTTTGAAAATATTAAAAATGTTAAAATATTGGTGCTTTGGACTTTTATGATAGGATGTATGACGAACGAAATGGTAAACTCCATTTATTGGTCCGATTTTGGTATAAACAAAAACACGAAATTGAGTCCGAAATTTGGGAATTTCATTTCATGGTAGACCTGCAGTTTCACTGATATATTTTAAATCATATAATGTTATATCGAAACACCGTTCCAATATAAAATACTATTACAGAGCATCTCCTTCTAATACAAGTTAACTTAATATGCTAGATATGAGAAGAGAGTAATCTATGTTTAGTTAGATCGATGCTGTCGATTGTGAAACTGGAAGAATCGTTACGGTTTCAATGAAACTATTTCGAGTTGTTATATTTTAAAACTTATTGCATTTGACCTTAAGTTCAGAATAGGCGAGAAAATTTTGTAATACAGTCACAAAAATACTTGGATTAACTGAGAACCTTGACCTTCGCAACTCGTTTAAAAATAAAATTTAAGGATTATCAATAATTGATAGAATTATTATAATTATTCTACATTCTGTTCTATAAGTAATAATCGCGATTTATGTGATTTCAACTCACTTTATCATCTTCATCGTCGCATTCACCGACATTAACAGTCATCACTTTAAAGCCATCTTTCCTTAACGTCTCTATATTGTCTGTGGTGTGATTGTCTGTCGTTTCGTCCACTAAATCTCTATAGTTTTTAGTGTCTGATGGCTGAGTGAAAATCTTTATGATATTTCTGATATCCTGGTGGATGCGGAGTATTTTCTCGTCTGGCGGTAGAATTGGTTGAGCTGAGAATATCAACATGTACGATTGGAGAAACGAGTAGAAGTATTCTGGGAAGAGCCTGGAAAAAAATGAAAATATTTAATCTGTTTAAAAAGGTACAATTTACAATTTTTTTTTTACAATTTTTATTCAACGAGGAAACGGGCATTACCATCAGTCCCCAAACTAGGCCAGACCTGTATCTTGGGGACTATGAAATATATTTCCTTTAAAAGGTTTTCTGAAAGTGATTACTATTAGTGATAGATCACCCATTATTTCCTAAATAAAATCTTTCTTTTCCTCAGTCAATCTCGATGTAATTTTTAATTATCTGATGATCTAGTAAATTTCAATTTAATTTTCACTAATCATCCCTCACTGGTGCCCTATCAGCTTATACAAACTGCATAGGCGGCTATCACGTCATTATTACTCATAAAGTTATGTTTTCCATCAAGAAAGAGTAAAATAAACAGGAAATTTTAATAAGTAGTGCTTTATAATCTTCAAAATACCTGCCACGTGCTTCGTCTAAGTACAATTCTGCACTTCTCCTGTCCTTAGGATTCCGTTCTGTCATCGAGTGCAATAAATCACGCAGCCGGGGATCGGCTCCTTCTTTCAAGGTCATTGTGCTGGGTCGCTCTTCACCGCTTCGGTACGCCAGTAGACCTGGTAAATCTAGTGCTGGGGTTCCATCGTTCCAGAGCTCTAAAAGTGCACAACTGTAAGAAACAAAGTTTTTAATTAACCAGATCTATCAACTCCCAGATCTTTATAGTGTAGCGATGTAGTAGGAATATGTGTCACTCTTTCTCATGGATTCTCCAACTACTTATCTAGTAATTGTAACAAAAAAACTCGAAATAAAACCATAACACCAAATCGTCTGACCAGCATAACAATATTAGGATAGGCCTACTCATACTAAATAAATATATAAGGTTTTGTTCAAAAATATTCCATTGAAAAATTGTTACTCTTCTATTTTCAAACTAAACACTAATGTCACAAAAAATTTAAAATAATTAAAAAGAATATTACCCAGCTGAAAATATATCCATGCTCGGGACCAGTTCACCAACTTTGCATGGAGACTCGTTCAACAAAAAACCACCGGCTTTATCATCTCCCTGTAAAAAGCAATAATTAATACTCTTCAGTTTTTCATTGTCAGTCATGATATTCATCACTGAAAACAAGTCAGTATTGTGATGGGTTAAATAACTATTTTATTTTTTACTTGTACATATTATAATAAAATAGAAGGCCTTTTACATTTGCTGGTGGAATATGGTCGGAATTGCAATCAGAGATTGTGAATTCTGGGGGATATGCCTTTATATGATGGTAATATTAATGTTATACTCAGTCAACCTGGCAGTCGCAATACTAAACGCCTATCTATGGGTAAATCTATGGTTAAAGATTTAAGACATTCCCTGTAAGTCTGGCAAGTCAGCCAGGTGTACTGAAACCTCCACAAAAATTAGAATAAAAAAATCTTTTACTTAGTTTGCCCAATATTGTATGTTCTTTTTTCTTAGTTCACCCTTAAAGAATTTGATGTGAACATAAATTCTATGGTACAACTTACCACAGTCCTGTTATGTGGATCTGGAGCCCGAACGAATCTCTCCGGAGCTACGTAACATAGCCTCCGGCGAGATGTGTCAAAGAAGTAACTGAAGTCTGCTGGGTTGTCATCAGGTAAAAATGTGGGTTTGAAGGATGCAATATCAGTTAGTAACACCCACAGCCAGGATGTGACCATTATATTTTCCAGCTAAAAAAAATTAATCAAAAATAGTATTTAATTTAAATAAAAAAAGAAAAAAATAATTAAGAGTGCTCATAATGAAGTATGGAAATTATGTGTCAATGTTCAAAAAGAATTGAAGCATTTCAATGTATCTTTATATGTAAGTTAGTCATACAATATGTTGCATATAAATATACCACTAAAAACTTTGCGCCCACTTCATGTTTTACTTTAGGATTTTTCAAATACTTTTTTGCCATCAAAATCCAAATTTTCAGTGTTAGCTTAATAAGTACATTATTGCTTGATTAACATTTTAGTTCATATGTAGAGCACTTTTAAAATAATCAATCAGATATGTTGAAAATTCTTAATTTCTTTTAAAAAATGATAAACAATTGCAACACAGAAGCAAAAATTATAAATGTTTTAATCTATTTATTATTTGTACCAATATTGGACATCACAGACTGTCAATTTAATGGGCATAATGGCCTAATTGACCTGTCTCTTTATTCTCACCTATCATCTCTCACAGATGCCCCACCAACATACCATTCCATTATCATCTATTAACCATTTATTAGCATCTAGTAACCGTATTAAAAGTTTGCAAAACATTAAAAACCAACCTTAATATCCCCATGGCATATACCCAGCTTATGCATACGATGCAAAGCATACAACACTTGGAAAGTTATCCATTTCTTCTCCAGCACTGTCAGGAATGGCCTTGTTGACATACGATCATAAACACTGTATTTACAATACTCTCGCATTAATAAACCTGCTTTGTCAGTGAGCTGAAAATAAAGTTTAGTCTTGAATTAATTCACAAGTCTTCAAATTCGATGTTCCTTTATTGTTTTAATTATCAGAGGAAAACCTTTGTGTGGGTTACTTTATCTTGTTTATATAAATGTATGTTTAGTAATAAACTAATTAAATCTATTTAATAAGCTTGGAATATTGACCAACACATCATATATACAACATATAACACACACATATAATATGTCTCATTATTCACTCAAATAATAATTAAATATTGTGTCCCACAAAAAATTTACTTCTATTGGAACAAAACCTTACCAAAATTTTTGTCTTAAAATTAAACAACTGAACTGATTTTGTTAAAATTATTACAAGACCAATCTTTAAATATATCCTTTCAAATAATAAAGAAATCCAAATTCGATTAAAAGGAAGGAAGTTATGAGGTAACAAATATAAAAAAAATAGAATGGAATTGAGAACCACCTCATTATTAAAGTCAGTTGAAAATTATACTTGTCATAGAGCTAGTATGTACTGGCTAGCTATATGCTATCTGATAAATTGATAGGTAGATAGATAAACTCATTGTATTGCTATATAAACATGTTCAATTTAACCAGTACTTACCACAACTCTCTGGAATGGTAAACAATTAAAAGCAGATGCAAGTTGTTCTTTTATTTTTAATATTCTTTCTTTGTGTTCAGCCAAAGGAAGTGATGGATCATGTACAGCAAATACTTTCACCACAACAAGTCCTTCTTGTGAGCGAGCTCGCGCCACTTTGAGAAACCTTGTGGATCCCAAACTAGAAATAAATATTGCATTATAGAGAATTAATATCAATATAAATAACATAAATAAAAAAATATATAAATGGTCAAGGGATGGGCAGCATCCCAGTTAGGCTTTGGTGATGTTTTAAAAAGGATGCTGCTACCCATCCCTCCATCATAAGCTCCCTTAGTCGCTTCTTATAACACCCGCTAAGAGGCGGTTTAGAGGTGGTTATCGACAATTAAATGTTATATAGGTACAAAATTATGCATCAGTGTACCAGATGACTGACAAAAACATAAAGACAATTACCTTATATCAAACTTTAAGTCCACATGGTCATTTAGATAATGTTCCACCGGGTATATTTGTGACGGAGCAACACCTACTAGTTGATTGCCCATTATTTAATAATAAAAATAACACATGGAATTATAGAAAAATAATACACAGTAATTAGATATAATTTTGAAAATGATAAGGGAACGTCCAAATGTTTTGTATAAGTTTCATAAACGTTTCATTCTGTTCACTGTCATTAAACAAAGAAAGATTTAGAAACTGCGAAAAAAATATTTAATAACAATGAAATAGGTAAAATGGTAGACGAAAATTGAAAATACAATACAATAACATACAATGACAAGTTTTGATTTGACAAATTGACAGCTGTCAGCACGACCGTTTCTTCAAGTACTATCTTTAATCGATGGTTCGTCTCCATCAAAGATTTTTTTGTCTCTCAATTATCTTCATTTAAAATAAAATATGGTTTACCTATATTCGGTTTATGGAATAATTATACATTAATAGATAGTTTGAAGATTTTATAATATAAATAGGTAATATACATTTAAAGACATTCCGATTGTTTCATAAACAAAATAATGACAAAAATGACAATACACCTCATCAATGGTCTGTCAATTTCGTCTATGGTCTCTCTCTTTCCTTCAACAAACAAGCATTCCACCCATTTTTATTGAATTTCATATCGTTTGCAAAGAATAATTCACAGAGATGACTTCGAAAAGTGAAAAAGATCGCGCTAAACAAATCCAGGATCGATGTCAGAACATATTAATGCAGATGTTAAAGGATGAGGACAACAAATATTGTGTAGATTGCGATGCGAAAGGTACGATTTTTTCATTCGTTTTATTGTTTGTTCAGTGGCTTATTTTTAATTATACGTACACATATTATGATGTTAAAGAATATATGAAACATATATTTAGTTTTGCAATTATCAAACATCAATAACAATGCAAATGTGGATCTTCGCCCAACAACGATCTGTAGTACCAAATTTATTCAGTGACTCACTGGTCCTCTAATAATTATCTTGTTATTGACTCAATATTAATATATGAGCCTATTACTGCCTATCAATCATCAGTGAACACTATGGCCATAACAGTAACTATAATGCATAAAACATGTTACTATTTTTATACATTTTTCTTTAATAATTCTAAAGCATTTAATATATATATCGTACTATTTGTAATAACTATTTCTTAGTAAGCTTCCATTGTGCCATATTTTTTTAAGGGTGATTATAGAATTGTAGCTCTGCCTGTGCTATGAGTATATGCTGTCTATCACTATGTACTAGTAAGTAATGCTAAATGACTATGAAATCAAACCCATTTACCCAATATGAGAAATTGATCAGAATTTGATGATAGTACTCAAAGGACGGAACTGGATAGAGATTGAAAGAGTATATTATTTGTAATGGGGCTGCTAGTCCCCATTAATAACAATCTTTTCCCCTCAAATTTAGACTTTTAACTTGACAACTGAATGTGACATGTTATTAAAGTATTTGTTGTTTTTAAGGCCATATTTCTGTATGAAAAATCTTCAATTTTGTTAGTAGAACACAAAATTCAGTGTAACCTTGTATTACAAATCTGAAATCAAAATCACATCTTTTTTTATATGTTTAACATGACTAAATTCTGGAGTAGTATTACTTTCAAATTAAAGCAAAGTTATAAACATAAGTGATTGCTTTAATACAAATTGGTTTTATCATAATGCCTAGTAACTTTCATACTACCAAATACAATGATAAGATAAATATGATAATGAACATATGAATAACAATAACTGTCTTTACAAATGAATGTTTATGGATCTGTATAGTGATATCAAAGAGGATAAAACTTATGTTTAACAATTTGTATCTCTCAAGTAATAACTGCAATAAGATTGTCTTTTATGAAACTTAGAATGGCAAAATGCTGACAGATCTTTTTTATGTACTAACTAGTGATCTGGCCTGGCTGTATATGGTTATATAGAGTTTACGAAAATAATACATAGCCTATGTTTTTCACATATAATGTATTTGATAATGTGTTTATGTATGCTTTATATATATGAAAGAATTTTTAAAATCAGCTGAGTTGTTTTTAAAATAAACAATCAAATCTTCTCTTTATATTATCAGTATAAATGTAAATTTGCTTCACTGTTCAAATACAAAAATAATAAAACATAGAGAAACGAAAGCAAGATAACAATCGCATACAGTATAATAAATTTCAAATCACTTGTGCTATGTGTGAGTATTTCATGGCATGTTGTAACCAATGTTGTAAACATATGTAAAAAAAATGGGGAAAAAATAATTATCTCCTTTATTTATTTATTTATTTACTTATTACAGGAACCCTATTTCTAGTTAGTATATTGTATGGTGGATGACATTTTATTATAATTTACAAATTATTATAAAGTATTTATAATAAACTTATAATCTAGTTTTTTAAATCTACTAAATTTTTTCTTCTTTTTTATGATATCGGGAATTTTAATATATATCAAAATTTCTCTTTTTTTTATTTGTACCATTGACTTTAGAATTTTTATGTTACTACTGTATATTACCAAAGGAAAGGGTTTTTTTCTTAACTACGTTCTAAAAGTTGCTAATTTTTGGGTGAATATTTCACTAATATTACCAACACTTAATATTTTTACAACATAGGAGGCAAACAAGCATGCGGCTTATCTGATGGTAAGTGACTACCACTGCCCATGGTCAGTCATATTTTACTAAGTGTGTTATGCTAAGAATAAGAAAAATGGTGGTTCAAAACTCTGTTGCAAACAAATTATAATAAAATTTACTTTACATTAATATAACACCATCTGCTTAAGATTAAATTAAGTAGTTTCTGCAAAGTAAATGTCATTATGATAAAATATATTGAACCCGCTACCGTAATGTTAAACTACCACGCCACAGAGGTCACTGTACTATTAGTGTCAACCTTACCTTTTTAATCCCCCTGGTTTAACATTTCATAGAAATCGATATAAAGTATATTTGCACAATTGATCATAGTGTGCATTTCATAACATATGTGTGCAATTCAACCTTGTAACAATTAAATATAACAACCCAGCACAAGCATATTATCAATTTCGTTTACCTTTCAAAATTATTATCAAGGTTATTTCATAGCGTTCATATGTCGTTTATAGAACTGTCATTTATAAACCGATTTTGAAAATACTTTTGTTTTCTAAGAGGATATACTTTCAGATTGACCCTATAGACATATTGATTATATATAACTCAGCTATTAAGTTTTATTTGAGAAATCAGTTCAGGGTATGATAGAGCTAATATACCTGAAGGAGGTAAAAGCTTTTAAAATAATAATAAAAAAAAACTGACCGTTACTGACTATTGAACATAGGCCTCCCTCTTAAACAAGGATTTTCCCAGTAGTTGCTTGGCAACCGTAGTTAGGCTTTTTGTGATGTTTTAAGAGGGACGTCGTTGCCCATCTTTTGACCATTAAGTTCCCTCAGCCGTCTATTACGACATCCACGGGAAAGGAAAGGGTTACCATTCTATGCCAGAACCACACGGCAAACCTAACATTAGTTATATTCAAATATCTGAAAACGCCCCCAAATATGTAAATGCTTTATGTGATAATATCATATCCATGTGGTGATATATTACAATACACATATATTTATATTATAATACAATATGTCTGGATGATAATGGAATGGTAATCCCGGCTGACGCCAGTGAACCGTGATAGGTGAAGATGAAAGCAAATCCGTTAGCAGTTAGAATTTCACAATAATTAAACAAGATGGTTTCCAGGGGAACCACGTAGTGGTTGACCTGACAGGAGGGTATATTGCTAGCAGTAGGATTTATTAACCCCATTACAATACCATAATACAATGTGTCATCACAGATATTGTTGTGAATAGCTTCTTACAACAATCTAGTCATTCCCTCGTGGGAAAGGCTATTGTTACTTGTTCTGAACTGTGTGTAAATATTATAGCGGCGTTAATGTAGCGTAATCGTTAGGTTTAATTTTCGGCACTCTAATATCATCAAATTGTATTATATCGCTATAACTTTTACTCGCGACTTCATACACATCACCAGTATATATTGATTAACCGTAATAAATAGTAGTTTTTACCCCTTTTCCATCCCATATACTTAGTACGTGTATACCAAATTTTAAAACGATCGGTTGATTGAACACCAAGAGGTATATAGGTACAAACTCACTTTTATATTTATATATCGGTACCGTTTTAGTAAGGATTGCATTGCAACCGATAGTTTGGAATATACCAAACGTAAATCTTGTAAATACGTACTTATATTTTAAATTTCGAATTTAGAGCAGACAAAAAAAGAAAAAAACCACAACCGCGAATTGATTGTTAATACAATCAATTCGCGGTTGTGGTTTTTTTCTTTTTTTGTACTCGTTGCATTCTTGATTAAATCATTGTTTAGATAATTCATCTTGTTAGAAATAACTACGTATTAAGATATATTTAGGTATATAAATAAATATTAAATGCTCTTCGTTGGTTAGCGCATTACTTCAGCTATTTTTTTTTATGTTTATAATAGAATTAAGATTAACAATTTATTTTTAAGAAAGGAGGAAAGCAATTAGAAATTTAAACAGGACAGTGTCTGTCTGGTCACCTAGTTCTTACTAATATTATAAATGTGCAATGTAGTTTATTAAGAACTAGTGACCCGCCCCGTCTTTGCACAGGTGGGTGCACATTACATCACATTAGAAACCTCTAAATTTATCTGTGTTTTTCTACTATATTATGCTACCTATTAAAAAAACCGCATCAAAATCCGTTGCGTAGTTTTAAAAATCTAAGCATACATAGAGACAGACTGGAAGCGACTTGGTTTTATACTATGTAGTGTTAATATTCTTGGCCCCTTAACTAGCAAACAGCTAAAAAAAGGAAGAAAAAAAGGGCTGATGAAAAATTTAATATTACACATAATAAAATACTTATACCAGAGGGAGACTTTGTACAAAAGTCGATTGCTTGGGTACCTCTGTCCCATTCGTGTTTCAACCGTGAAGCAGTTGTATTTGCATGGCTGTGTTTCGGTTTGAAGGGTGGGATATGGCGTGCATTGACTGGGTACAGAGGAATAACACCTGAGTCCTCAGGAATGGCAACGCATGGGGGGTATCATGGACGAAACAGTATACTCTGTTATGTCCATGGTACTGCTCATGTCTATAGGTGACGGTTACCACTGTCCATCAGTTGGGCCGTCAGCTTGTTTGCCATTCTAAGTTGTATAAAAAAAATTTTGATTTTACTTTGTTTAAACACATCTTTTGATAATCCTTTTATTATAATTGCAGGTCCCCGGTGGGCGTCATGGAATATAGGTATATTCTTATGCATCAGGTGCGCGGGCATCCATCGGAACCTTGGCGTGCACATCTCTAAAGTGAAGAGCGTTAATTTGGACTCATGGACTCCGGAGCAAGTGGTAAATATTATACATCCCAAAATGTTACAACTATTTGTAATGCAATGAAAATGGCAATCAAGCACATATTCTGCAAAATGGTAAAGAGTCACATTAATCTTTTGGCATAAACACACAAAATACAGACAAATTTGAAACTTTCTCTTTTTGAATTTCATTTTAAAATGGTTTTGTAAACATAATCTTTCAATATATAAGATTTTTTTTCAATATATGCTATTTTTATATAAAAAAGAGGCAAGGCAAATAAGCATACAGCCTGCTTGATGCTAAAAAATTGCGTTACGTTTGCGTACTCTGAAGAAATTTTAATATCAACTCCAGGTATCTCTACAACAAATGGGCAACTCCCGTGCGCGGGCAGTGTACGAGGCGAACCTGCCTGACTCGTTTCGACGACCGCAGAACGACTCCTCGCTAGAGGCTTTCATTCGCGCCAAATACGAGCAGAAGAAATACATCGCCAAAGAATGGGTGCCACCGCCCACGCCCAAAGTCAACTGGTTAGTAATTCATCATAGAATTATAAAGAAATTTCAGAATGGAAAGTGAAATGGCTGGATTAACTGAATATGGAAGCTGCGTCCAGTATGTATCTTATTACATAAGAAATACAATCCAAAATACATTCGATTTTTTTACATCTCTTCTTGCAATATTCCTTTGTTGTTTAGTACAAAAAAAAAATCAATAATTACAATTTAAAGTTGATCATGATATTACGTCAACGTCATTTTTATTGATGCTATTTGGAGTAATGGTATTCACAATTAGTAATCCGATGAGGCTTCGCATTAGTAGATAGAATTTTCGAAAATCAATACTTACAATAAAAAAGTTCCAACCGACTCAACTGATCGGTTACTTTACAGCATTTTATATGTGATTGTTTAGATTGATATAACTTCTGTATTTATGAACCGATTGAAGTAAAATAAACACTAAATGTTAAGTAGAGTAAACCGCAATGCAAAAAAAAATCGGTGGTTTCTGAGCCATCTGTTTTATTTATTGATTGATTACAATTTTTTTATAGATTTAGAAATTGAAGTAATTTGGTGATAATGATTATAATGATTATAAGGCTCTTGAGTAGGTGACCCTGTACAGGCAAATGCAGTGTAGGACGACCCTCCACTAAATGGAGTGACGACTTTAAATGTATTGTAAATAATCAATGGATACAGGTGGTTCAGGACCGTTTTTTATGGCAGTCTATGGGTGAGGCCTATGTCCAGCAGTGGACAGATAATGGCTAACATAATAATGATAATAATGGAATTTATTAGACAATACGCTTATTCGAGTTAATTTTTATATGGTTTATTAACAAAAAAGGCATTAACCTTTTTTTTTATTTTTAGGGATAAAGAGATAGACGAAGAAATGGAACGTCAGAAACGGAAAAAGAAGTCGTCGTCAGGTGTGGGTCCACTGCCTGCACCTACCAGCAGTGATAAAAAATATAATGTAAGTGACATGTACTAGCAAAATAAATATATATTAGTTTTAACTTATGTCTACACTTCAAGTACACTTTAGAATGTAATTCTGCTATCAGCAGTATGATTAAAACTATACTAACTTGAAAAAGATAAACCAGTAAAACAATATTACAGATTATTCCTGAGGACTCAGATGTTATTCCTTTGTACTCTATACATTCACTGCCATATCCCACTCTTCAATGGAATTTATTATATATTTTGGTAATGTTTTTGTTATAATTTGTAACGCCTCAATAATCAATTACAGTCATATTAAATCAGAGATTTGGTAGTAAGATACTAAACAGTGCATTATATTAAAATCTACATAAACATTCATGTTACAGAAATCCGAAGTTATACCAAGCTTACCAAAACCGAAGTCATCAGTGAGTCCGAAATTAGGTAGAAGTACACCCACCCTTCAAGCTGAAACCAAGCCCTCAAATGGCTCTGCAGACCTCCTCGGTTTAGACACAGGAAAACCAGACACCAAACCCTCAAATGATGATATTTTCTCCAGTTTCTTCTCTGCACCACAAGAGAAACCCGTGGAACCTAAACCTGAGGAAGTGAAGCCAGATTTAAAAACGGAAGAGGAGAATTTCTTCAAACAAGCTGCCCCAACGGAGAAGGAAAAATCAAAACTAACTAAAGACAGTATATTAGCACTGTACAGTCAAACGCCATCCACAAATCTAGGCAACCAATTCAATCCTGTCCAACCTGTACAGCAATCATACCCTTTTGGAGGGGTGTACCCTCAGCAACCGTATAACAATATGCCAGCACAAAATGGTATGCAATTTAATCAATTCCAACCTATGGGTAGTCAGTTCCAGCCACAGTTCGGCGCGCCGTTACAGCAACCGTTGCAAGGAACACAGAACTTTGGTCAAAATAACCAGTTCTTCAACCAATCGCAACAGCCTGCGCAACAGTTGCAGCAACAGTTTAGCGGGTTAAATTTAGGGCAGAGTTTTCCTAATGCGTTCGCGCAACCGAACGCGAACGTAGCAAGCAACACATGGCAGTAAAATAATTTTGCTTTATAGATATTTTTACATATATTTCGTGATCTGAAATAGCATGTTTGTTTGTTCGTGTAATGAATGGCATTAAGTTGACATTAACCAACGGCACAGTATAATAGCATTATTGTGTTTACCCACCAATGAATATCAGTAAACATTTTCTTATCAGATATTAGAACACGTGTTAAAAACCGTGCCATTAGTTTGTCTATTTTTATTGTCTGAAATAGATATTCATATAGCTTTTATTGTTGATATGATTGTAATATATTTTATTGTTTTCTTTGTATATAATTTGCTTTTTTATATTTTAAATAAACCCGATTGAATTACGCTACGAACAAACATGCGTCTTTCAAAGATGCATTTGAGACTTATTTTCAATTGATCGTCAAAGATTTTATGAGCCGCGTTGGTAGATATGGCTCTGTGTTTCTGAGTGAGATAAAGTTAGAGATAGTGCTACCTTTGTATTTAAGATATTGCTCGGATTAGACAATATTTACAATTCCTTATTACATAATGCTTATTATTTAACATAGAATTGAAGATATTGTATAATTCAACGTCTTGAAGAAAAGTAGAATCTGGCTTTAGCGTATTTAAAACTAAAAATGCTCAGAAACATGAAAATATTACAATAAATGTGATATTTGTGTAATTATATTATTTTATGATATAAAGAAATATGGCAAGGATTTTGAAGTTTCTATTGCCGGGCTGTACTCTATATTGAGTCTATGGCTCAAGCAATAAACAATTAATATAATAATTTTATTAATACATCCTTTTTTATATTTACTTAAATTAATATTTAAATTGTGTATTGTGGAGTTTTTTTATTTTTCAGTGTTACACTTCAATTGAGAAATAATTTAGCACTTTTATTAACACAATTCTAAATTCATGCACAGACTAAATTGTGTTCGTGATTTGATATATTTTAATTGAAACTTCACGTTAATGTTAAGTAGATAATTTTATTTTATTAATGTGCGTAATCTTAAGCTAGTTACAGACAATTTGGCATTCTATTTTCAATCTTACAAAATTAAAAAAAAGAAATATGTAATAATGCAGAGCGTGGAAAAATGGCGTAATAATAGCTTTTGTTTAGAATTGGTGCAAGCCCATTTACTTCTTACTATTTCAAACATAGAATGGGTTAATATTAAAAAAAAAAAAGAAAATACTGTATTATTTACATAATTATTGTTAAAGAGTATTGCCATTGAAGCTATGTTGGCGCCATTTTGAAAGTAAAATGGCGCCAAAATTTCGTTTATGCAATTTTTTTTTTATTGATTGATCTTATTTGTGTATCTGAGAAAAATCTTGTTCTGGTATTATTAAATATGTTCCATCATTGAACTACAATGGGGGGTCCACAGCACGATCTGCGTTCGAAGTAACTAGATGTACTACTGTAAATAGATAAAGTAAAAACCGATGTCTCGTTAATATTATTTTAAAAAACGTCCCAATAAATAACTGCTAAATAATTACTACCATTTAACATAATTATTAGAGAGTAATTTGTATTGAAAATATCTAAATGTGCGGGGTTTGAACTAGTGCTTTCTCGTATATAGATGACGGAACGTGTTTCTGAATACTTAGTGCGCAACACATTTCAAATAGACTTACAAGCACTGCACATGTGTCACCTGGACTGCAGCCCAGTTGATTCCGACTCAACTTCGTTAGTTCGTTGCATTGCTCTCATTAATGCTTAAATGTACATTACAGAAAATATATAGTGAAAATTTTCCATGTCCCGTGTACTTATCATAAGCGCAAAGAAAACGACGTGTGTATGTTGGGACTAAGAATGATTTTGTACTATCACTACATATAAAACAGTCGTCCCGCTGTCTATCTGTCCCTATGTATGCTTAGATCTTTAAAACTACGCAGCGGATTTTGATGCGGTTTTTTTTTTTAATAGATAGAGAAATTTAAGCAGGTTTATATGTATAATATTATATATGCATAATATAATAGAGAAATACTGATAATTTTAGAGGTTTCTAATGTAGTAAATAAACATTTTTTGCGGTTACATTGCAAACGCATGCTGAACGCTACAAGATAGATCAAAATATCCGTAATGATCAGCATTTGTATCCGTGCTAAACCGGAGCAGGTCACTAGTCAAATATATAAAATTATAGCAATTTATAAAAGTATTGATGGATTTTTAATATTTCTACAATAACTTTTTACTCTGTTTTTTTTTCTGCTAAGTTTTGTACCCTTACATTTTGTAGGTTTATTATTCTATGCATACGATACCACGACCCTTAGGAAGTAATAGCTCTAGTGTATTAAAACTGAATGACTCTGTACCTAGAGAGGAGCGCGTTCAAACCCCGCCCGCTTCGAATTTTTCAATTACAAAAAAAAAAAATATGTAATATTTTCAATAAATTAATCATAATGAGTCTGTTTATTAGACTTATGTACATAGGTATTCAGCAAAAACGATATTGTATAAGACTGTATAACCCGTGTTGTAGTTGTTCGATGTATTTCATAGTAGTTGGTTTGGTCGTGAAAGACTGATGTCTTCGTGTTGTTTTAAACAGGGTGACCTAGTAACGTTCAGTAATAATTTGTCAATTTCTCCCATGAAATAAATGTTGCCACAGAACAAAAATGTAGTGGAAATTGGATTTTTTTGTGCCCATATTTAGACGATTTGTATTTAAAATAAAAATATTTTATTCATTTGTGTTGTATTAGTTAAAATTTTATTTATTTTTGATACAAGTCGCGAATATGGCCACTTGGGCTTATCAATCAACTAGTATATTACATACAAGTGTGTACTAGATTTTTGTTCCGTGATTTCTTTACATATTGAATATTATATATGTTTTAAAACGACTTTATTGAGGCCTATGCACATTACGATAGAGGTATGATATTTACGTGAATATAGTATAATATTTTATATAGTATTTTTCCCCTTGCACTAATTTATGTGCTTTGATGTGAATTAAAAGTGTACTTTGTCATCTTTTGTCTGGCAGAAATATGTAGCAATGACTTCTATACTTTTTACAAATTTTTGTTTTGTTTCCATTTTTTTTATTTTTTTTTTTTATATATATATTTTGTTACAGTTTAGTTATGTTGTTTGAAATATTAATATCAATATGTGATTGTGTTATAACTGAAAGTTTTGATGTGCATAGGCTTTATTCATATGTAGCCGTGTAGAATTTACAATAATTTCATATTTTGTCTAATTATGAATATGACGCATTGATATGAGGGTCTGCGCTGTTGAAGGACGATACACAACGTAGTTTATGTCCAAATAGAAAGTTTGTCGGCTAAAAAGCCGTACAGGTCATAGAATCATTTCGAAATTCCATTACTGTAGTTACTCGGCGCGCTAAGCTTTATATCTGAATGGAAATCTAAAAGAAGCCATCAGATAAAATTACATGTTAACATGTTTTTAATGGGTGATAATGGAATGGTAACACCACCCGCGCTATCGATATACACCGGCGGGGCACCAGTGAAGGATGATAAGTGAGCATGAAGCAGGTCAGTTAGCCCATCGTGACGAATTCAACAAGAATTGTTCACGATGGTTTCCAGGGGGAACCACGTGGAGGTCGACCTAATAAGGCATACTGCTAACAATGGGTCTGTCAAACTCCATTGCTAACAATCCCTTTCCCCCCAATTACATGTTAACATGTAACGTGATTGATCTCTAACAAAGTGTTATATTAATAATTGCACAGAAACACCGCAACACCAACCCGTTTATATTCTGTGGTTAAATATTGTTAAATCCAATTTTGGTGTATTAAGTTGGACATAGTTGAATATGATTGAGTACTAAGTGGTTAACGATTATTGTATAAATTTAAATAGTTATAATATAAAGGGCGGTCATATTGGCTCGAGCCCTTCCAGCCTGTATTTGATTTACATACACAAATAAACTTAATGCCAATAGTAAAATGTTTTCTTTATTTCAATTTTCTTGTGACATTATAAACCTTTGTATTTTTTTTTATGCAACTTACAATGGACAATATACCTGGACAATATAAACTTTTGTAATTTTTTTTTATGCAACTTAGAATGGCAAACAAGCCGACGGCCCATCTGATAGAAAGTGATAACCGTCGCCTATAAACATAAGCATTGCTATACATGTATGTATGTGGCAGTATGTTTGTATTAGTCCTCGGTTTTTGTATGTATTAGTTATGTATAGATACCTGCAAAAAATATATAGATCTATCAGTAAAGCCGATTCTGAGATGTCATTTTTCCAAATTAATCTCTTAATATTTTGATAATTTCAAGAAATTACTATTTTATGAACAATCATATTTTAAAGTTACAATAATTTTGACTTAAATCTTAGAATATTAATTCATATTAGTCATTACAATGAAGATCTCGATAATTTTACACATAGGTAGAAACGGCGTCTCAGAATCGACCCGTCTTTAGTTCGCTAAGTCACCTCAATCGTTTTTCAATTATAAACTCTTTTATCTCCTTAAAAGTTTCATTTCCTACTTCTATCTTATATTTATTAGTTGATTCTGACCATTTTATTCACTAAAAATATTTTATGTTTTGTTAAGACTAGTGGTTTTTACTCAATATATTATATATTAGTATAACACGAATTCATTATCACTAATAAAGCCTATCCAAAACCCTATACGTTCATTTATTTCCCGTCTGTTATAAGTGGCATATTGGGAAATACTAAGTTATTGCTAAATTAAAAACTAAATACAGTAAGTACTATTGTTGTTTAGTTTATCACTAAATAGCTTTATACCTACCTATATGTCTCGTAAATTAATTGCTTATCCAAGCTAAGAACAAAGACATCTAATATTTTTGAATTCATGGATAAAGAAAAAATATATGAAAGGTCTTAAGAATAATAAAAGTCAAAACAATATTTTTTAGAGTTTGATTTTATCTATCTGTATCAACATCACAAAAAATTATTGAATTAAATTGAATGTGTTTACACAATTGTGTTCCTGAAGGTCTATTTTAAATTGGTATACATTTTATCTTTATATAGTGGTCTATTTTATAGCTTTTCTTATTTCTAAAATCTACGTTTAAGAAGTAGTGGGCAAAAAGCTAGTAAAAAAAGAAAACTACACACCGGGGGTCTACCATGAAATAAAATTCCGAATTGTCAGACTCAATTTCGTGTTTTTGTTCATATCGAAATCGGCCCACTAAATGAAGCTTATCTAAGATCGTCCATAATCTTGCCATAAAAGTCCAAAGGAACGATATTTTAATATTTCTATACGATACGTATGATGTAATATACATGAAAATTATTGTTTCATTCCGTTCGGAAAACATTTCATGGTAGGTTCTCTGGTCTCAAAGAACATAAAAAAGCTTGAACCCAGAGCCATTAAAATGAGAAAATAAAAAATAAAATAACAAGTTTGTTTTGTTTGCATCCAAATTATTATTCTTATAAATATTATATCCATTTATAGTGATTATATCATGGATATGAATTCTGGGTAAGTGTATACGTCTAGTTTATTTTATTAAATCACTTGTTATATTATGAAACCAATCTAACTTTTGTTTTGCCGCGATTCGCGCGCGCAGCCATGTTTAACTGTCATGTACTCATGTCATGTCAAAACAGCTGTTATAAATGATTTACCTGCACTTCTTTGTTTTTATTATTTTATTAATAAAAACATATTAATTCGGGTTACTTATGTGTAAATAGTGTAAATAAAATGTAAATATAGTGTTTATAAGATAAATTTTGTAGCAGAGGCATTATAAGGACAATGAATGTATGAACGGTGCGACATTGCCGTAACACCATGGCTTGTGGATTATCGAGTTATGAGGACGTTCCCAAGGAACAAGTGGAGTTTTTAGAAAAATGGAGTAGATTTTCAGACTGGTTACACTGTATATGTGTTGTTACTTTTGATTTAGAACTCGGACAAGCGATGGAGAATGTGTACCCTCCAGGAGTGCAGTTGTCTGACCAGGAGAAGTGTAATATATGTTACTTGGCATTCCCTGACTCTAATTCTGGATGTATGGGCGATACGCAATTTCATGTAAGGCTACGTTCTCGGACAGCTTTAACTACTCAACAAATGATTTACAATGAGGGTGCCGTACCTACGCTTCGTGCGGACTCCACACACTATTGGGGTTTCGTGTATTTCCGACAGGTCAAGGACCCTTCTTTACCACGAGGCTACTTCCAGAAAAGCATTATATTACTCACACGGCTACCCTTTATAAATTTATTTTATAAGGTAATAAAGCTTATTGCACCAAAACATTTTGAAGACGGCGAGAGGAGCTTAGAGGCTGCTTGTCACGACATAAATAGATGGCCAGTGTTGGATTCAGGACAGAATGTGTTGCTTCCTGTTTTAGGATCTGTTTTTCAGTCATATATTCCTAATCAGCAGACAGGAAAGGTTACAAGATCAGATATAGCTAAGCAGATTGATTCCTCAAGTGTACCTCATATTATAGCATCTATACAGGATGTTAATGTTTTTGATGCATTGTCCACACTGATATCTCATTTGCATTTATTGTGGGAGTTAGTTTTGACAGCAGAACCAATAGTTGTTATGGCAAGTTCACCAACAGAATGTTCAGCATTGGTCCAAGCCCTCACAAATTTGATTCAACCACTCCCATATTCTGCTGAGTATAGGCCATATTTTACTATACATGATAGTGAATTTAAAGAGTTTACTCGAAAGCAATTCAACCCACCACATGTTATACTGGGTGTGACAAATCCATTCTTTACAAAAACATTACAACACTGGCCACACACAATCAAATTGGGTGACTCAACAACAATAAAAACTAAATTGCGTAAAGTTGGTAACACAAAGCTTCTTGATACTGCGCCTGGGGTTTATACTCAGTATAAGCCTTTCTTAGAAAAGGATAAAGCTATAATAAAGAAATTACATAATGGAATCAGAACTGATCGTCCTTCTGAAGTTCAAACTGCTATGGTAAAACGACATTTGTTAGAATTGACTCAGAGCTTTATGATACCTTTAGAAAGATATATGGCATCTTTAATGCCACTGCAAAAGAATATATCTCCATACCGGGCACCGCCTGTGCCTAATCCATTCAATCCTGAAGACTTTTTTGCAACTTTACAGCAATCAGGACCTCAGTTGACAACTGGTATAAAAGGGGACTGGAATGGATTGTACAGAAATTTCTTTAGGACACCCAACTTCAGTGCATGGTTCCACCAAAGACATAGCAAATTGACAAACAAATTGCATGCATTACAATTGGAGGCATTAGCTGAAAGTGATTTGAAGAAGTGGTCGATTGGTAAGAAGGAGGTGGAGATAGTGGACATGGTATTAAAGTTGCGAGAAGTACTCAAAAGCAATCCTCCAGTGGCAGATAATACTAGGACATTGTTGGCCAGGCGATTGGAAGATCTTAATTGTGTATTGGCTGATGATATGAAGTCAATACTGAATGCTCCCACGTGACAACCAAACTGCTGCACCTCAGAGCTGAGAGGCTGCAGCGAGGACTGCAAAGTTCAATTTGGCTCTCATCATACGTCTATAGTGTGTATGTAGATTATCAATTTTACCTGGTTCACACATTACATATAATTTTTACCTCAACATATAAAGTATAATAACAAGATCTAAAAATATAGTTAAATTTTGTCTTGTTAAATTGAATCAACTTCAAAATAATAAGAGGTTCTCAATTTATTTTTATTTTTTTATATTTATAACCTTATAACTCTATCAGTTATAAACCGATTTGGAATTTCTTTATATGAAAGGATATATTTTCAGATTAGTAGTTTGAATCAAAATAACTGATTTTGACACAATTAAAGTCGGTATTTTTTATGGAACAAAATCTTAAATTATTAAAATAGACCTAATAGATATTAAAGCTTATAGTGGGGCTTCCAAATCCTGTTATATGTCTACTTTAGTTGGTAACAAGCTAAATCATTTTTTATTTTAAATGTTGGTGAACACCTGTGCACTGAGTCTTATGCCCTACTATTTACACACATTAAATATTTCTTTTTTATCTCGTCCTTGTCACACTATCTTTAAATCTCAGTCATGTTTTTATAAACATCATATGTTATCTATAAAATAATGAATATTATCTATTCCTGAATTTCTTTATTTTACATACACTTCTTTTAAAGTATCTGGTTCCTATTAAAAACGTATCTATCAACTACATTTTGATCTAAAACTTGACCAGGGAGATCCATCAACTTTATGACTGTGATTATTCAGAAGAGTTTCTTTGAATAATTCTACTGTATATTATGCAATTAAGTCATATTTAGGTTGTGTTCACACTGAGCATATAGGTAGCCATCATTAGCGATTGACTGTTACACATAATGTTTAACAATTAATCAACTTTTTGTACTCAATTGAACGATATGTTACTCTCGATTGTTGATTTATTACACCTAATGAAATTGTAACCTCTCGTTCACAGGTGTTGGACGCGGCTATTTATAATATAAATATGCCAAGTATAAAAAATGTTTGGTGTGAATGCGGCCTTAGTTTATAATCTAAGATGCTAATTAAAAATAATTACTTGTATGTAGTCATATTTGAATAAAATGTGCAATTAACTAATTGGGTAACCAAAGCTACTTTGTTTACCAAATAAAACAGTTTGTGAGTTTTATACATTTTTTATGCAATCAATTATAATTGCAATGTAGGTATTTGTATAATATATTTTTTTTTATATGCATTAAAATATAATATAATCCCGCCGGCGCTTAGATTTACGCGGGTGGGGTACTAGTGAGGAATAATAGATGAGGATAATATAAGGTCGGTTAGCCCATCGTGACCAATTCATCAGATATAAACTGCAATGTTCTCCAGAGGCTACTTCATTCGACCTTGGAATTCGACCTGAGATGATTGGATATATGTATAAGTATTTTATTTACGTAAAAGTGAAGTTCTCATGCTTTGTTGGGTATAAAAATTACCTTGTTTTGTAAACCACTCGATATTCTACGCGGTTTCACCCTGGAAACTATCATGGCTAGTTTTTGAATTCGTCACGATGGGTTAACTGACCTGCTTGCATTCTCACCTATTATTCACTTGTGCCCAGCGTATAAGGATAGTAGAGGCGGGGTTACCATTCCATCGTCATCCATTAAAAAAAACCTATCGATATTATAAAATGTGAATATTATTATAATATATACTTATAAATAAAATGTTAGCGTAAATATAGTAATTATAACTAATTTAAATTTTTTTTTATGCTGAGTAACTGTAGTACTGAATCTCAAAATTTCCAGTTACAAAATGAAGAATGGGAGAAAATATGTTTGATTGTATATCATATTCTCTACTGTTGTTGAGTATTTATATAAATACTCGAGAATATGCCAAGTGGAATGAATCGTTGTCTATATGCATACGCGACGGGAATTTATTGAACTATTTGTTTGTCGTTTCCACTGTTCTTTTTTCATGCATATAGACATCGTAATTAAAAATTAAAATACATTTTAAAAATAATATTGAATGAATCGTATTTATACGGATCATGGGAAAGAAATGTGAGTTGCTGGAAAACGTTAGTATTTTCTAAGTTATTATAAAATATTGGGACGCGCTTTAATGAAGCAGTGATGCCGTTGGTCATGGTATTCGGTCTAATGCAAATTGCGGCCTAAATTTAATGGACATTTAATGTTTAGTGTTATTTTTACTGTTAGTTATTTCATATATATTTATACTTTATTGCACTCAGAAATACGATTACCGTATTATAAAAATTAGAAATAATATGAGCAAAGTTGTACCTATCTCTAAAGATCTTTTCCAGTTAACCCAACACAGTGGTATAAGAAATATTATCATTATCTTTAATATATAAAAATCCCATGTCACTAAATTTTATATTATGAGTAATATCCAATTCCGCTCAATCGATTTAAATGATATTTTGTAAATGTGTATTAACTGCTCTATCTAAATAGAGATAGGATATTCTTTAGTGATCTCGAGATCTTGTACCCACGCAAAGCCGGGTCGCGTCGCTAGTAATTCCATATTACGACTAAGATAGACGCAGACTCTGATGACAGAATATTTTTATTCCATTCTTCTCTTCAAATAAATTTAATAGATATTTTTACACGATGCCATCCATTTATGTTTAATCTACTTTATCATAAATTGTATTTGTTGTAGTTAAATATTTACTTGTACTAAGAGCCGCCACGCCACTATTGTATAAAAATATTAAATTTGTAAAGAAAATAATGAATTACTTGTTCACGGTTACACTGCAATATTTTTTTTTTTTTACTCTTTAATGTACCTTTTACATTTAAAAATCATTGAGTTGTAGGACAAGGTTTAGTATAAAATGGACTGTATTTCGTTAGGTATAAGTTACGTTATGTTGTTTAGCCAAATCTAGAGAATAACGCAATTCGCTAATAAATTGGGTCTGATAAGAATCGTGGTATGACACGTGCCTAAATTGCGATATATCAATAGCACAAGCGGGGTTACCATTCCATCTTCACCCATTAAAAGAGGGTATATTGCTAGTTATGAGGTTTAACATCCTCACTACTGACAATATCTCTCCTCCTAGGCAATTAGGTTATCCACATTGGCTCAAGTCCGAGTTGTACCTTCAAGTGTGCGTTGTCTGGTCTCCGACAACACAAATGTCCTAGTTTGTGCATTAGGCAATTGGTATTGTAAGGCATTTATTATATACCTATATATTATTAGCTACCTATTTTTATTTTTAATATTCCATTTGAATTATAGTTAGTCCATTTGACTGTAAATATTTCTGATCTATATAGTTAATTATTTTTTAGTAATCAGTAAGTATCTGTTATTTTAAATCACAATAACGTGAAATTATATTATCTACTTATATTTTTTAAATTCTTTAAAAAATTGGTGCCAAAAGTTACTTATCAGTTTTTATTCGTATTAAATTGCTTCTTGTATTGGAAGAAATGTCATATTATGTAAAATATATTTTTACTTTTTACCTAAAATAATTATATGCCTGCTTATTTTAAGTAGGTTGCTCAATGTCTGCGGATAGGCGCTAATTTTAATTTCACTCAAATAACATATCCCATCGTTTGATGCCACTCTAATATAAGCGCCTTACTATGAGAACAATATGTATTTATATAATGTAAAAATCAACATTATTCTAATATTTAGGGTCTGTGTAGATTTAAAATGGTGACAGAGTAGGAAGTCAGTTGTAAGACATACTAAATAGAAACTTCATGAAATTAACATATCTTCAAGCGAATCTCTCGATCAAACAATCAACTACTACACTACCGCGTAGAGGTCATTTTGATATTGCTAGCAACGGGTTTACTAGTACTTATTACTAACAATCCTTTCCTCTACGAAAAGTGATAACTGTCACCTATACAGCACCATATATGTAGAGTGCAAAGTACTCATGGTGTCCCTTATATTTTATCATTCCTGAAAGCTAAATTTCTTTCATACACCAATTTCTCTTTCTCCAAAAGAAAATAACAAGACACTTCTGTACAAAAACTCCTTCCGAAACTTTTAAACTTATAACTAATTACTATTCATCGATACTATTTCAGTCTGCATTGACTCTTACAAAACTCCCAATTTTTTACGTAGTATTATTAATAAAACTGTTTAAAACGCATGTACAAAATCCTATAATGAATTTCAAGCTATTTCGCTGTATCTATGTTATACCAAGTTAATTTTTTACCAACAAGGTTAATATTATGCATTGTAAATAATAAACATTGTACAAAAGCATCAATTAGTTATAATAAATACTTAATGTGGAAATAAAACAAATTTTCCAAACAAATCGTTTTATTTAATAACGGCATATACTCCTGCTAGGTACGGGGATTACGACCTTGCAGAATAACATTGCACTAACCATCCGACGCGAACATGGCCTGAGTAAGCTCGTCGTCTGATGGACCCTTTGGTGCTGATACTAAAGTAACAATTAATATTTACAAAATAGGCGGTATTTGAATCACAATCGGTTGTATCGCGCTTTGCTCCATATATTATCATTGTCTGTGACGAGTGTGTAAACTCCGGCTAATGTGAGGCCCACCGCGGCGCCTAAGCCCATAGATCGCAAGCCTGCCGTGCTTTTGTATATGACGCCAGTAGTGGCTGCTGCTATGAATGTGTTGGCGGTGTCCTCTTTATCCCGCAGCCACGTGACGCCAAGAGCTATGCAGGAATAGAAGGATGCGATGATACCTAAAGTGCAGCCTGTCGTTGTACCTATGAATAAATATCCATAGTTTTAAAAGATGTCTGCTACAATAGTTATATTTTTGTTACATTATTTAATGCAACAAAATTTATAATTTGATGTAGCATTGTATGTATTGTATGATTTTACTGTCACAGTATAATTGGTAAGAAAAATTTTTGCAATTGTATGGACAAATTTTTGTTCATGTCTGCAATATTGCCATGCCATGCATATTTATGTTATCATAGTTGAAAATTTTAAGTACACCATATCATTACATTTCCATATCTACATATTTTGCTATCTTATTATATTGTAATGGTAAAATTATATGATATTGAGTCATGCTATGGTAAATTATAAACATGGCTGAAAGGGTGAAATGTTACTTATTTGGCCTGTCATGATTAACAGACTACAGATATTCTTTGTATATGTTTTGGTTGATTGTTTTGTTTGTTACAGTTTTTGATATATTTGTAATATTGATATAACATTAATTACAATGCTGAAAAAAAATGAAATTAAAAAGCTTTCTTCTTTATTTATAATCACAAAAATGGACATTGATATTTTAAGTAATTGCCTATGTCATCTATGGATGATTTAAAATATGGCACAGGTTTTTCTAAATATTGCAAAATTATTAAGCTATTTATCCATATAATAATGTATGAAAATCCTGTCACATTTTTCTCCACAGTAATTTCTGAAACCATTAGAGTGATTTTAATGATATTTTGTAAATGTGTTTTCTATGCTTTATTTTATAAAAAATATTTGTATAATTTATTAGACATTATATTAAAATATTGGCCCACCTTGTTTCATGATGTAGTTAACAACTTGGGTTCGTCGAACTTTTCCAGTTTGTCCAGCTAGTGTAGTTGCTCTCAAACCTTTATATAGGCCAGACATACCTCCAAGACCTAAAAAATTACAGTATTATGTTTTATAATATTTGTAATTATAATATAAATGATTAATTTTTTTTGTTACACTTTTTACAATTTTTTCTTGTCCTAAACTTCAAGTATCAATTGAAACTAGTTATTGGGCAGTAAACATGTTACTGTTATATTCAAAATTATTTATCTCCACTATAAAGAATTAAAATTAATTTTAATAAAGCTCAAAGGATACCCATTCTCTGAGTGATTTTTTTTCTTGTATTTTTGTTCTTGCTAAGTTTACATCTTTTTACGTTTTTTAAAGGGAACTTCAAAGAGTATTTATGAAAAAAAAAATATGGTACCATTTAATTAAATCGAACTCCTATCGTACATTTATCAGAACAAATAGATTAATATTTAAATTTATAATAGTAGTTCCTTATTGCATATTATGTAAAGTTTTGAGGTTAGGTATATGATGAAATTAAAACAATTTTTACCTGAACCAGTCATGAAGGACATCCCAATAATGGGGAGAGCAACGTTCGATCTTCTAGCTGTTGATGCCATATGTCTATCGTCTGGGTAAAGGAATTCTGGTTGCATTCTAGGGATGTAATGTGGATCGAAGTTCAAATAGGGAGATAGGCTAGCCGTAGCCTGATTATTTTTCTCTTCATTCTTAGGTACTATATCACCAAACAACGACATATTTGTTTTCTTATTACTAATTTTGAACTAAAACTTTCAATGTAATTCTAATTTACTATACACACGGAATTTGAGGAATTCAGAAGAATTGATCGAACATTCAATGTCACTTCGTGCATAAAGACACATGACAGTAGAATTGTCAATGTCAAATTCAACCATAGATTAAAAATCTATATAAAGTGTTGCTCTCTCGAGGACTTTAAATTACTCTCACACTTTAATTATTGCTAATTTAACTGCCTTTTTACTGTAACTTTTATTGTACATTGAAAATTGAAATCCTCTTGTATCTGTTTTATATAAAATAACAATTTTTTCTAGACTTATCTTGAAAATTGAAATATGATGAGCTTTTAAATGGAATACAAAATCTCCAACTTTTAGTACGATTTGTCAATTATGTGAATTAGATAGATAGAAAAATACTCTTTATTGTTTCCTCCATTACAATAGTTTATTATAAATATAAATAATTACAAGAAATAATTTTTATCTAGACTTATAGAGGAGTAATTATAAACAATTATATATGTAATTATTAGAAAGAAAGAAAGAAAGATTATAATTTATATTAAAAATTATAATTTATGAGGCATTATATAATAATAACATTTGTATATCCAATAACGGTGAAACAACACTCTACATGTTATACAACATAAAATTTATAACCGTACCTATATTTATGCAAGTAAATCTTTAAGTAAATTTATGCGAGTTAATCTTGTATAAAATTGTGTTAAATTATAGTATCTATACTTAGCAAAATAAAAATATTATAAAATATATTTCTTAACACCCTCCTCACTTTCCCATGATTGCAGATTTTATTTATTCCTGTCACAATTAAAATATTTAAATTCATGAGCATGTCTGTATTCATCTCGGTGATTTTTATGTATAATACGTATGCATTTAAAAAAGAAAATGTTACCAATAATACCAGATTTGTTTAGTTTTGGTCTAGGCTGAGTTGTGTAATATGACATTATTTATATATATTATATTATTTCTAGTTTTTATCATTGTCTTATCACCTTGGTAATTATATTATAGACGATAATTCTTAAATATTAAAATAGCAAGTTTAAATTTATTATATAACTTAGCTTAACTTAAATTTATTAATAACTTTTTCTCGGCTACTTTGTGACACCATTTAGGTGGCCCTTTCTAGATGGCGTATCAAGATAAAATATATAACAGATTTTAAGTTACGTCAGATACATAAGTCAAAATTTCTAAAAAAATATTGTTTTCACCTCTATTGGTCTTATTAAGACTCTTGATAATAATTCTTTTTAAATATTTTCCATGTGTAGACATTGCCATGTGCTCTCAGCATATAATAAGCCACCCCTTACTTTCCCGTCGATGTCGTAAGAGATTATGAGGATGATGGATGAGGATGTCGTAAAAGGATGGACAGCGCTGCTCTTAAAACATCTCCAAAACTAACTGCGGTTAGCGATATACTATAACAGGTCGACCTCCTCACCTATCATCCTTCACTGGTGCCCCGCCAGTGTATACCGATAGCACAGGCAGGGATACCATTTCATTATCATCCATTAAAAAAAAAAACCTAACTGCGGTTGCCAATCTGCCTGTTAAGTGTGACAGCTACTGGCAAACCCCCCAAGGGGGAGGCTTATGTTCAGCAGTATACAGTTAAAGGCTGATATGATAGACATCTAGTTACAATTTTATTATGTAAGTAAGATAAAATACTAAATAGCTTTTATTGGCAGGTTAATAATTTTTATATTTTGGATATTTTATATGTTGTCAATTGTCTATTTACAGAGAACTAAGAACTCCGGAGGATGCCAGGAAAATAATAAAAACTGCTAAACTCCATGAATCAGAATTAACAGAGATTACACAGATATTGAGATTCCCAAAGCCAAGTGAAAAGAATGATAATCTAAGGCTTATGTTGTTGGATACAAATTTGTTGGCTGAAATTGAATCTGGTAACGAGTTGGTATTCAAAGGTATGAAATATTCAAGATTTATTCATATTTTAAATAGAAAATGCTGTTCATACAGTTCCAGATTCTAGCCCTGTGTTTATCATAGATGGGTTGGAAAATTATTTGCATATCTACATTTTGAATTAACTTGTTCGCATAGCTACGTGTGTGATCAAATTCGTGCATTTGATATTCCGGAGCATGCTGTATGTATGCATGAGGTATTCTATTTCTCATCGAATCTGTATCGTTATGGGTCGTTATGGTAACTGTGGTTCAAGTGGATACACTGAGTCGACGTAGTATTGGACGAATATAGTAAGGCGACAGTTGCGTCTCTTTCACATTAGATTCACGCTCAGTTCACATGACACTTTACGCTTACCAGCGCGCCGCTCGGAAGCCTAGTATCTATACGGTATAGAAATTAATTTGTGTGATTATAAAAGTAAAAAAAGAAAACACGTTGTTTTACTCTTTCATAGTTATCAATTGTATCTAATAAATTATTTTTCCACGTAACATACATACACGCACGCGCGTACACACACACGCACACATTTACACGCGCGCGCGCACACGCACACATGCGTGCATATGCGTGCACACGCGCACGCAAAGACACACAGACACGAATGCATGCACGCACACGCAGAGAGACACACACACGGATGCACACACGCACACATGTTTAAAAAACTAGATATATTGTATTTTTGACCAAAATGATTCGTCATCAGGCTATTAACCTACCTTTCTTTCATTAAAATGTGACATACATAGCTTGAATAGTTTTCGAGCTATATGAATTTGAAAAAAGATTGACTCATTATTACCACAACGATCCTACTTTTTCGCGCAAAATTAGTATAAAAATAATTGTCAATATATAATAGATGTGTGTACACTAAGAGGTTTGAGTATGCGCTTTCTCTGTTTTGTGCGTACAGTGACGGCTATGTGAATGGCGCCTATATATTTTATATAATAACGGATTAGTACTCGTAAATTATTAAGAGAATAATTTATTAAACTGTAAAATATTTAAGAATCCGTATTTTTTAGGTGATCCGGATGAAAATGTGGTATTATGCACTAGTAATAAAACATACGATGTTAAAGAAGCCGAAACATCGAACAGTCTTCTCTTAGTCCCTGATTTATTATTGGGCGCATCAACAAGTTTAGATGAAACTATGAAAAATAAATCTATGGAATGTGATTCGGATTCATCACTTGACAAATCTAATGCAAGTTTAAATAAGTCTACGGAATCAGATGATGGCACGAAAACTCCACGAATAATACAGCATAAGGACATTATTAATACATTCTTTACGTATTACGAAGTAAAGCCGTGTAAGCCACGATTATCAAAGTTGCGGAAACTTCTAGATCCTACAAAATTTCAAGGTTTAGAGCTGGAATATGCTGTAGATAAATCCAAATTATTAAACTACGATGCTATATTTGATCAAACACAAGCATCTAGGGCCGAGTTGGATACTGAACTTGAAAAGATACAAGCAATAAAAATAGATGATTATTACCGATTGTTAGAATTCGATTATGAATTCAGAGTTCTTTCATATATGTTGGATTTAATAGAAGAAAACTCGTGGCCCTTAAATAGAATTTCTAAGGAAATCACACTAGAGAGCTTAAAAGATCTCGTACCTAGTTCAATATTGAAGGCAATGTTTCGATTTTACACAAAGGAAGCTGTTGTGGAAGATAGCGTTCAATATTACCAATATAAACAAGATAAAGTGTGTAGTTTTCTGGCTAGAGTTTTACTGAAGAGCGCTGGTAAATTTAATTTAGCCGAATTTCTGCAGGCCTGGAGAGATTCTGTGCCAGAGGGAATGACAACTGATGTAGGTTTATTTTTTTACTGACTTTGCAAAAATAAGGGTAACACCGACAACAAATCAAATTAATCCAATTGACGGCGGTAAAGCTCGCCTTTTACATTGAATTCTAATGTAATTGGCGAAGTATGGACATGTCAAATTTTTACATTGTCACATTTATCACAACTACCTCTAACTATTAATAACTATATTTATCAGATTTTAAAAAATAAATAAAAATCATCTAATTACATTTATTTACAGGAATCCCTGTTATCTGGAATAGCATTAATAGATAAGACGACCATACCGCAAGTAATATGGGGGTTCGCTGAAAGCGATTTACCAGAAGATATTAACGAGCGTTTTAAAATTCTATTCCAAACAAGAACAAAATGGACAGTGGACCAAATATCACCGTATATAGAGTAAGTTTAATTTGAATAAATGCTATAAAAAATTATTAGATATCGAATTGATCTTGGATTTTGAGGACTTTTCCAAGATACTAGTAAGATAGTGAACTTCAGTACGGATCCTATCTACAAGTATGTTTGACTAAAGAATGTAATAGGCATGTCTTTTTTATGATTTTTCAGATGTTACGCCACGGAGAAAATGAACGTAAATGCTTTATTAACTAAGTATGCAAGAGCATCAACTCAAGATGGAGTAAGGGTATTTTCTGCTAAACATATGAAATAATATTGTTATTATATTAATATTCAAGGGGAATCCTCGTATGTGTCGTGGCATCCAAATTTACTAATGCTTTAAAAAGTTATAGAGAAGAAGTATTGCACTACTGAAGGATTGTAATTGTTATAAATAATAGTATAGGTGATATTAATTAAAACAAGGAGAATCTTATTATTTTGTATTTTATTATTATTTGTTAATTTTAATAATATATATTTAATTTCATAATATTATATAAAATATGTATTATTGTTTATGTATCAAATTATATATTTATTAAGAATTTATATAACACAGCCATCACACTTAATTTTCTGTAATACGTATTTTAAAAAGATCTGTTCAGTACAAATGAAATTTAGTAATTTTTACACTTAATGTTCAATTTAAAATGATATCGTCTCACTTATAAACTAACATTATTTAAATATCAAGGAATGTTTTCCACGTATTTCAATTAGAGTATTAGCTACTATCTTTGGTCTATGATTGTTGGACTCTTTTCCTGAGAGTCTCTAATTCATCCCACATCTCTTTAGGTAAATCTTCTCCAACTTCCTCTTTGAAATACTTCCCAATCGCTTCCGCCTGAAATACAAAGTGACGTATTATTTATTTAGTTAAACATAGTACATTATATTGATAATTGAGCAATGTTTGTGTTGTTAAAGAATATAAATTATTAATAATTAATTATACTCGTGTGTTTATCTGCAACAGTTTTCAATTTTCTCACTGCATAATTAAATTTCTGTTTTGCCAAATGTTGGCTGGGAGGGAATGCTATATAGTCCGCGTTTTGTATCAAAAAATTTTTTGTAATATGACCAATAAAGAATAAATAAAATATTAAATAAATATATTTTTAAATTAATTTTGATGAACTTTGTTATATAAAATTTGTTATATTTGTTGTTCGATAAACTCTATCTCATCTTAGGGGAAATTCGATTTATTGAGAAGAAGAAAATTTGAGAGTTAAAGTCGATCTTTTAGGTACTTAGATTAATACAAAATATTTAGATATAGTTCACTGTTGTCCAATAAAACTGACCTCTTGCAGCCAAAAATCTTTGGGTATGCTGAATAGTGTCTTTATATCGATTGGACCCAGGTCTTGTGTGTTCAGATCGCCGTCCCTCGGTACATATCCAAGTGGTGTGTCGACATAGCAGGGCTCGTCATCGCAACGACGTAGTATCCAGTCTAATACGCGAGAGTTTTCGCCGAAACCAGGCCAGAGGAATTTGCCCTGAAAAAAAAAACCTTTTATAAAATCTAAACTTCAGTAATTTATAAAACGAATCTAAATATTTATAATGGGTGCCTTAACTGGACATATGCCAGTAAGGCACATACTAAATGGGTGAGAAATCGGAATCCATGGGATATTTGATGTGCAACTGCGATTCATTGGCTTAGCTGACCCCATATGCAAATTTTTATTTATTTATTTATTTATTTTCTCCACAAATTTTACAGAAAAATACAGTTACATGAAAAAAATATAACTATATATGTAGATATAATTACAATGGTATGTAAAACTTGTGGGAGACTGGACCCTAAACTAGATCAGAGATCTGTATCTCAGGAATCCAGGCCCCCAACTCGGACACCATGTACAGCTTGCATTAAGGCTAATATGCAAATAAAAGTAAGGATATGATAAATGTTTATAATCTATATGCGCTAGTTTATGCGTACTCCTATAAATAAAATAGATTTGCAAGTCTGTCGTGCACCTTTTTGTCTGTGGTGTATATATTAAAAAATATTGAAGAATTAACTACAAAAATATTGTGAATCTAGAAAAAAAAAATCTATGGATAATAGTTTTTACCTGATCATTTTTCCTGAACCAGTTGACGTGGAATATTTTAGGCATTTTTCGTCCCTTTTGTGGCATAGAGAGCCAGTGCTTCAGGTACTCGCCAAAGTTGTATCCGAAGAATGGTCGCATGGCAAACGGATCGTTCATTAGCACTTTTCCCTGTAATAAAATTAAATCAATAGATAATGGTTCATTTTTGTGATTATAAATAATTTAAATTTGTGTTTTAAAAAATTGTGTAATAAAACATTTGAATAGCAGAGGAAAAAAAAGAATCATTAATAAATTAATGACTCTTTTGACATATTCATTTGACAACTAACGAAGATATGCCATATTATAGAAAACTGACAGAATTTAGAACCTTATTTTTTAAATCTGTTTATTACTAAACTATATGTGCAACAGTTTTACAGTAAATGTTATAAATTGAATAAATGAAAAAAGAATATAAAATACATACACTATGTTCGGCAGCAGCGGTTGCTTCAGATCTCATAGTAGCACCCATAAACACACCGTGTCTCCAATCCCGCGCTTCAACTACCAACGGTACGCCAGTAGGCCGACGGCCACCAAGTAAGATAGCAGAAATGGGAACACCTTCTGAACTTTCCCAAGCATCATCGATAATTGGGCATTGATTTGCTGGTGTGCAAAATCTGAAATTAAAATGAATTAAAATTGTGATAATTTTCGATAAAAAATTCTTACCCTTATATTATAAGATAAAAATACCATAGACTAAATATTTTTTTATAATTAAAGTATATTGAAGAATGCCAACCAAATGCCAACTTTAAATTAAAATATTTGTAATAAAAAATGCAGATTGTTTTAAAAAAAAAGTGAAAAAACTGATTCGCCATATTACAAAATCATTCCGTTTTTTAATACGTCTTATATAGTTTGAAGGGAATTATAGGTATTATTATATTATTTGGGTTTGACATATATATTGTAATGCATAAAGACATATATACCTGGAATTGGGATGTGCAGCAGGAGTTTGAGTGTTAGGAGTCCATGATTGTCCCTTCCAGTCGGTTAGGTTAGCGGGTGCTGGGCCCATACCCTCCCACCACACTCCACCGTCCTGTGTCTCCGCAACGTTTGTGAATACAGTGTTGTTGAACACTGTTGCCATCGCAATGGGGTTTGTTGATGTTGATGTGCCTGTAAATAATAAATAGTAACGATAAGTATTTAGGAAAATACTTATAAGTAAATATGATTCATGGCCGTGTGGTCCCGGCATAGAATAGGCCACCCCTTCTTTTTCCGTGAGTGTCATAAGAGATAACTAAGGGAGAGTGAGGGATGGGCAGATTAGCGTCTATAGGCGACGGTTACCACTTTCCATCAGGTGGGCCGTCAGCTTGTTTGCCATTCAAAGTTGTATAAAAAAAATGTTGTGAACCTCACCTGGCGCTACACCAAAGAATCCATTCTCTGGATTAATAGCTCTCAGCACTCCGTTCTTATCAAACTTCATCCATGCGATGTCATCACCGACGCACTCCACTTTGTACCCCGGCAGAGTAGGTGTCATCATGGCCAAGTTGGTCTTTCCACAGGCAGAAGGGAACGCCGCTGCAATGTACCGCTTGCGGCCTTTTGGGTCCGTTATGCCGACGATCTGGTAAAAATAATAAAATTAGACTTCCGCTTCCTTAATGTCATTGACAATGGGGCTACAATTATTTATCTATTATTTCTATTATTCCTGTCTACAGTTGACTGGTATGTTATGCCATGTGGTGTCGAGTCCGTCTCCTATATTGTTAAGGTGCATTAAAATTCAATAAATAAATATTAAATCTATAAACAAATTATAGAATAAAAGGCAATAATAACAATTAATACTTTCCAATAGTTTGTAGGTATGTCATTTACTGGAGGAAAACTTTATACTAACTCTTCTGCATGGGTAACCCTGGTCCAATTAATGTTTCTGCCGACCAGTGAAATTACTAGGTATGTGACAAGACCTCAACTGGTAATTCACGAAGAACCTTAGACATTTTGTCACCTATAAACTTATTATTTCTATCATGTGGACTGTCAGAGTTTGTTACATAATGTTTTATAAAAAAAAAAAAAAACTCCGACAATATAAACAGAAAATTAAATGTATTTAGGATTGTCCTAATTATCAAATTAATAATTATATTTTACGACCTAAATTGAATACGTATTTACATACCAGCATATGTTCAGCAAGCCATCCCTCGCGGCGAGCAATCACGGAGCCCAGACGCAGGGCGAAGCATTTCTTGCCTAGGAGACTGTTACCTCCGTAACCACTTCCTGAAAACATCCATAGATATTAAAAATAAATATAGTTTATATCTTAGCTTTTGACAGAACGATGTCTTGGGTCAGTTAGGAATTGGCATTTTGTTTGTAATGGTTAAACTAAAAAAAAATACTCAACCGATTTTAAAAATTCTTTCAACTATAGAAAGCTACTTTAGCAACGAGTAATATAGGCTATATTTATTTATTAATAAACACAATAAATTTACAAACACCAGTACATTACACACTGCACTAGGTGAAATTGTATGGCGGGAATCTATCTATATACCCATGTGAAGTTGGGTTGCTAGTAAATAAATCAAAGGATTGTATACCATAGCTGACGATCTCGTTGTCGGCCGGCTTATGGAGTATGATGGTGCGCGGGGGATCACAGGGCCAGCCGGGCACACCGGCGCCCGTGCCCACCGCGTGCAAGCATTTAACGAACGTCTCGTCTTGACGGAGCACCTCCAACACTTTACTTCCTGTGTGAATAAATAGATCCATTAGCGGCACGCTTAAATCATCAGTGACACCCAGGACCCATTAGTATTATTAATAATCTAAGCATAACGAGGGATATAAGAAGAGCGACATGGGCAACTGAGAGCTATAAAAATCAGATTGAAGGCGTATAATTACTTTGCCTATTTCGCGCGCATTCGCGTAACACTTTTATAGATCGTACATGTTGCATATATGGCATTTCTATAACGATTAATTATTCATTACAATTATGTGTGGCAACACTTTATAAAAATATTACATAGATAGATAGATAGATAGATAATTTATTTGCATTACTTACTTACAGCACACAAATTACAACATACATATACAAATGAAGCGAGATAACATAAATGAAAAAAAAATACATAAAGCTAAATACAATTTTCGTTTGTGAGTGTGCCATAGCAATACACATATGGATGCTCCTAAGTTACTTGGTGTTTTATTTAAATTAATAAGCATACAAACCAGTCTATCTATTTTGTCATATAGAACAGTACATATTCGATTGGTATTCAATAAATAAAAATCAATTAAATGTTTCGATTTGATATTAATTTTATTTAGATAGCGTGTCTATGATAATATCAACAAAATATGGTTATTTTTTTTATAAGTTATATTCAATCAGACTACACCTACCCAATCTACAATATACGAAGAAAAAAAGTAGATAGAAAGAATATATTTTTGTAATACATTTAGAGTCTGAGTGAACAAAACTGACAGGACATTGCTCTTTGCTATTCTCTCTTGAATTGACGCGGAATGCGAACATAGGCTTGATTGTACCGTGCAAAACGGCAATATTAATTGCTCTGCGTTTGCGCCATTACTATTTTAACAAGTCTATGCATTCAGATTACTATCTATGTATTTTATAGTTATTACCTACCTACGTAGATATTTTGGGTGTAATATAAAATAATATTTAATAAAATCGTAAAAGTTCAAACTGATGCCTTTCTACTTTCTTGTATATCTTGTATTTAAATAGCTATTAATCGAACATAAAAACATCTGTATCTTTTCAATTTTTTAATACATATTTACAACTATTTATACTAAAATTATAAAGAGGAAATATTTGATTGTTTGTTTGTAAAAGATAAAATCAGAAACTACTCAATCGATTTAAAAAATCTTTAAATATATTAGTGAGTAACATAGGCTGTAGTATATTAAATTAAAAAATCTATCTATCTATCTATCCGGGCAAAGCTGGGCCACATTGCTAGTAGTACATAATGGGGCAGTCAGATGTATCTGTTGTTTGTTGCTATTGTGGTTAGCGTAACACTCGGTATGCCCATATTTTGTCGAGCATTAGAATTCAGTATGGTAGTGGATGAGCCTACCGTTGTCACTGGAATTAATTCAGTTTGTTATGGGTGGCATCCATTACCGGAGAATTAGTCACATCACGGGATAGTATCATAAAATTTAGATGATTTTGAACATTATTACTTACCAATCCTTGTCATGACTCGCATGGAATAGACGACGTAGGGGGAATCAGTGACCTCCACACCGATCTTGGAGAGAGGGGACCCAACTGGCCCCATAGAGAACGGTATCACGTACATCGTACGACCTGGTGAAGGAGAAAAAAGATTATAGATCAATTACAAAACATACAAAAAATGCATAACAGAAAACAGAAAACTAGTTAGAATCCCCGACTTTTTCCTCGTATTCACAAGGAAAAAGTCACAAGTACATGATAAGTTATTAAACTAAATTATAAGCGTCCATTTGTGCGCCAAATTTCTTTTAATTTCGATCAGCGGTTTTGGCATAATTATTACTTAGCAAATATCCATAATATTTTTATAAATTTTCAAATTTAAAGGTCGTAAAATATCTTTTACGTATATCCTATTAATATTAAATGTGATAATTCGTGAATGTTTATTATTTAATCACGCTTAAATGACCGAAAAGATTTGAATACATTTTATTACATCGTAACAAATAAATGGTAGATAATATCGTAATTCAACACGTAAATTATACTCTGAACAAAGCCACAGGAAACAGATAGTTTATCAATAAAGGTGCTCACCTCTCATACATCCTGGGAACCTCTCGGCCACAGCCTTCTCGTAGTCGTCGGGGTTGATGTAGTTACCAAGGGCTGACTTCTGGCCAGCCCTCGCCACTGGTACTATGTCTCGTTCCTTCTCCGAGCAGATGAAGGTACGAGACTCGACTCGAGCTACATCAGCGGGATCGGTACGTGCCAGCCAGCTAAATAATATAGTTTTTATTAATAAGAGAACATTTTAAAGGATTTTTACAAGAATTTTTAATATTGTTTCATTATATATTTTATTATATTGTAAATATTCCGGATTTACTCGCGAGTTATGTTTCAAGTTCAAAACTAATCGACCATCTTCGAATTTAAAACGTGAGTATAATCCTCATAAATGATCACAATACAGTATATCTCAAGATAGTTATACTCCAGATATTAATTCGTTTTGAAAAAAGTAATTTAATTTATAGGATGTATTTAGTAAATTTCAGCATAAATAAGTATTAGGATATCGTAAGAATTTATTTATAAGATTTATTGGTAGAAACGTAAATCTCCTTTCAAAGCCATTTATCAAATTCGCAAAGATGTGCAGAAAATGCAGAATTTTTTATCAAATCAGAAGGAGCTGTTCTTTCAGACAATTGGCAAACTAATCCATCAATGGATACGTTTTCGTTAATGCTTGTATAAGAAAAAACAAGACGCTGAACTTCGCTGACTTGTAGGTAGTATGTCGTTGCTGCGGCGGCGTACGGAAGGGGTCCCGCAGCACTGACAGATGGCAGAAGAGGAACACCGGGGGGTTTTAGCCTGTAGGAGTCCGGCAGTACCCACATATCTCCCCCGAGGTATGTGGGTCTGCATGAAGCATTTCCCCTCGTTAAAAAAAAGGTAGTACGTCGTGCGTGCGACAACGTATTTATGATAGATTATGTAATAGATTTATGATAGATTCATTTGTCGCGTTGCCTGGAGAATCGATAGGTACTCCTTCAATACTCTTTTTGTCGACAATTAATATTCTACATCTATTCAACTAAAAAATGATAACGGAACTGCAACATCTGATTTTAATAGATGTTTAATTTACCGTCGTGCGCGTCGTACTTCGTTTTTCCTTACACATTGTTATAACGACTGGTTTTGGCGTATCTATACGTGGCATACGTACATTGACTCACCAGTTATCATACTTGGGCAGCTGCTTCAACGTGCCCTGCTGCTGCATGAGCTGCAACAGCGCGGTTGCCTCAGCATCAGACCCATCACACACATGCACGTGCTCTGGTTGACAGAGAGCCACGCTGCGTTCCACGAAAGCTCGGACCTAGAAGACAAACAAGGTTAAATTTAATTGTTCAAAGGGAAAAGCGATAGCGATATATCAATCAGATAAAACTTCATGCGATCCCCTTGAAACCATCGTCGTTAATTCTTGGTGGACGATGGTCCACTGGTGGTCTATAATACTCACTAGTATCCACTAGCGTATATCGATAACGTAGTCAGGGTTATCATTCCATTTTCATCTCGTAAAAAAATTACTTCTTATTTAATAAACATTACATTATTTTTTATTACATACTAGCTATGTCTGCGACACTCTTTTATTAGATAATAGCGTGCTGTGTCGTCCGCTACACATGGATACATTTGAATTGATCGATTTAATAGTCTATGACCTTCACCATCTCAAATACTACGTATGTCAAATTGTATGACTTATGATTGAATCGTTGAAGTACCAAGAAGTAATAGACAAGCCTTTGTGAGGTTGTTGAAATGAAAAATTTAAACTTACGACAGTTACTTAAACCGAAAGAGTTTGGACTTTTGGATCCAGTTTCATTATTTTGGCAGTATCGAGCTTTTAAGTTTAAAGCGTGACTTAGCATCCTTTTTTATTGTTCAGTCATTGTTCTATCGCTTGTATATCGGATTGTGTTCTGAGTAATTGTTGGAACTGAAGCCCATGACCACCTTTTACTATCTCACTGTTTACCATCACTAACAGTTAATTCATCCACATACGCTATAGGATCTAAATGATTTCATATAATGCGGTCTCAGAGATGTTTCCTACCCAAAACGCTTAGACTCTGGAATGAGATTCCTGCCAAGGTTTTCACTAGAGATAAAGATAGTATGGGGTTCTTCAAAAAGGTCATACTAACGTTTCTTCAGGGTCGACAACGAATACGTGACACATCTGATGTTGCAAGCAACCATAGGTTAGAGTAACCGTTTACCATCAGACGGATTAAAGATATGCTTGTTTATAGCTTTTGTGATACAAAAAAGGTTTCACTTTATGGATGATATTATTGGTGGCTATACCTTAGGAGTCAGCGATGCCAATTGAGGGCTCAGGTTCGAGGATCCTCGCAGTGCTGTCTGGTGAGCAGCTCGGCTGCAACCCAGCGCCAGTTGAGCACATCTGTTGATAAAACAATAAAATAAATACATGTGGAATAAACTCCTTTCCCGTGTGAATCCAATAATCAAAGTTAGAATCTTCAAATAACGCGTGAGCGAGTAAATAGGAAAAATCAATTCAAAATTAGTATAAATTAGCAACATTAAGATTAATCCCATCGCTGATTGATTACGTAAATAAAAATTATATGTAAACACTTTATTGATGAAGAATTTACTTTATGCAAAAAATACACAAAGCTTTAATTTAAAACATAACTGCATTATTATACCTTTCACGTAATGCACGTAATGTTTTAGTTTTAAATTCTGTAATGCTGAATTGAAAATTTGTGAATAATTACTTATTTAATTATTAGAAATCACGACCGACTTCTCGCTATAAAATAAAATAAAATCCTTTCCAACGTTTTTAATTAAATACATAAGTTGTTAGGTAATTATTACAAGTAGGAGTAGGTACTGTATATATTAACTAAATTATAACGTTGTTGAGTTTAAATTGAAGAACATAATATAAATTATAAAGGTTACATAAATAATAATAATAAATTTAAAAGTTCATTAACGTGATAAATATGTTGTAATGTTGTAAACAAAGTAATCACTTTTTAATTTTTATTTTTAAATTTAATTATTTAATTTTTAAAAATAAATTTTACAAACATTAACTGTTAATTAAATTGTTTACGACTTATAAGAGATCAAAGATAAACCAGATGGATTCTTTGAAGGTTGATAGGTAAGTGAACACAGAAGTGTCCGTTGAATTTGACAGACAGAAATTTTTAAAAATTCAACATGAAACAAAACTGCGTCGATCTCAAATAATGAGAAAAATATAACGATAAAAAAAAAACTTGTTTATGAAACCTCTTCAGCAATGTAATAGAATATGTAATTATTATTCTAACTTTAAACGTAATTTAACGTAATTTATATCCATTATATAAGTTAAAAACACGATATTTCATGTTCCTTTTTTAAGATATTCTTTTCCTACTGTCCGAATATAAAGTCTCTCTTTTACGCAATCGCATAATTCTTAAACTCCGAAGTAAAAAGAGGGATATTACCCATAAGTTTAAAGTCTTTGGATATCTTTTATGGGCATGGTAAGTTATTGTGCCTTACGATACAAAGTTCGTTTTATCGGGACGATATATTCGTAATAAAGAAACTTAATGGAAATTTGAATAAGCTTTCATTTTAATTGCACTTGACAATTTTTTACGGCGATCAATCTCTTTATTTTTATACTTATAATAATGGTTTATAATAATTTAGTGCAAAATTCGTTATTATTTTTATTATTATTTCAACCGTTAACTATCCACTATTGGACATAAGCCCTCCCCATAAGAGGAGTTTTGCCAGTAGTTGCCACGCTTAGCTAATCTTATTTATCATATTAATATCCAGTTATAATATAATTATTTCGATATACTTCTATTATACTAAGTAAACTTAGCGATTTATAGTAATTTAAGACATCAAATATCTGCCAATTACATTTAAAGTAATAATATGTACATATAGGATAAAGCTATCTAGTAAGTACCTACATATGCAATATGCATAACATATTTTCAATAAATAATAAGTATTTATCGCATATAAAGATGTAGAGTAATTAACATTCTTATAACTAAACGAGAAAACGATTTTCTTTTTTATATAAAAAATAATCACAAAGAAAATACGTAAGTACATACAAAAATAATTTTTGTAAATAGGTACAATTATGTTTTTTCTTATTTCAGATGTCGATTCGAAGGAAGGCTCCTTATATATGTATATATAGAGACATATAATAATAATAATAATAAAATATTGTATAATACTTGATACTATCCGCATCCGCTTTCAATCGAAAACTATATACCATTTTGTATAATTGTAACATTTTTAATAATATATTTTTTATATAATTTTTTTTATAGGCAAAAGTAAGTTGCTATATGTTGCTAAATGTTTTTTAATTCTCCCTATATATATATATATATATATATATATATATATATATATATATATATATATATATATATATATATATATATATATATATATATATATATTAATCATATATTAATCATAGTATACAGCCTGGATATAAATATTGCAATGTTGCTATAGTTTGCTGCTTTGTTTGTTTATAGCAATTAATATTATGGTGATTAAGTATAACTTATTCATGTACAAAGGTATTCAAGTAATTATAAAATCTAAGGATAAAATATGTAGGTAATTACACAGAGGTAAAACGAACGATATTTGATCCTTTCAATAGGCAGATAAAGTTACTTCACTGTCTATAAACCTTCACATTACAAGGCCTCCGCTACGAACAATGCCCGACTCTTATATCTTCTGTAAATCGCGAGAAATTTTTCAACAAAGTGACAGAGATTATAAACATTAGTTCGTTAGTAAGTTGTGAAAATGTAAATACATAAACTGTATATTACGGAAGATAAAGATATAATCAAAATTATTCCTATCCTTTTATTCGTAGTATGTTATTAGTAAAATTTTCCTAAAGCCCAACGCATCCTCTCAAGTTAATATGGGAGGCTTAAATTTTAGTTTTGTATTTTTCAATCTATTTTTATTAGGAAAAATTTAATGAATGGATGAATGCAAACTCTTTATTGTTCTCTTAAAAGAGATACAGATTGTAAAGTTTTCTTATCATTGCGGATCCAAAATAAATTTCGAAAACTTTATTGAGAATGAAAATGTTGGAAAAATAGAAGACACGTGTTGCCGTTAGTCTTGAAATATGAACAAAAATATTTATATCCAGGCTGTACTTATTATGCATAATCTATGCTTAATCTATTATATATAAGGCGAATTAAAAATATTTTTAATAAATAAATAGTTAAAAATACCCATTCATTAAAATTTGGATTTAAATATTTTTTTATGTAATTTAATAATAAGAATAAGAATAAATTTACAGATTATTATTGATATAAATATAATTTAATTTTAATTATAAAGCATATGAAATTATATTATATAAAACATAAAAATAATTTAATTCGGATTGGTGATAACATCGTAAAAGTATCGAATCTGCTATCCGAAATCTGTTGTGTTGATTCTATTATTTATATTATATTGCTATTCATATGATACCTGATCAAACTTAATTTTATTTATTTAATGGCATCCGTATATCTTCGACTCGCATAATACAATAATAGTCTTTAATAAGTAAAGTAATAATATAATATTAAAATTTATAAATTAACTTACTGGGCCGTGTTCTTCACGTAATCTTCTGGCACATTGTTTAAATGCAGCATTTTTACTATTTTTTTTCTATTGAAAAAAATATTATTAAGTAATATTTATTATAAATTAACTATTTTTCTTACTGGGTATTTTTTAATACTTTCCGATTGATTAATTTAAAAATTTAACTTTATCTAAAAAAAAATTATCTAAATAATTTCTTTTACAAAGTTACTGAAGCTGAACAGATGTATCAACCATCTATAATATCCTATTATATTTAATCTATCACCCATTTATTAATGTATACGAATAGCTACACTTGCAAAAGGAGAATGCGTTCAAGTCTGCGCGCGCGCAATATATAACATGGGAGTGTTTGCGTTCGATACTCCGATTGGCCGAAATCGCGGGCGCGTCTCTACGTCACAGTTAATAAAAAACGTAATAATATCGAACCGGTTACGATACCAAATACACATTTGTTGTCGACAATGACCTTTATTGAATGTTGTTAAAAGGCTATGTAAGTTGAGAGAAATAAAGTGGGCAGGTTTCATCACTATGTGTTGATACTGGTAGTTGATGACAGACATCAAGGCGTTTGTTTCGTCAGTGTATGCAAATGCGCGTGCCTATCTACTGAAGAGGCGTCCTGGACATTCTCGAGTGAATGTTTTGCTTAGTTTGAATTGTTTTTATCTAATTAAACGCTAAGATTAATGATAATACAATTATGGATGTGTATGATAGATGCTGAATTTATCATCATCATCATCATCTCAGCCATTATCAGTTCACTGCTAAACATAGGCCTCTTCCGTAGAATTTATAGATTTATTTCTTATATTTATTACTGGCTGTTTACCACGAATTATGATAAACAGTACCCCATATGTTAATCCAGTCTAAAGTCCGTCTATGCACCTATTAAAGTTCATAATATTAAATTCATATAGATTTTAAACTGTGAATGAGTAACAAATATACAGATATTGGGGGGAAAGGATTGTTAGCAATGGAGTTTGACAGCCCCATTGCTAGTAATATACCTTATTAGGTCGACATCCACGTGGTTCCCTCTGAAAACCATCGTGAACAATTCTTGTTGAATTCGTCACGAAGGGCTAACTGACCTACTTCATCCTCACCTATTATACTTCACTGGTGCCCCGCCGGTGTATATCGATAGCGCAGGCGGGGTTACCATTTCATTATCATCCATTTAAAAAAAATATACAGATATCTTTATAATTTTTTTATAATATTACACTTTATACTCAAACCGAGAAAATCCACGAAATTTTGGGAAAATAATTTAGATATATATAGGTGTATTTCTGAGAATTGTGTTCTTGTTTACAAATGTGACTCATTTGTTGCAATGTTTTTATATTACGATAATTTATAGTACAAAAACAGTCATAATCTTTTTCAGCAGACACATTTATGAATGAAACACATCGTAAACTATTCAAAAAGCAATTAAATAGCTGCCAAAATAAATGTTTATCTAAGTGGTCACAATGTTTGTATCTATTTTTAAATAAATTAGTATACTATGTAGGTAGTTAAATTATATATATAGTTAAATTATTATACTAAGTAGGTAGGTAACCTAGAATGACGTAGATGCTACGTCATTAAAACTTAATTTTATTCTTTTTTTTTAATTTTATGTATAAATAATTAAGAAAATGTAATTTATGGATTTGACAAAGAATTCGATTGTGAGAAAGTACCTATCACTTATGGTTATGTTCTAATTTTTTTAAATTCTTTTAAATTGAATATCTATAGGATTTAGAAACATATGGTTGAAAATTAGAGCTGTTTTTTTTGGCGAAGCACCACTTCCATTTAGAAGATTGTATTTAAATAAAGCCACAATCAAATATTTCACACAATAATATCGTGAAGCATGTCTATCAAAACTACATAAACAGAAACCTTTATACAGGTGTAAATGTATTTTTTTTGACAGCAAGTGTCGCATCAGAACTGATTCAAAATTTTTTTATTGTATATTTTTCAGCCAGTCCACTAAATTAATGTAAATAATACAAGTTAGTTTAATATCTAGACGGTGTAACCTTAAATTTAAAATATAGATCGTTACAAATGTACCGAGCGTCAAGTCCTGCCGAGCCATACGGTTTTTTCGTACGGTCATGTAACGGTAATGTCATTGGGAGGGGGTGAAGTTAGGTCGAGAGGGACGAGGATTTTCTATACTATATAGATCATTTGTACAAGTTGTTGAACAAGTAATTTTGTGAGAGAGCTATCACCTGTTATTTATATAGCTATTTATTTTCTAAGTACAATAACTAAGGTTTTTTTTTTGACGGGCAAAAATGGTATGGTAATCCCACCTGCGCTAACGGGATACGCTGGCGGAGCACCAGTGAAGAGTGATCGATGAGAATGAAAACAGGCCAGTTAACCTATCATGATGAATTCATTAGGAATTAACGATGATAGTTTCCAGGGGGAACCGCGAGGAGGTCGATCTGGTTGGGTATATTGCTAGCAATGGGATTCTCAGTCTCCATTACTAACAATCCCTTTCCCCCCACAATAACTAAGGTTAACTCCGAGGTTGTAAGGGTTTCAGTCTGGCAACAAAAGCATATGACACTTCTGGTGATAAGCGTCCATAGATATAGAAGACTAGCTTTAACCCGCGACTTCGTCCGTATGACCACAATATGTACTCTGACCGAGATAAAAATATAGTCTTTCGATATTTTGAAAATATGAAATTTGGTAAATACGTATTAGGAGTAGTATGTGTATACCAAATTTCATAATGACTGGTTAATCCGTTAAGGTGCTTAGAAGTAACAAACAAACAAATTCACTTTCATATAATATTTATAATATTAGTAAGGAAGTATAATATATAGCTTATAATATAGCTAACATTAGCTAATAGCTTATATAAGCTAATTTTATAGCTTGTTATGAGATGACACCATTTTTTAGTATTGGTTGTAATACAACAAAATTAAGTAAACCCCACGTGTAAATCAACGTGATTTATAAAGTAGGTACAATTGTTTGGACGCTCTGACCTTGCCCAGTTATCGCTTTTGGTATCCAACACTTTAAGTTAGAGGAACTTAAGATTACCTTCGTAGTAATCGTAAATTCTCGATGTTAATATATATATATATATATATATATATAGTAGTGAGATTTTTTTAATGAATGATAATGGAATGGTACTCCGCCTGCGCTAATGGTATACGCTGGCGAGGTACCAGTGATGGATGATAGGCAAGAATAAAAAGGCAGTTCAGTTAGCCCATCGTGCTGAATACACCTGGAATTCAGCACGATGTTTACAGGAGCGACCACGTGAAGGTCGACCTGATAGGGTATATTGCTAGCAATGGTACTGGTAGTCCACATTACAAACAATCTCCAAGTAGTGAAACGTAACATCACTTTCATACCAAAATATTAAAAAAAATCATAAAATAAGACCATTGACTTTACATTATTTTAAGGCCTAGATGTGCAATTTGAATAAATATTGCATCATATTTTTTCGAGCTGATACTACTGGTGCAAACTGGTACAAAAGCAGTATTGAGTTTAATATTAAACTGTATTTATTAACTTAAAGGAAATCGCTCGCCTTCGACCGTTTTCTTTTACCATTGATATTCTTAAATACTATAATAATTATTATTATTTTATTTAATACTTGGGTGCTTTTTCTTTTACACTGCTTTCTTTGAAATTAATAAATTTTTTTAAAAGAACAATATGAAAGTTGATGTGTCGTGCCTGTACAGAAAAAACTATAACCCAAGCGTGACATAAATGATTGAAGCGAAACAAGTCCCGACAAATGAAGTGAAGGAAAATGGGTTAAAAAACGAAAAACAAATGGAGTTTTTATATTATACATTTTAATTAAATTTACAAACCGAAAATATTTTTGCTCCTAGTAAATAATATATTTACCGTGTGGCGGGACCACACGGTAAATATATTATACCATAGAGGCATATGAGTTATAGAGGGGCCGTCATTACCTTTCCCATTATCAAAACCTTCAGTTGCCAACTTGCCAGCCAAGTATGGCAACTACTGCCAAACCCCTTTATAGAGGAGATCTATGTTCAGCAGTTACACAACAGTTAATGGTTAATGTAATTTTGTGTGAAATTATATTTTATTTTATTTATTATTTCGAAAAAAATCGAAAGTGACCTATTTTTTTTTGCAAATAAGTTTTTATAGCTTCCTCATTACACTGTTCATACAAATTTTTTTATACAGACAGTGAGTTTTGGAAGTAGTTTATATAAGAATCCATTTCCAAGATGTAGGTACAGTCGTTTGCACGTTCCAATAACTCTTCACCTATGACATAGAAAAAGTATTGATAACGTTTGTTTTGAACTGTAATCTTCACTTTCAAAGCTCATTAATTTTGTTTTTTTTTTCCTTAAATTATAAAGCTTAGACTAATAAAAAATATAGACGGAACACAATGATATGCAAAAGGGGACACTATAGAATTGCGAATTGCATATATATATATATATATATATATATATATATATATATATATATATATATATATATATATATATATATATATATATATATATATATCTTATTATATCAAGCATGGTGTCAATTTAGAAGCTTTTAAATTTTTATTAAATTTAATGTCTGTATTTTTTTTATGTTATACGATTTAAATTTTTTTTATATAGATATAGTAATTTGAGTAATTTCTTTTGAATTTTATTCTGGAGGGTTAGTTTCCGTGTTTTTTTTTTTAATGGATGAAAATGGAATGCTAATCTCGATTGCGTTATCTGTATATGTTGGCTGGGCACCAGGGTGATATGAAATAGGTGAGAATGAAACAGGTGACTTAGCCCATCGTGGTGAATTCATCAAAAATTTACCACGATGGTTTCCAGAGAGAACTGCGTGGAGATCGATTTGTATGGACATATTGCTAGCAATGGTTCTGTCAGATCTCATTACTAACAATCCTTTCCCTCCTAATTTCCGCGTTGTACCCGTATAAAATTTTTCAAAATTAATTTATCAGTGTAATGTGATTAGCAAATAAATAGAAAAACAAAAACAATATTAATTTAAAAAGTTTAAATGTAGAAAAACTACTAAGATACAAGGGAAATACCAGCATCAGACAAAGCAAAGTATTTAAAACATATTACTATTCTAAGGATTCTAAATAAATAGAATGTAATTCACGCTATACTTTACCGGTTCTTTGGTAAAGAATAAAGGAAACAAAAAACCCTTTGACTAATTTGTTATTTATTTATTAAATGAAAGTTGA